TGCTAGCCTAACAATCCACTTGTTTATAATCTTTTTTTGTCAACACTCATGTCACACCAGCTTGTTTTAAACCTCATATTCATATACCCACTCACATGTCTACGTAACTCACATCGACCACATCTTATGTTTTGCTATATACTCTAGACATGTTTGACTACCCTGTGACCTAGCTACTTAACTTAAAACATGTGTGCAGTGACCTTCTTTGCCTTATACTATGTATTCTACCAATCTTGTACTTGCTGTTGGAGCATGGCAAGAGCTCGTGTTAACTATTTGCACCACAAAAAAAGAATTTCAAAAATAATAATAATACAACTTACTGCTCATTGCTATAAGTATTATAGCTAAGAGTTATCTTTACATTGTTATTATAATGTATTATATGTTTATGTGATAGAAAGTATGAGCTATTTTTTCAGCATTGTTAGGTCAGAAAATGAGGATCCACAGATAAGCTCTGACCATTTTATTGTTAAAGGGACATATCAAGACCACTACAGCAAACTGGAGGGTGGTTTACAAATTAAAAATTTTCATGTGTCTGTCTGTGAGTGTGTCTGTGTGTGTTAGTATGTCTGTCAGTGTATATGTCTGTGTGTGTGTCAGTATGTCTGTCAGTGTCAGTATTTCTAAGTAATAAAATAGAAGAAAGGTCCAGGCACTCCAAGGTACAAACCAGGCAATTTTATTGAACCCACTCCATCACGACGTTTCAACCTACCAGCTTGACAAAGACCGTGTAGGTCGAAACGTTGTGATGGAGTTGGTTAAATAAAATTGAAAGACACACTTGAAGAATTTACATTTGTAAACCACCCTCCAGTTTGCTATATTTTGCTGGCTTCCCTGGGGTTCAGTGTGATGCCTGAGGCTGTTAGGAGTTAGGGTCTAGCTGTCCATCCCCCCTCCTCACTGCCGCCTCCTGCTCCCTCTTGCGCGGCTCTGTGTTTTCTCTGGGAGGAAGTGACTCACAGCCATCACTTGCTCCCATGCTGCCAAAAAGCAAGGGGGCCTGGTCACACAATTAAAGGGCCACAGCACCAGACCGGGTCCATGCACATACAAGCCTACCAGGTAGCTTTAAGTGCATGGGCCACCAGATTAGACTCCTTATTGTGTGGGCCCCAGACCATTTTATAATGCTCTTGGAATGAACCTATAGTGATTGGACTCCCACAACACAGTTAATGTACTTGTAGTGTTCCTTGAATTTGTATTTAAAGCCTAACAGAATGAGATCCTACAGACTCTTATGTACTTTGGACCATTCATGGGCAGGTCTCGATGTGCATATGACTTTTTTTTCAAAGTGATATGTATTTTTGCTAACATGTCCAACTGGATCATATCTGCAATGTAGGTGGAGTGCTGGAGTGATAATGTACACCCTCCTGGCTGGTTCCCCACCCTTTTGGCACCGGAAACAGATGTTGATGTTACGGATGATTATGAGTGGACAATATGAGTTTGGTTCCCCAGAATGGGATGATCGGTCGGACACAGTGAAAGATCTGGTAAGGACAATTTAATTGAGTACTGGGATACATTTCAACTGTGCAATATATATATATACCACATTCAGGGAGAAAGTGTAATACTTTATTGAAGGTTAACAAAAATTTGTAGCTAGTGTATCATCCACAAGAATAGCCCAGGAAATTATTTAATTCTTAGTCGAGGGTTTCTGAGAGGTTATGACACTTGACTAGACAAAAATGTGCAGCATCAACTTCCAGCGTCTCCATACTGCATGGAGGCGCTGAATGTTTCCAAATGAGATACAATCTCTATGAGGAGACACTGATTGGTGCAGCACATCGTTTTGCCACGGATACACAATACCCTCCTAATGCTTTCTTAGGGGAAAGCATTGGATTGGGGGAGATCATCTATTTTGATGATCTCAGCCAAGGGAGCAGAGACAGCTGTGACAGACCCATGTGGAGCTGGAATAAAGGTGAGTAAAATCACCTTTTAAATTGCTTACAGAGGAGCTGGGGGCTAGGTACATACAGGTTTGTATTCCTGTCACTATAATGTTCCTTTAAGTCTGCTCATGATGGCAGACAGGTAACAGCCTCTCTTAAATAAAAATTGTGCCACTCCTGATTGTTGTGCAGATATTTGGGTCTGTGCTTAGTAATAAGTAAAGTTCAATCTTAGTTCTCCTGGATACACTCATGTCTCAATGTATGTCATACAGGACTTCCAAACAGTGATTTTGAGATTGATGCCCTCCTAAGCCTGTAAATAAAGCCTAGCGTAAATATAGTATAGTTGTTGCAATATATTTTATGTTGTATGTTTTCCCATGTTTAATAACCAATTTACTTGGTGGTGTGTAAGCACACTGTATATACTTCTGTTCACATTTCCTTTTTGTTTTTCTTAATTCACTTGAGTTAAAGGGATTCTCCAGTGCCAGGAAAACAAACCCGTTTACCTGGCACTAGAGAATCCTGGAGTGCCCTCCTCCCACCCTCCCCCATCCCATGTCGCTGAATCTTACCTGAATCCAGCACCCTGGTGCTGGGTCAGGCTCCTCCCCTGCCGGCTTATTCAAAGCTTTCCTATAGGGAAAATCTGACGCTGAAGGTCCGTGAGGATGTCCAGCGTCAGATAACGGACCACAAGTCCGTTACAAATCCGAAAGCACCACAGAGGGCAGACTGAGAGCTGTAATGTAAACATTGTAGTTCTCTGGAACTACAATGTTTTACATTGCAGCACTAAGTGCAAAATGGACACAGCACGCAGACCACCTCAATTAGCTGAAGTGGTCTGGGTGCCTACAGTGTCCCTTTAACTGGGGCAATATTTTTGGCTTGGGACCCAGCAACCTTAGTTCTTCTGAGGAGGAAGGAGGGGGAAGAAAGAATGAGAAAGCGAAATTTGTTGTTTTTTTTAACACAAACCAACATATGATACCACCACTCAAAGCCGCCTTTTTTTTTTCTTCCAATCTTTATTCCATAATCCAATACCATTCAACATGTTCGCTTTGGTATAAATCTTTCACGAGGACTGTTAAAACTTGCTGCTTAAAATGCACAGTATTGGTTGATAAAATGAGATATGAGAACACTGAGAAAGGTGAAAATGTAATAGCATGCCTTATAGTTCAGGTCTCAAATACATTTTTGCTGAAACAAGTTTTTACTAATAGCAAGTCTTCTTCCTAGATTGCTCGTCTTTTGGTGGTGAACCCAGAGAGAAGGCTAACGGCAGATGAGGCTTTGGCCCATTCTTTCTTCCAGCAGTATGTGGTTGAGGAAGTGCGCCATTTTAGTCCATACAGGAAGTTTAAGGCAAGTAATTGAACATGGTTCCATTTTATAGATGTTTTTGTAATAGTAATAACTTGCCATATTAACATTACTACATGGTCAGTGAGATGAATACATGTTTATTACAAACTTCATTGAAGACCTTGGTAGTTTTGTCTGTCTGTAAATTTGGACATTAATTACGTGTCAAACTCAGTGGCCCATATTATCATGGATCATCATATAATGCCGTCTCAAAATGACTATAGCATGTGTCAAGCTTTGGAAATTAATATGCTTTAATCCTGATGTGCATAACCTTTTTTGAAAGAAACTAAACTATGCACATGTCAAAATATTCTGTTCTTAGTTTTTAAATTAGCTCAGTGACCTGTTCATGAATCATTCAGTAATATAATATATAGTAAAGTCCGTAAACTTCCTCTCTAACCCAGTGTACAAACAGTAGCAATAAGATTAGAGAACGGAGAACAGCTACAGTAAAAAAGTATTATTGCTTGTGGCCTGATTAATATAACAAGCTGGTCCTAATTAGTCAGACCTACCAACTATAGCATGGGGATACAGTTGGGTGTCCTCATCCACAGGTTGATGTACTAAACATATCTAGGACACATAATAATTACAAACATGAAAAGAATGGAAAGGCACTCTTAATCTCTTAAAAAGACACTACACACACCTACACATTCTGTAGGTTAGGTTATGAAATGTCAGTCCATTGATTTTTTAAAAATGTATTTATTAATTTTTAATTATAACCTATAAGTGTACCATTTTTGCCTCTACATGCCAACCTGCAGTGTTTCCAGTTGTGTTCCAACTTTCAGGTTGGGTGAAAGATTTTTTATTTTTTTTTGTAAATCAATGATTTTATTATTTCCGTAGCGCTTTACAATATTATGAGAGGGGGGATTTAACTATAAACAGGACAATTACAAGAAAACTTACAGGAACGATAGGTTGAAGAGGACCCTGCTCAAACGAGCTTACAGTCTATAGGAGGTGGGGTATAAGACACGTTAGGACAGGAAATATCAAATAGAGTGGGAGTGAAGCAGAGCTGGAGGAGGGGGTAGAGTGCTGCCCTATAGGAGAGAGCAAGAGACAGGTATGTAAGGCAGAGATTACTCTGGGAGGCCATAAGCTTTCCTGAAGAGATGGGTTTTAAGTCTCTTCTTAAATGATTGAAGATTAGGGGAGAGTCTGATGGCGTTAGGCAGGCTATTCCATAGGAAAGGAGCCACCCGTGAGAGGTCCTGCAAGCGCGAGTTGGCTGTACGAGTGCGAGCAGCGGTCGGGAGGTGGTCACCGGCAGAGCGGAGGGAACAAGGAGGGGCATACCTATGGATCATTAAGGAGATATGAGGGCCTAGAATTGTTCAGTGCTTTAAATGTATGGGCTAGCACTTTGAATTGACTCCTATAGGATACAGGGAGCCAATGTAAGGACTGGCAGAGAGGTGATGTGTGAGAGGACCGACTAGAGAGGAAAATCAGTCTAGCTGCACCATTCATTATAGACTGTAGCGGGGCAATACGGCTTTTGGGGAGACCAATCAGGAGAAGGTTACAGTAATCCATGCGGGAAATTACTAGAGCATGGACAAGCTCTTTGGTTGTATCTTGCGTAAGAAAGGGGCAGATGTTTTTGAGTTGGAACCTACAGGATTTGGCAACAAACTGGATGTGAGGCTCAAAGGTGAGGCCAGAGTCAAGTATGACGCCAAGACAGCGTGCTTGCAAGGATGGACTTATGTGGATATCACTGACATGAAGGGAGAGCGAGAGAGGAGGATCAGTATTAGGAGGAGGTAAGACAAGGAGTTCAGTTTTAGAGAGATTGAGTTTCAGAAAGCGTGAGGACATCCCGTCAGAGATGGAAGAAAGGCAAGCAATGACATGTTGCAGGATGGCAGGGGAGAGGTCCGGGGAGGAGAGGTATATCTGAGTGTCATCAGCGTACAGGTGGTAGTTGAATCCAAAAGAGGCAATAAGCTTGCCAATAGAGGCAGTATAAAGAGAAAATAGAAGGGGACCAAGGACAGAGCCTTAGGGAACTCCAACCGAGACAGGACGAGGGGAGGAGGTATGCTTGGGAAAGGAGACACTGAATGAGCGTTGGGAGAGATAGGAGGAAAACCAAGAGAGGACAGAGTCACAGAGACCGAGCGATTGAAGAGTTTGAAGGAGGAGAGCATGATCAATGGTGTCAAAGGCAGCAGAGAGGTCAAGGAGAATTAATATGGAGTAGTGACCTTTGGATTTAGCTGCGATTAGGTCATTAGTGATTTTGATGAGAGCAGTCTCAGTAGAGTGGACAGGACGGAAGCCAGACTGAAGAGGGTCAAGGAGAGAGTTGGAATTGAGGTAGCGAGACACACAGGTAAAGACAAGTCTTATGTAAGTATAAAGAGAAAAAAGAAGGCTGGTTAGTTAGTAATGTTAAGTGAGATTATGCAGATCTCCACATGAATGCATAACATGAGGTCATGCAGGACCTATTTCGAACACTGAGCTCTCAGTTATGGTATAGCCAATTGCAGAAACGGTGTGGGAAAACTCTACTCTCTCTCTCTGTAACCATTGTGCCGTGGTGGGGGGTTGAGTTTGCTTCTACATGGTGGGGATCAGTGACTTAGCTGCGTTGAGAAGGTGTCTCAGAATTGACTTTTTGTAGATCTGTGAAATGGAGGAGCACGGTTTCGATGCTGAGATCTGGTGGTTTGCCCAAGATGTTCGCCAATTCCAATTTGATCCCATCCCAGTATGATCTAATCTTAGTGCAGTCCCACCAGATGTGTCGTAGGGTACCTACTTGTGATTCGCATCTCCAACATATGTCAGGGACCTCTGGGAATATTCTGTGTAATAGCAAAGACGTGCTGTACCAGTGAGAGAGCAACTTAAAGTTAACTTCCTGATACCTGGAGCTTACAGAGCTTTTTTGTTGCAGGATGAGTATCTGCTCCCATTGAGCATCGGTGAAGGTCCGGTCTGTCAAGTCTTTCCACTGTCTCTTAAAGGCATCTTTTCTAACGTGGTCCCCTATAATCAGTCGCTGGTATAGGGTGGATACTCTGCCGTCTGCTTCAGTGTCGGTCACATAAGTTGCCATGTGGCTTCCCGGTGTACCGCAGCCATTTTTGGTAAATTATGATAGAAGTGTCTTAGTTGCACGTAATGGAGGTCTGCGAGAGTGGGGGTCTCTTCTGTAGTCCACTCTCGCAAGTTTTTCAGCCTTGCATTGCCTTAAACCACACTCAGGGGGACATACTCACCTCTGTCTGCATATAGACATTTGGTGGTCGTCTGCCACCTAAGGCAGTGTTATGTGTCAGTGGAATCAGCGGGCTCAGTTGCAGAGATATTTATGACCTCTTGAGTCCTTTCTCAGGGTAACCCAGGTTTTCAATGTCTGTGTGATGGGAGAGTCTCTACCCAGAACTTTTGTCGATTCTGATGGTCTATGGCACACGTATCAGTGGAGGGCTTTATTTGAGTCTGCTCTGTCTAGTGACACCCATAATTTATGGGTCAGGGCTGTATTCTATTCCCAGATCCGTTGGAGTACTGCCGCGTGGAAATATTTTCGGAAGTCCGATAGTGCCAGTCCACCCCATGCTTTGGGAAGGCATATCTTATCATGGCTAAGTCGTGCTCTGTCTCCTTTCCAGACATATCTAATGACTGCCGTTCTTAGTGTTGCAAAGAAGTCCTGCGGTATGTGCCAGGGGCTGGTGTTTAATAAAAAATTCTTGGTAGGATGTTCATTTTGACTACCGCTATGTGGCCCTGCCAAGATATGTGGTCATAGTTCCATGTCAATATATTCTTTATATATGAACCTCCTAACTGTTGGAGTTTGCTGGATCCTGGCTAGAAACGGTTCCAGGGTTAAGGCAAAGAGGAGAGGTGACAGTGGGCAGCCCTGCCAGGTGCCATTGAAGTAAAAAGAAAGTCATCTATTAACCCCAAAAGAGAGTAAGTTAATTAAGCTTGACACGTTGCTCACCACACAGGGTGCTTATTTATAAGTAATGTATGTTGTTTAGGATTAGGCACCCTGTATGAATGCAAAACACATTTAGCTTAATTAACTTGCTGAGCTGCATGTTTATTTTTTTGCTGTGTTTTTGGGTCCTTTTTTTATTTAACAGGACAATACAGGCCAGGTTTTACTCAGTGTTTTGGCTTTATTTCATTTCACATTCTACAGGTCAATGTTTTTTCAGGTAATTCTTCGTATCTGCAACTCAAAAGGCAGTAAAATGTGCATGTCATGCTGCAGCGTTGACAGGGGACACAGAAAGGCAACCACACCAAAAATACCTTGCTTGGCTACAAGCAGGATACCAGTGAAAACCTTGTCCCAAAATCTGGTCTTATCCTTCAACTGTACTCAATAAGGCAGGAATGGGAATAATTAGTTGTGTTCTCTGCATAAATCTGAAATAAAATTCAAATGAAGAAATAAAATACTTTTTGATAAGGTGTTGTAATAGCATGACTTACACAGAATATCATTGACAGTTAAATGCAGGTGGGGCAGGGGTACAATGAAGAGGCTACCATCACATACATGTGAACATCTTGTTTATGAATTTTATGGGACCAGACAGACTTCACAAAACCAGTGTGCGTTTACTTTGAATTTGCAGCATGTGTAATAAACTTAACTAAGAAGGGTCTCAGCTGGTCATTTTCAATGAAGCTGAGCATCTCGCATAAACCCCTGCCCAGTAAAGACTTATGGGACACGTGGTTACACATTTGGACTGCAGGTCCATTCCACTGATTTAATAAAATTAGTGTCCCACTACTGCAATCCGGTTACCAACAGTTCCATTCAGTTTAGTTAGCTTGATTGTCAGCTGCTATTACATGACGACAACCCGGGCTTCTTCAAAGTAAGCTAGATATAAGACATGAGAAAAATGAAGAAAAAAAAACACATGATGAGCAGCCAGTCAGAAAAATTGTAGTTAGATGCACAAAGATAAATATAGCCAAAGAAGACAGGGAATGTAAGTGTAATTAATTATAATTAACTCGGTTCAACATTTACAGATGTCTTCTCTTTACAGGTGGTCTGTCTAACAGTTCTGGCTTCTGTCCGAATATATCATTACTACCGTAAAGTGAAGCCCATTACTAAGGAAATCGTCACACGGGACCCATATGCCATCAAACCCATTAGAAAGCTTATTGATGCTTGTGCATTCAGGATCTATGGACACTGGGTGAAGAAGGGTGAAACACAGAACAGAGCTGCCTTGTTTGAAAATACTGCAAAAGCCATTCTTTTGTCTCTGGCTTCCGAGTCCAGTTTCTCTTAAATGTTCTACTTCTTACCGATAAGACAAGCATGCCTAAACCAATAATCAGCAGACAGCGGCACAGTCTGCAGTACATAATTGTGTGAATGTAAATATATTTATGCAACAGCAGTCATGAAATACTTATGGTAAATAGCTATATATAAAGTTGCCTCCAGTCTCCTGTTTTTTGTTTTGTTTTTCTGATGTCTTATCTAAATCTAAAACCCTCTCTAGAGAGAGAAATGAACGCCAATATTCTATGCAGGTCTATTAGAATTACGGTTCTAGCATATAATTACGGTTCTAGCATATAATTGTCAGGTAAAACATTATAAAAATAAATCCACAATCGCCACCAATGGCAGAAGTTAGTTTTTTGTTTCTCCCTGCAGACAGCATTACCATGTCATAAGTCCACTTTTTTTTGTCCATTTGGTTGTTTGATTCCTTTGGCACATCGGAAGCTCAGGTTATCAGATGCTGAATCTGGGGTATTACCCATCCTAGTGAGCAAACCAAAGAAAAAAATAAGGGATTATTGTTATATTTTCATTATGGCAGGCTTCAAACAGCAATATAATGTTATATAATTATTTGACAAAGACAATTCTCAAGAGTTCTTTCAACGTGCATTCCTATCTAGCATACAGATAAGCAGTAGAACAAATATTTATATGTATGGATACATTTTGACAACTCTATGTAGTGCTTCATTTATTTTTAACATTAAAAGGACATGCCTTATATATTTATCAAAGAAATCTGAAGAATAAACCGTTAATGGTTTGTTACCTGGTGGTTACCCGAGCCTTGTGATTGAATGAACCATCCTGCGTATCAATCCAAGAAGCCCCACGTAGTGTGTACATCTTCTGACCATGTTGTTTCTTAGTCTCCCCAGCTACTGTGTATTCTGAAGATGTCCATTCCCATGTGTTCCCAAGCATATCAAATAATCCTGATATAAAACAAGAGCACATGAAGCTACTCCTGATTAACCTCTAAAATATGTTTTTAGATCCATAATTTTTTGATATGTATATTTGAAATAAGTTCAAAGAGACAAAACCTTTTAAGTGGATTTGATTTGATGTACACAAGGATAACTTCCCGTGACTAGTAAGGGGTTGGAGTAGGTTGCACACAGCCAATTACACTCAATGCTCTGCAAAGCAGTCTAGTCATCCTATTATTCAGAATGTGAATACGCCCCAGCTCTGCCATTTATTTACTAAATGTATTTAATTGCTGCAAAAAGAATAGATTTCTTGCATTTGGAGCTGACAGGATAGGCTCATACAGAATATAGGGCTAACTAATATAAAGCCAAATTATGAATGTGCTACAGTGATCTTACACAGAAAAAACAAAAACTAATTTACTTAACTTTCTTTTTTCCTTAGGATTAGGGGTAGAGAGGTAGATTACAACAAGACTATCTGCCATGTCTTGACCGGAAAAGGCAAGCAACACACTAGAAATGTAAAAGTTAAGCTCCTTCTAAGATAACTCCCAAAGATCCCAAAACAAACTCTAAACCCCAGACAATACACAAGCCAAGTAACAGTAAAAATATATTTATTAAATAGGGAGGGAAATATGCGAACTGTCTCTTTAGTGGAGCTCAGTGCTCAGGCTGAGTACCTCCGTTGAAATTTTCCTATTCCAGGGAAAGAAAAAAAAACAAAGGTAAAGAGCCACAGAAGACAGTTGTCCCAGGTCAGAATGCTGCAATTGCATTCCTCTAACAGTTCAAAAGAGGATTCACAAAGTGCTAAAAGGACTAAAAATCCTACGGATGAACCATTTCACGGATAGTTGACAGATTAGAAATATCTCTGAAAAACATGGAGATCAGAGGACTGGAAGTCAAGTCTATAATGGTGTAGAAATGCTGTTCAGAGCATCTGCCAAAATATTGTTTTCCCTTAGATATAACTGCAGATAGAGAAGGTGACTGGTCACAAAAGCATCACACTGGAACACGATTGCTAGGTTAGATAAGCGCCTGGCTTACAATGTTTCCTTGAATTTGGATGTGGTTTCCCTGTGTGTGTTTTTCCCCTGTAGCCAACCAGGTTACCTTGAGTTCTCAGGAATTCGATCACTTCTGGGAATTCTGGTATGTCCTTAGACCCGTTGTTCGGTATTACCCCAGAAGAGTTTGCCAACCAAAAGATGAGTAGTCTGGAGATTATAAGGAATTTTAAATTCTGAATGAAAGAGGTCTGTAAGAAGATCCAGCGAAGAGGCTCCTCAGTCCCATTCTGCCAGAATATTTCTTTGTTGAGGCCTCATTCATGCCTTGGTCCAGCTGACAACAGGAATTGAAGTGATATAGAGACACAACAACTTCATTGCTTCTCTTACTGAACAGACATTTTGCAAGAAGAACTTTCCTTCCAACAAAGACTAGATGAGACCCAAAAAAGAATTCACTCCATTTTCTCTAGATATAAAATCCAGTCATTTGAAATTAGGCCAACACAGGCTATTTCAATGTCTTTGACAAGCGGTTTTAAATTGACAGACTTATTTAGATCTAGCATGGGTCTGAACGGCCAGACTGGCTTTTGAACTAGAAACAGCCATGAGCAGGTTCCTAAAAACTATTCTGCTGGGTGGAGTTCTTTGAACTTCTGCAAATAGAGCTGAAGTAGCTTTGGGTGAGTGTACTGAAGAACCTAGAAAATTTCTAGGAGGATTATTGTATTCTAAATGGTATACTCTTCTTATAATGGCGAGGACTGATTTATCTGTGGTGTTTTTCCCCCCTGAAAAAGAAGGCAACAATTTTTCTTCCTCCTGCAATCTTTAGTTTTTGCAGCCAACTTTCCTTTTTTCTGTAATGGTTGTCTCTGATTTCTTCTTGCCTTTTGGTCTGCAAAAGGAATCTCTATAATAAGCCTTGTTTATATAGACCTGTTCAAACGGTAAGTCACACAACCAATTTATGAGCCCGACTGCTCATTTAGCCATAGTGGAGAGGCTCACTGATTTGGCTGATAGAATCAAAAAGTAAATCTGTAGCCATTCTAATGATCTTTAAAAGCCTTACAGGATCTTCCTTGGACTCTCCCATGTAGACTTTTTGAGGGAATCTAGCCAAAAACATTGAATCTTGGATACAAACGTTCCTGCAATAAGAGCTTACTCTGAGCCACATATGTGGAGAATAGTTTACATAACATTTACTCCTCTTTTGTCCATTGCATCTTGCAGTCTATTGGAACCTTTTGGTGCTAGACAGATTCCTTACTTCCATAAGAAGTTGTACTTTGATAAGTCTAAGTATGTCACGACGTGCTCCCACAAGGTTCGTGTTAACACCACCTTTGCATCCGTCGTGCCTGGAAGCTGTAGTGATACCAGCTGCTGCCCGCTACAGCCTTTTATGGCTACTCAAAGTATTGCCAATAATTCTCCCAAAGATGTGTATGTGTTACGCTGATGTTACGCACGTCTTAATGTCACATGGCTGCTATTAACCAATCAGAATAGTTAGTACCGTAATAAAACAAATTTTGATTTATTTTCAGTGCCCTGTTGTGGTTTCCAGTTTGGCTATTTCTAGTAATTGGTGTGTGGCTTATTCTTTGACTATTCTGACTTCTGTATCCCTTGACTTTTGCCTTCTCTACCATTTATGTACCTGTTCCTTTACTCTTCTAGATTACATAAATCTTGCCATTCTAAGGTCTGGTAACAGGTTTTAGGGATTCTGATTTATTTTATGTTTGTTAACTTCTGCGTCCTGGGTATTAGACTATCCTGACAAAGTAGACTAATTTGGAAAACAATATTTCTATGTATGAGGAAAGTGCAGAGTCTATAGAAGATGAACAACAAGAGGAAGCATCTGAACTAGAATGTGTCACTTTCCCGTGCTTCATTTTCTTGGCTTAGGAGAATATATACATACCAGCTCAGGAGGCAGACCTGACATGGCTGATTGAATGGCAGCAGCCATAATATCCCAAAACAAAACTGCTGCAAATTGTTCTGGAACCATGATAAAAATGTAATACTTCCTTTTTAGCTCCCTCAGATGTTTCTCTGGAATAGATAGTACAATTTCCTTTTGTATCCATCTGGATCTCCAGTGGAGTGCATTGCAATCTGTCCGTACATTCCACTGCCAGAGCGTCTCAAGAATGCAGGCACACAGCGTGCGTTCCAAGCAGAAGAAAAGAAGAAGGAAGAACAAGGCTCACCTAGAGATCTTTTTCCCTGTAAGAGCACAGCCCTCCTTGGACTCAGCTGCCAAAAGTCACTCATAGAGAACATAAGAATGTAAGTACCTACCTATCGAACCACAGGCAGGGAGACCTGGGGTTTCTGAGTTGGTGTTGGGGTTTTATACCTTGTGGGCAGGAATCTTTGGAGTAGGTAAACTTTTAAAATTCTAGTTTGTTGCCTGCATTTCCTGTCGAGATATGTTGGATGCCTTACAGCTGTGTACTGCATCTTATCGGGAGAAAAAAAGAAGATTATATTGATGGGGCCCTGAATCCTTACCATAGTCATTCTGTGAAGGATATGCAGTTACTGGGGACACCCCATGATAGCCATCCTTTGTCAAGTCCTCCTTAGGAAATGTACCCTGCAAATTACAAAGATCATCTTAAAAAGCAAACTAGTGTAATGTAATTCATAAAACAATAAAAGCATTATATTTAAGGGAACTAGTTCCAAAATAGAGATATAAAACCTTGGGATTATTACAGTAAGCATAAATAATTGAATGGACTAACCAATGAGAAAATTGGATAATGAGCCTGCTAAATTCAGGGGGAGGGAGAGGAGAGGAGAGGAAGAGAGGGAGAGACACACACCAAGCTTCGTCATTGGCCCACCATCTCTTCTTCCTTTGTACTACTGCTTTACTTCTTGTCTCATCTTAAAAAAACACCTCCACGTGGACATCGGCTCTTGCTTTTCTCATAATACCTTCTGAATGTCCTCACAGATCCTACAAATCAAGCCAGCTAAAAAGACTGCTATTCTTGATCTTTTACCTCATACTATTTTCTTCCCACTGACTTTCCTTCAATCAAAGCTTTCATCTTATGAGACTTTAAACAAAGATACACACTCCATTACCTCCACCCCTAACATTTCAAAAATCTGGAAAACCATCACATTTGCCAATACAAATTATCTTATCCACTTTCCCATCTCCACCAGGCTTGACTGCTACAAATCTCACCAATCAAACCATTCTTGGAAGTCAACAAACAAACCTCTCAGAACCTATAACTGCCACCCAAGGTTAAACAGATGCAATTTCCATATTAACAGTGAAGCTGCAGATGAGGGGTGTCGGGGATGTATGCCAAACTACCCAAATAAAGGGCCCAATAATAGTACACAAATGTCATTGTATGGAGACTTTTTTTTTTACCAAGAAAATTGGTAGAAACCATAGTGCAACAATGTAATTTTTACATGTTGCTTCAGCAAATAGGTCTTTAAATCAAAAACAACAATACATGATATTACCTGCCACAGATTGCTTCGGTTTGCCTGAAACATGTTCCCCCATGGGTAGTTTTTGCCTGTGTGTTCAAAATAAGGTTAATAAACAGCAGTCAATACTTTGAAAATGTATACAATTATGTAAGTTTACTACTGATCTTCCACATGCTTTTATGGTCAAATGAATGTCAAATTTAAAACATATCTAGTAATGTAAAGTGGACTCTACCTCTTTATGTTACTGTTACAGTCACGTCTAAACTATACCATGGTCATACGTGTTAAATTGACTACCTAAAAAGAGGAGTTTTGTATTCATTTTCTGCTTTCATCCTAAAAGCAACTTCCCACAATGCATAAAGTACAGCCACCTGGTAGCCAAACGGCTTCTATTTTTGCTTAAATGCGCCATTAAATATAAGTGACAGGTTGTTAACATACCTTGAAGGCCGCCACGAGCAGCAAATTCCCACTCCTCTTCAGTAGGCAACCTCTTCCCCAGCCACTGGCAAAAAGCCTTAGCATCATTCCAGCTAACCTGCAGCACAGGGTAATTCAGCTTCTCTTTTATCCCTGTTCCTGGACCGCTTGGCTGGAAGTAGTAACTAGAAATGGTCAGGGGCCCATTTCATTACATTAGGAAGCCACTATGCAGATTATTATTAGCACCATACAATGATTTAGTTTAAAGAATGTAATCTTCGCATTGTAAAAGGACATTCACTGCTATCCTAAAATGTATACATCCTACATTCACACAACATGACTGCAATTGGTAGACAGGGATCTGGGTGAAACAACTCCACCTCCCCCCCTTTTTGACCTGCCTTGGACGTCTGACAATTCACAAGCAACCCAGAACCTCCAGCTTACTCCCATTAAGGTTCCAAAAATAAAAAGAAAACTGGTTACTTTAGTACCAAAGAGATTGTAAAAATAAACACAAAACTCCGACAGTGCTGCTAAGCAGACCCACCATTGTTGCACACGTGTACTGTAATTGTAATATAGATACACTAAAAAAAAACTGTCAAAAGCTTGTGCATCTAATTTTAGATAATAACATCCACATGTAGAAGGGTCTTGTCAGATCATACACTAAAAAGGCATGGGGCAGTATAGATCAAATGACTACCATAGGCAGGCATGCTGCAAAAAGATAAGCAATGACTATGAAGAATAGATCAGTTTTTAGAATAGAAAATAGATACCCTGACAGACTAAATTAAAATTAGAAGGCCAGCAAGTTAAAAGGCAGGGCAACAATAGTAAGACAGCTGAACTACAACTAATACTGGTAATGGCACAAACATCTAGTCCAAAGCCAATCCAGATGAGGAGAGCATCAGGGTAGCTGTAAGCAGTGTTTCAAGTCAGTGTTCAGTAGTTAAAGGAACACTATAGTCACCTAAACAACTTTAGCTTAATGAAGAAGTTTTGTTATGTAGATCATGCTTCTCAGGTTTTACTGCTCAATTCACTGCCATTTAGTAGTTAAATCACTTTGTTTCTGTTTATGCAGTCCTTGCCACACCTCCCCTGGCTATGACTGACACAGCCTACATTAGAAAAAACTGGTTTTACTTTTAATCAGATGTAATTTACCTTAAACAATTTTATCTCTTGCTCTTTAATCACATACAGGAGGCTCTTGCAGGGTCTAGCAGGCTAATAACATAGCAGGGGATAAGAAAATCTAAATTAAACAGAACTTGCAATAAAGGAAGGATAAACATTAGATGACTTTACAGGAAGTGTTTAGAAAGGCTTTGCAAGTCACACACAGGGAGGTGTGACTAGGTTTTTAAAAAAGTGTTTTAACTCCTAAATGGTAGAGAATTGAATTGAGCAGTGAGGCTGCAGGGGCATGTTCTATACACCAAAACTGCTTCATTAAGCTAAAGTTGTTTTGGTGACTATAGGTCCCTTTAAATAAAACCTTGTGAAGCTTAGAGGCACTAGGAAACAAATGTCTTCAAGGGCCCAGCTGAGGAAAGTCCTATTATCTGATCATGTTCAGCGCTTTGTAAAATATGCACATAAATAAATATAATTTATTTTCAAAAATATATATATTATATATAATTAATACAATGTTAAACAGAAATCTGCATACCAGTCAAGCCATAAGACTTGCTTTTCCCACAGAAATCACCAATTTACAGTGATGTTACAAACGCAAAGGATTCTGGGTATACACACACACACACTATTTATGCTGTATAATGCTCTAAGTGTCGCAGAGCACCCTGTGTCTGAAAGAGTCCAAGATCTAACATTGCAGGACAGAAGGCTATGCTTACCTGACGCCAGAATGCTCTTTCAATTGGAAGCCACCAGGGGGCAGACTACAAAGGAGAAGAAGATATCCACTCTTTATATTATTACTATTATTTTATTATATAGCGCCATATATACAGGAAAAATGCATTGATTTTTTTTTTTTTAAACTTGAAGTTTTATTGAGTTTCAACATGTCATATTGGTGGGGGGGGGAGAATAGGGTACAGAAGAGAAGGGATGTGGGGGATTGTATTACATTCCCAGCATAGCTTTACAAACCGTTTTGTCAGGCATATATTAGTGGTTCGAGGTCATACATGGTGCCAGTCCCCAGTGGGCTGAGGATTACAATACATTCACACATCTATTGACTGTGACCATTCCTAGCATTTTTGACAACCAATCTTAGCGTTTCCTGCAGTCATCCTGTAGACCCCTCATGTCTTATCCTGTCTCTGCCTAATGCCCCTTCCTGCCACGTTTTCCTACCTTGCGGCTTTTCCTAATAAGTCCACCAAGTGGGCTATGTGCGTACTGTCCCCCATGTCTGCGAACGCCACATATGGGGGTCACTATGCTGTCTTAGTGGTGTTGTGGCACCAGATGGCCCATAGTATCTTGTTTCCAGGAGCTCCACATCTCCCATGCTCCCCCACAACGCTGCGGTCGTGTGTGTGCAGCAGAATATTGCGTTTCATAAATTAGTTGTTTATCTACGTCTTGTATAATGTGGGAGACGCTCGGGGGTGTGGTAGATTTCCAGGATCTCGCTATTACCCTCTGTGCCGTTGAACTTGGACAGTAGCCTGAGACAGAAGTAAGAAGTATCATAAGAGTACGAGCAGTGACATCTCCAGGATTCATACTTAGGGGTGGCATGTAAGGGGCCAGGGCCAAAAGTAGGGGGGGCAGTTATAGTGTGTGTGTGTGTGTGTGTGTGTGTGTGTGTGTGCGCGCGCGCGCACAGCTAGAAAAAATCCAAGCGCCAGGTCGTCATGGCGACGACATTTCGGCCTGGTTCCTGGCATTTGACAGCCCTTTGCCAAGCCGCACACAAAACATTAAAGCCGGCCGCCACGGGGAACAGGTGGTAAAGGTAGGGATGCTGGGTGGATTTAAATAAAAATAGCAATTTGTGAGAAAATGTGTGTGTGTATGTGTCTCAGTCAGAGAGTGTGGGCCTGTCACTGTATGTCTCTCAGAATGTGTGTATGTCTGTCAGTGTGTGTCTCAGACAGGGATTGGGGACGGAGCTTGCTTACGGGAAAGTGATCTTCCATGCAGGGGCAGAGCTTGTGTGTATAGGAAAGTCTGTTTATGGTGTACTATGTGTAAGTAGGGGCTGTAGTTTGAGCATGTGATCATGTATAGGAGCTTTTGAGATTGTGTGTGTGTGTGCTGAGAGGGCCTGTAAAGTGAGTGCGTGTGCATCTAGGGGTTACATTGTGAGTGTGTGTATTGGGGGGTTGCATATGTGTGCTTTTTAAGGAGCTGTAGATATATATATATATATGAAATTCAGTGTGTAATAGGGTGAAGTATGTATGTATGCATGTGTGTGGGGGTGAATGTATGTGGGGAAGAAGTGTGTATGTGGGTGAAGAGATGATGTGTGAGGGATGCACTATGTTGATGGGAGTGTACTGTATTTGGGGGTTTCACTGTCTGTGAGGGTGTACTGTGTTCAGGGGGGTGTAGAGAGTGGAATAGGGAAGAGCTTTACAATTTTTAATTTATTATTAAAAAAATATATATTAAAAAAAAAAAAAATATTCCCCTTTCCCTGATTTTACCTTGCAGGGAAGGGATGGCACAATCAGTTCTGTGGTGCTTGAGAAGGCTGCCTATCCAGGTATCTCTCTTGGAGCTCTAGCACTTAAACAGACTGACCCATACAAACCCAGACTGACCCATACACACACACACACACACACAAACTGAACCCCCCACACCCCACACCCATACACACACAGACAGACAGACCCATTCCACACAAATTGACCTCCATACACACAGACTGACCCCCCCCTCCACACACACACACACACAGAGACTGAACCACACACACACACACAGACTCCAATTTTCCAGCAGAGCTGAGCTTCCTCTTCCTGCTCTCTGTGACCCAGCAGGGAGTCCTCCCAGCACAGAGCCCCCACTAGCTGCACGTGGGAAAATGTTGGAACACAATTCCACAGTGACAGTGCTGTTGCAGCTTGTGAAGGGGGACTCAGTGCCCATGGCCCCCTCTGCCACCTCCCTCCGCCCCTAGCGGCGCCACTGAGTACTAGATTAGAAACACAAAAACAATGCACATATATAAAGCATCAATTAACAGAATAGCAGAAATGACTCAAACAACAAAAAACAACAAGGTTTCCATAACAATAGCACACTCTCAGGGTTATTCACTAAAGTGAGAAAGGTCAGGAATTCAAAATGAATTTCAAATGCAAGGTCAAAATCTCCAAAATAAAGACAGAATTGACTAATTCAGTGTGGCTCAAACATTAAAATTCAATTATCTCCCGAGCACAGAGGAGGGATTATATTGTTTGTGTATGGGAGTGTCTCACTGTATGACTGTTTTTATTGGTTTATTCACTTTGTGTCCTTGTACCCAACAAGGTCCACCTAGGTGTCACCCTTGTTGGGAAACTTGCATAAAAGGCCAGTGTGCCTCCATTAAAATTCTATTCCAGCTTACATTACAAAACGGTGTGTTATTGGCCACATATGGTGGCCTATACTAAATAAATAAATATATATACCTCTAGCTTCTGAGTAACTTTCTTCTTCAGTTCCTCTGATGTGAAGTCCTCAAAAACAAAACTCCAACCAAATGTTTCTGCTTCAGTCTTGTATTTTTTTGATCGCACAAATTCCCTGAAAGAAATTAGAGAAAATACATGTGTGTTTTATTTTGAGTGATGGGTAAGAGGTCTCTTAATACAAAAATGAATTTTGAGAACAATGTATCAATCTCAATTCTATGGTTTTATGACTAGCTTGCACTCTCCAGGCCAATGCTGATCTCCATCTTTAAAGCATCCGTAGACAATGGGTTAATAAAAACATGCAAATTCCAGGTTAGTGAGCCATTCACACATCAGCCAGTCCTGGTCCTGATCTCATTATTACCCATGAGAGTGCTGAGCAAATTCCATAAACTCCTGTCCAGCAGAAGATTATGTGACATGTAGTCTAGAACAAGACAGCAGCTGAATTTATATCAGCAGCTGTGGCTTCTAACATCGTTAAAATATTATCATTGAGATTTTTTCCATGAATGGAGGTAATTGCATCGCCAGCACTTGCTCACGCAAACAGAGACAAGCATGTACATGTTTTCCTTTTTAAATCCCCGATGGTAACACTATCAAATGCAGAAATGTCCAAAGGGGTAGGATTCGTATGCAAGGCACTGTATGTCCTACAAATAACAGGTGGATATGCTCAATGGTAATCCATCACAAGTACATCTATTTCAGATGCGCCTATTTTAAAAAAATGTTTTTGTTTTTTTCTTAATATAATCAAGGTGTACACGTGTAGTAGATGCAACTTTACATAATCCACAGGCCTATAAATGTGACCAAAATAATATCTTCATTAATAATTATTTTCTACTGAATTGCTAACTGTGAAATGATAACTGTGAACCCATAGTATTTTATTATATCTGCCCTGTATAAAACGCATGACTACCACAGCAATAAATAAACACAAGATTGCAAAACAAATTCTAACTAAAGGCACGGATCATTGACACAGCTAAATGCCACTTTATCATACACATCTGTAACAGCAATAATTCATTTACCTGAAATCCAGATTGGTAACTGGATACTTGTCTATAAGAAATGGTTTAACAGCCATATGCCTTATGGGGCTTTCTCCATCTTTACCATCAGGGGCATTTGTTCCCATCTGGAATTTTCCACCATCAAGATGTACCATATTTCCTTCATCATTCCCTATAATTACAAATATTGAATTTCTCTTGTGTATATAGGATATGATAGTAAAGAAATTATTTTATAAAAGCAAGTTATTTAATTAGACCCCGGAATGTTAGACAAGCATTTTGAATTTAGTGCTTTCTTCCATTGAAATGTTTACTATGGCTCAACAACAAAAATAGTTACAGAGAAATTCTATTAAAAGAAGCAAGGACTTGCATGGGGCTAAATGAAAAAAAAAAAAAAAAAAACATTGCTAAAGGTCAAGCAACAAAATACTTCTGTGGAGTCACACACGCTCAGGGGTCGCAGCAGGTTCTGCAAAAACATGAAGCAAACCCTGAAATTTGAACTTTCAGGAAGTAAAAAGGACCAAAGCAGCAAACTGAAATCTAATAAAGGCCTTGGTTTAATAACCTTTCCAAATGATTCAATACTGTTAGAAATGTTTTAAAGTGATTTAGCTACCGAAGTCCCCATAAAATTATATAAGAATTTTTGTAGATAACTTATTTGGAAATTGACACGGCCGGTTTTCTCTGAGTCAAAGGTATAATAGAGCCCCAAAGCACATTTCGCCTGCTGGGCGGCTCTTTAGAGGGAAACTAGACCGAACAGGACCAATTAATTTGAGACTTTGGAATATTTAAACCTCCTTAATTGGAGGCTTGTTTCCCCCTAATCAGCCGCCCAACAGTCGAAAAGCGCGTCGGGGCTCCATTATACCTTGGACTCAGATCTGCCGTGTCTGGCGCCACAGTATTCACACTACTCGGCAATTCATAGAAGGAAGAATCACCCATTTGAGAAGTCCAGGTATACTCATTAGGTCCTGGCACTACTAAATTAGAGATAGTTAGCTTAGGCTTGCATGTCATGCCCAGGTGCCCTTGAAGGCACAGAATAGAGGTGTGTTAGCAGTGCCGAATCTCATGTCGCTCTGTTAACACACTAAACAGCATTAGAGAGACAGTCAGCTCCGGCTTATCTTTCAAGCCCAGGTGCCCCTGAAGGCACAGGATAGCAGTACTTACTCGAGGTGTGTTGGCAGTTCCATATGTATTGTTTTGCTGTAGATATAATAGTAGACTAACTTGGTGACTGAGGCTGAACTCTTACCCTGTAAGATCTACCGGGTAGATACAAAAGCCATTATTACCTCTAGATCAAGTATTCTACGATTATTAGGTTTAGGCTCTTTTTCATCACCATTGTACATACTTTGAATGTATATTTTTTGATATCCTTGTCTCTATCCACACTTGTAAATACCTTGGTTTACACGAGATCCACATCTCATGTGGTTCTTTTCATGTTTTAATATATATGTGGTAGTATTCTACTATTTAAATCGATTCCTTTTAACTTACTACTCATTCCTCCATTAAGTGATACCCAATAAAGGTTAAGTTTCATTTATTTAGCGATTCTGTGGTCAGGGCACATGTTCATTTTTTGTCCTCATTATTGGGTTCATGCCCCTTTAGCCCTTTGAGCTTAAATATATATATTTTTTCTCTCAAACATCCATCCATCTAGGTCAGGGACTATTTTGTCTGTATTTCTCCTGCACCTGACTTTCTGACACAAGATGGAGCTACAGTGTCAACCTCGATGGCTGCAGGGAATTGGCTGTATCTAATGGAGGATCTTCCCGCGGTCTTCCGTGATCCCCCATGGATCTCATTGCAGTGCTCTCATGAGGACCCCACCGGATCAAGATGGCTGCACCGGAGCACCAGCAGTGATGTCAACATCGGGGGACTTCGCGAATTTGGCAAACTCCTCAAACAGTGACAGTGCCACTCTCATTTGTAATGCCAAAAATGAGCACTTAATTGTATTTGGAAGAATTTTTCTAAAAGTGCTATTTTTACCTATATTTTGAAATTGACTTTCCGCTCCCAGCAGTTCTCACTTTAGTGAATAACCCTGTAAGCCAAAACAGGAAAACTGGAAACACGCGTGGCTTTGTCGCTATTGAGTAAACCTGGCCTACAAGTTGTGATTGAATTATAATTGCTGTCAATGCCGAGTGTAGTGAATGACCCTCTCCAGGGAGCACTGTGAGCCCTGCATGTGGGCAGTGCATGCTTTACCATTCATTAATGCAGCCTTAGTGCAGGTGACGCTCCATAAAGGTTACACCCTGCAGGGCAGCACTTATTTCCCGTTATCCTCCTGTATAACAGCACACCCGCAGCCATGAACACCCACTTATTATAACACAGTCACCCGGCAGCGGGTGTGCAGGAGCCGCAATGCCGAGCTCCATGGAGCTCACTCACCCTGTGATATCGGCAGAGTAACCGTGCTCAGCAATGCCAGACACAGGGCTGCCCGCATCGTAAAACAAGGCAATGCTCTCATTAACCAGCGAGCCCTACGGAGACAGCTCGTGACCCGGAACTCATTCACTCCGGCAGCCATGTTACTGGAGGCAGTGGTGGAGCTTGATGGACGCCATCTTGCTGGGGGCAAAGGAATGTCATCCACACAATCACTTCAGCACCATAAACTGCACACGTGATACTGCAAAAACGTGCCCTTAGTGTGCAAGAATTGTAGCTTTTAAATATAGCATATGTATAGAAATATAAATAGAGAGAGAACAAAAGTTCAAATACAAAAGAAAGATCATGTTGTTTTTTTTTATTCCTTTAAATAGTGACTTGGAAGACAATGACAAAGTGTAGGCAAAAATAATTGACTTGGAATATTTTTTATTTTTTTACTGAGCTATAGTTACAGATTGACCCTATATAGACTGTTTTTCAATTTGGATTTTACTCCACTTATCTTTTTAGTGAAGAAACTAATTTTTAAAGTAAATGCTAGATATTATTCACTCTGCCTCAATTGTTGCTATGTTTTGTACTGAAGTGTTAACAGACCTTTTTACCCTTAATTTGTGTTACCAGTTAGTGTTGTATTGAGTGAGCCATTTAAAAATAGTAATCATAAAGTAATAATTACATTATTAATCTAATCTATTGACTGTGTGGTGTTACTCCGACCACCACGACTACTTCGGTGATTTGAAGTGGTCATGGTGGTAGGAGCCTGAATGTGCAGTGTTTGTGCTTGGCAATCTATGGCACAATCTGCCTCCCATCCTTGCCCCTCTATAGCGATGTCTGTGGGACATGTTTTCAGCGACTGGTTAGCAGCCTTTGTTTATGTTGTGGACAAAAATATTAACCCAATTTATATCAGTAAAATGTCTATTTACTCAACATAACTGCAATCAACATTATTCAACTTTCTTTGTGATTTACCTAAAATGGCCGCTAGGGAGTTTCCCCTTCAACATCAACTAACACCCTCATTAACAAGATGGTGCTGGAATCTGGGGGAGACCTCCAAGATACCAGTGACATCACCCCCAGTAGGCAGAGCATTAAATGAACCACTTAACACCTAACCAATTATTGATGTATTATTTCATGTTATCTCTGACAATGCTTATGATGTAATTTTGCTTTATAAGGGACATGTCGTCGTCCCTGAATAAAGATTCCTCAAGTTTTTCACTAACCCGAAACTTCTGGTGAAAAGTGTCTGGTGTGAATTACTTCAGGAGCGTGCATGCACTATTTCTTTAATTTGGCCGGGGGCAGATACTCAATATAATCAATTTATTGATTGATTTCCACATCAGTTTAATATATAAAAATGTGCTCTATTACTAGGGCAAAGCGGGCACATTGCTGCTACTTATTTATATTGATTGCTGTATTCTCCAACTGAAGACACAAATTGCATGATTCCGTTTATACATACTAGTCCTTCCTTTAGTTGTATTTACTGCTTAATCCAGTGTTTTTGGTATCTCAAAAATAAAGATGCTTCTGCTCAGTGCCATCTTAACAGCATTATGGGGCCCCGGGCAAAGCACTGCACTGGGGCCCTACTTACACAACCACTCGCAGGAAAAAACCTGTAAATTATCGATAAAATGAAGCTTATATTTATTGGTACCTCTAACAAATGCAATGCATTCATACAATACAATCACACATACTCTGAATACACCCACACAGACTGCTGAATACATCCACATCAGGCTTCCCCAAACTCCGGCCCTCCAGATGTTGCTGAACTACAACTCCCATGATTCTATGAATTAAATAGATAGGCTGAGAATCATGGGAGTTGTAGTTCAGCAACACCTGGAGGGCCAGAGTTTAGGGAAGCCTGTTCCACACAGAGTGCTTAATACACCCACACAGAGTGCTGAATACACACACTCGGAATGCAAAATACACACAGGCTGCTGTATACACACAGGCTGCAGAATACACACACAGACTGCTTAATACACACACACTGCTAAATACATACACATACTGCAGAGTACACGCATATCTCTGAATAAATACACAGAGACTGCTGAGTACACACACAGACCTCTGAATACATACACAGAGACTGCTGAATACAGACAGAATGTGGAGTTCACTCACACAGACTTCTTAATACACACACACAGACTGCTGAATATATGCAGACTGCTGAATACATGCACAGACTGCTGAGTATATACACATGCTGCTGAATACACTCACACAGACTGCTGAACACACACACACGCACACACACAGACTGCAGAACACAAACACACAGACTGCTGAATACACAGACAGATAGTAGTGAGGGGTGTAGTGTTTGTGGAGGTGCTGTGTGTGGATCTGTGTGTGTGAGGGGTGCTCCATGTGTGTGAGGAGTGCTCTGGGTGTGTGAGAGGTTCTCCATGTGTGTAAGGCAAACATGTCAAACTCAAAGTCTGGCACAGGCCACACAAACAAGGTTTAAGTTTACGTGGGCCGAAAAAAAAAAAAAAATACCCTACATTTTCATAGAAACTTCGGTTAATTTACAAAAAGTACAGTATAAAAAATCCCCCCAGCATCCCCCTCTACTAAACCACAGCACCCCCTCTACTAAATCCCAGTTCCCCCCTCTACTAAACCAAAGCATCCCCCTCTACCACTCTGAGCCAAATCTGATCCTCCCGCTGACACACACACATACTCACTGACAGACAGACACACACCCACACATACACTCACTGACAGACACACACATACAGACACACATATACAGACACACTGAAAGACACACACACATACTCACTGACCGACACACACATACTTACTGACAGACACACACACACTCACTGATAGATAGACAGACACACACACTCACTTTTCTTTATTGCTCCCTACCTTTCGGAGCCGATGTGGGGCCTCTCCCTGGGGTCCTTCTATCTGCTCCTCACTGCTCCCGCACACGGTTTAGTGATGCCGGGTGCCGGAATATGACGTCATATTCCGGCGCCCAGCTTCACTACAAATGGTGCACATGATGGAGCAGTAAGGAGCAGGAACATTGAACTCTCTCGCTGGCCCTCCTCCTTGGCCGGGTAAGTGTTAGCAGAATAAGACCACAATAATACTCCCGCTACTGGATAAAATATCCAGACACTAGAGTAAAGACTGGAATTAAAATAAGAATGAAAAACTCGTAACTAAGATGTTAAATGCTTAATAAATGAAGGAATGATGACAGTACATCGCTAATACCCATTCCTAACAGTCAGAATCCAGTGAAAATCAATCTTGCCAAATGACTCACCTCCAAATTCCCTAGTCAAAAACATATATCTATAATGCTACAGACTGCAGACTTTAATTATATCTCATGAGGTCAAAGTCTGAAAGCATAGAGATTAGGTCATCATGTCCCTAGAATAAAAAGACATATATATATATATATATATATATATATATATATATATAACACAAATAATGGCACTCACCCTTCCTAATGTACTAAATAATAGAAATGCCCTGGTCTTTTTAAGAATATTAACGGTCTTTAATCCGTAAAAGGTTTACAGGCTGTTTGATCAACGTTTCGACCCGTTCAGGTCTTCCTCCAGATCCTGAGGAAGACCCGAATGGGTCGAAACGTTGATCAAACAACCTGTAAACCTTTTACGGATTAAAGACCGTTAATATTCTAAAAAAGACAGAAGAGTGCATTTTTTTTCAGCGTAAAAAAAAAAAAAAATATATATATATATATATATATATATGGAACTGGTCGAGAACCAAATGCTAGCTGTATACCTAAAAGACTGTCGGTAGCTTAATGGTAAGACCTCAAAAACAGAGAGAAACTACCTTATAAGTCTAAGAACACAGATAGACTAATATGGTGAGTGAAATGATGGGCTTGTGTGGGAACACAAATACAAAACGCCCAAAATTGGCTAGAGATTAAACTGCTATAGTTGAATATATAATGTCTCTTTTTTGCCACAGGTTGTAATTCAAGGCAGATCATACTACAGCCCTTCCTACCTCTGTATCAGCCTTAAATAGTTCACTTCACACTGTGTGTGATGGATGCTGTGTGTGTGTGTGTGTGTGTGTGAGGGTGCTGTGTGTGAGTGTGGTGTGTGAGAGTGTTGTGTGTGATTGTATCCCCCCTCCCCTCTTACCTGGTGGTGCTAGTGGTGAGTGAACTCTAGCCTGTGGGAACAAGAAGAACCCGGCGGAGCTGCAAGATAGAGCTCCGCCTGGTCCTCTCTCTTTGATCTCCCCACTACTCCAGGGCTGGAGCTCATATAGCATGGGCCCTGTATGGACCGGCCGGGGAGGTCTTGTGACTTGCCCTGCCGGCATTGGCCCATGGCCCTCTCAGCCCTTTGGGCATTTGCCCAGTGTGCCTGATGGCCAGTCCGGGCCTGATGCTAGTGATCAGGATAATTCCACCATACATTTAGCAATGTGCTCATTTGTAACCCATTTCATTTTATTTTCACCAGTGTCTTAAGGAAAATAAAGTGTTAAAAGAACACTTCAGCATTACACTGAATTTGCTCTCATTTTTGTTAGATGCTCACTAAGATCTCCCAGGCAACTCCAATGTTATATCAAAGTATTGGAGTCAGCAATTGCCAAGCTGTGCCAGTAGAATGCTTGTCATAGAGAAAATCAAAATCCAGTGTTTCTCTATGAATAACCTTTAAATCTGATTTGAATGAGTGCTCAAACCAATTGAGGAAGAATACCTTCATGACTGATTAAAAATGGAAGGGTTACAGGCCTGACTGTCAAGCTGAGTGGACGCTGGTGTCAGGATTACATAATGATCCAGCACGTAGAATTGTGTAACACAGAGGACTGATAGGTAACGTATACCGGATCTTAGAATGGCCGGACTAACGTACCAAAGAATAGTCAGGAATAGCCGAGGTCAAGGGATACAGAAAGAGACACAACGATAAGGAAAAGCCAGGAGTCAGGGATGCCAGAAAATAGGGAAGTCAAAAACAATGCCAAAGTCAAATAACCAGAATAACCAAAATCAATAACGCGCTTTCGGACAACCACAAGGGAAACCACGACCGGGCACTGAGCCGGATGAGAACTGGGCCTAAATACCCCTCCTCTAGATCTGATAGGCTGTAACCGGCCTTTGACCCCAAAGGCAGTTACCAGGTTTCCATTTGCATAATTGCTACTCAGCATTAACCCTTCTGTGGATTTGGTTGCTGTGTGGACTTTTCCTGTGTGGACAGTAAATACCATTAACCACATTTTTATAAGCGGATGAATACGTGACAGCTGGTCACATCGGCTAACAAGCTTAAAGGGACACTATAGTCACCAGAACAGCTACAGCTTATTGTATTTGTTCTGATGAGTATAATCGTTACCTTCAGGCTTTTTGCAGTGAACACTGTCTTTGTCAGAGAAAAGGGAGTGTATACATTACAGCCTAGGGATACCCTGGCCACTCCTCAGATGGCTACTAGAGGTGCTTCCTGTGTCAGTGCTTCACAATGTGCAGCACTGCCATTCAGTGTCTCCACCCTCTGCATGGACACATTGCACTTTCTTCTTAGAGATGTATTGATTCAATGCATGTCTAGAAGGAGATGCTGATAGGCCAGGCAGTGTTTGGCTTGTGCTGGATCTGCCCCTGATCTACCTACTTGACAAGCTCAGCCAATCCAATGTTTTCCTATGTGACAGCATTGTTATTGGTTCAGAACACCCCTTCTGATTATGTCAGCCAAGTAGGCAGATCAGGGGCATAGCCAGCAGCAGCAGACTGGAATAAGTGTAGGATTTTGCTATATTGAGAGGCAAGGGGGACCAGGGGGGCTAGATAGTGGCTTTTAACACTATAGGGTCAGGAATAAATTTTTGTATTCCTGACCCTACAGTCTTCCTTTAACTCACACAGTTGCTCAATATTAATGATTTTAGCCCTTTGAAGGTTTCCAATCTACATCAGGAGACACCTGGGCATCCCTCTATACAAGAATCAATTCTCAATTTACCGACAGCTCGTGCCGGTTAGCAGATGAAACTTCCAGCATGGTCCATGCCCTGCTAGGCAAAGTACTAAGCCAGCTTGTATAACCAAGCGCAAGCCACGCGTCTGGAGGCAAAATCACTTCTCCAGAAGTGATTACAGAGGGCAAAGTTTGTAGGCAGTGGGCACAAGTTCCTGTTGGAGCCTGGACCTTGTGGGCAGCCATGCAGGGTGATAGAATGTGTGACTACAATGGTAGTAGTAGTTGGGCAATAGATGCTTATCAGGGCAGATACAACACACATTGGACTTTCTTCTTAGAGATGCATTGATTCAATGCATGTCTAGAAGGAGATGCTGATAGGCCAGGCAGTGTTTGGCTTGTGCTGGATCTGCCCCTGATCTACCTACTTGACAAGCTCAGCCAATCCAATGTTTTCCTTCTCTATTTTCCTGGTCTCTGCCTGAACACAAGGGGCATCGGTTGAACAGGCTGCTACCCAGGGATCACTCGACTGGACAGTATATCTGGGCTGTAGCCCCTAATTTGTTGCTCATATCACAGTGACAATCCTGCTGCAGATCAATATACTCTTTAAGTGTCTCTCCTCTTGAGCACCTTCACTTGTTGTATCTGCCCTGATAAGCATCTATTGCCCAACTACTACTACCATTGGTGGTTTCACCCTAAAATATCACTTGTTTGCTTTGTATTTTCTTTCATTGATTCAATCAATCATCAATGTTTTATCGGATGCTTAGACATGTTCACTTTGCATTTTTGTTTATTTTTTTTAATTAAAAAAATGAGAAAGTTCAACCAGGAGTATATCTAATGACAGTTTCTTTGACATGTGTTTATCTGAAACAGCTCCTTTTTTCTTTATTGTACTGTACTATGCAATGTCTAAAGAAAAGTTAGATTGATAAGAAAATGGAAGGGTACAACCTAGGAGTTTAAAAAACAAACAAACAGTCTGTTTCATATGAGTTTTGATTTTTTATTTTTTTGCAAGTTTTGCAGGAAAAGTATAAAAAAAGACAAGCAAATTATAAATTAAGATTATTTTATTACTAATATATTAAAGACAGAATTGTCTGAATTAGAAAGAGCAAAAAAATAAAGTATAATCTTGGGCATCAACACAAAGTTTAACCCACAGGAAAAAGATTTAGTTTCACAATCAACCGTGCATTTTTCTATACATATTTGTGCGTATACAGTATGTAAGGAATAATTGATGACAGACCGTTGAATTATTAGAAAAATAATGCACACCACAGGTGGTAATGCGGTCACGATGCGAAGCGGAGTAGCCGTTACACCTCGGGTGTGCATTATTTTTTTCTAATAATTCAACGGCCTGGAGTCAATTATTCCGCTTATACTACAGTTACCACACCTCGAAACATTGTTCAGATGATGTATTTCAAGGCATTTGTCAAGTTTTTGTCATTAAAACGCTCTTGTATGTAGGACTAATTTCTTACGCAACTGTAATGCGGTCAAGACCTGTCTGTAACTACTTTAGCCGTGCGTCTCCCTGAAAATAATGCACACCTTAGAACGTTCGTCAACCAATCAGATCGAAGCATTCAACGGCCCTGTAGTATAAGTATATGTAGTAAAATATTTTTTGGCAACAGCAATATTTGTGATTCTTTTGCGGTCAATTGTTTGAGACCCACTAACACTGCTTGTTGATATACTTTTGGCGCAAGCTCAAGCTAAGCATATGCCAGCACAGTTCAGTTATATATTAGACTGGCAAGCTACAAGCCAAGAAAGTACATAATTAACTTACAATGTTCACTTAAGTGTGCTCTGTCAAGAATTCAAAGTGAATTTAAAATTTGAGTACACTATAGTCGAATTGGATAAAATTAAAAAAAAAAAATCCCTAGTTTATTTATGTTTACTGATGGATTATGTGTGTGTCAGTGTATCTGTGTCGTTATGTGTGTATGGCAGTGTATGTCCATACATCCCAGCAATCAAATGCCAGCACTATACACAAATACACTCCTGCATTCAAATTCCAATGCTACACATAAATGTACACCTGCATTCAAAAGTTAAATAGCCAACACTCAGAGGAGTACCTAGGTTAAAACCTGGGTGGGATAGTATGATGACACCCTCCTTGTCTGTGCCTCCTAACCCCTCTCATTCTCTCCTCACCCCCTTACAGCTATTGTCTCTTTTATACTTGCTTACCTTTGTGTGTCTCCCCCTTACTCCTTATGTCTCTTAAAACCCCTCATCCCCTAGTATGTATCTTTACCCCTCTAAGCCTATTGTGTCTTTTATCCCCTCTTTCCCCTTTGTATCTCTTAACCTCCTCTTACATCGTGTTTCTCTTAAATCCGTCTTTTAGCTTTTATGTGCCTCTTAATCCACTTTTTACCCCTCGTGTGCCCCTTATCTCCCCCAGTTTATAAACCTGGTATGCCTCACCATCTTGTGTGTCTCCTAACCAGCTTTTACCATTTCTGTGCCTCTTAACCCACCATTACATCATTGTTTGCCTTTTAGTCCCCATATCCCTGGTGCTTCTTAACCCCATTTTAAACCATTGTGTGCATTTAACAAACCTTTAACTGCTACGTCCCCCTCACCCCACCCCACACACACACTTTGTTGTGTGAGTTACACAACAGTTGAAGATCTAGCTTTTTGTCCACCATTGCACTAGATTGGGGCCCCAAAAACATTTACTGCACCAGGATTGTCTCAACTAGTTCTGCCAATGGTTAAATCACAATTTTTCAGTTGAGCTATGTTGTCTTAGAATTTGACATACATGTTGAATTCTAAAAACTCTCACCTTAGTGAGTACTACTGTCTTTGTTCATTACATACAAACACTATTAAAAAAAAAAAAAAAAGAACCGAGCAGAGCAGGCTCTAAATATGTTTGGTTATGGCCAAATGCCAGCTGGAAGGATTGATAATGCTTGGCCAATATCAGATAATGTCGATGATTTGACATATAGGCATTTCAGTTTTCCACAGATTGTGTAAAAATTACAAAAACGTTAAGAAAAAAAAAAAAAAAAAACTTTGCTCACAAATAGTTGTAGTGAAGATGTTCTAAAACATTACATCCCTATTTATTCTTCTTTTCAGTCACGCTTCCCTCAAGAGTGTGTTTGAAGTTAATGGTAGTGATGTCATCATCACAGCCTGTCCTGCTAACAGGAAGTTGATTTTTATTGGCTGGCTCAGCAAAAAATTCAAAGTTGGAAGTGCAGTATATCGTCCCCTTGATGTGATTAGCCAAATGTTACTACAAAAATAATGGAATTTATTTGCTAAACTAAAATTGCCTAATAGCCAAGTTTCAAGACTAGTTTCCAGGTTTGATCTCAAATGTACAATTCTCAGTTTAGCAATTAAATCAAAATGTTGTAAGCAATGATTTATGTGGGCTGCCCTAGAATAAATTAGCACGGTCATTTCCTCTCATTGATCCTTAATGCCAACTAAGGAACGTGAGAGACATCATTTCACAGTCAGGGATAGAGGGGTCTTTAGAGTTGGTTCAGTTGATCAAATGAAATAATGCATCCACAATAGTGGAGATAAGGAAAACATTTAACATAAGTATGTCAACTTAATAGCATCTGCTTAAAGCAATGTGAAAAGTGATACAGTCTATTACATACATCCAACTCTCAAACAACACAAATAAAAGTGCTTTAGGTTCTTGCACACACCACTAGAGCTAAGTAAACCAAAATGACTAAATGAATGCATGTTAAATACAATGCAAAATGTGCATTCAGTTTTTCAGAGCTCAGGATTAACTTTCTTATTTTTAAAACGTATTAAAAATAAAGTATTACCTTGAATATAGGCCCAGTATACATTATTTTATAATGGATACTTTTAAGCTAATACTTAGCTTCCCTGCTAATCCTTGCTAAATGGAGGAGGCCATCTTTAGGTTCTCTTTAGCTGCAAATGTTGCTTTTCCAAACATTAACTGCACGGTCGAAAGACCATGCAGGATATCAAGAACCAGTGCAAGTTCATTAATCTGAACATCTTGATCAAGCATCTCAAAATAAATGCATGCTGGGACAGTTTAAGACCTTTATATTGTGCATGACCTTAATCGATAAGCAGTGTTTATGATCAAAAGATAACTCAAAGATGACCAACTCCGCAGAGGAAGGGTAAATAAAATCCAAAGACACTTTAGGAAGGACCAATTCTCATAGTATTCTGACTTTCTTGTAGAGCAAAGAGTTAATGGAGCGTGTTGCATTTGGAGTGAAAATACTTCTGCAGGTGTAATATTATAATAAAAATATAGTCCAACTTAGATCATGAGAGAGAAAATATATAATGGGTAAATTAGTCTAAAGACACTAATATAATTAGTGAGTAATTTGTTAAGTCTAGGAATAGGAGAATAGTATAGCCATTCTATTTGTTCAAAAACTACCGTAAATATAAAAGGACACAATTATATAAGCACCTTTGTGTTCTACACTGAATTAAAAAATAAAGTGGAAAGGGAGGTGATCTAGACCAGATATCTGAAGAAGACAAGACAAATGTAACTAATCCCTGTAACAATACTAGTAAAATATATCATTGTGATTCATTTTGATACTGTCGCTGTCTAGTTCTCTCAACAGCTCCTCGAAGTCTGTAATATACCACTTGGCTTTTTCCTTCACCTGCTGTCTTGTCACGTTGCCTCCAAACCCGATGAATCCATCCTAAATTTAGGAAAGGATAAAAAATAAAGATGAAAATCTTCACTGGAATGACGTTTCCAAAAACAATATTATAGAGAGTAACAGACTATATTTGAAGTGGGTCTGTCAACTTTCAGATTTTGGTCTAATTACATTTACCTTCTTTGCCCACCTAAACATTCTCCTTTTTTTTTTTTTTCCTGCAAAACTTGTCACTCACCTTATTTCCTCTTACTTCTCCCTCATCAAACTGTCTGGATATAAAATCTACCATCAGAGGTATAAAAATAATATGGAGTAATGCAAATAAGATTAGATACTCTAATGCTGGTCTTTTGGTAAAAGGCTAGAAAAAAATCCCTGCTACAGAGACACATTACCCATCAGGCAGTATTGGCTGCCTCCTAGGGCTCGATGGTCCCATAAATGAGCCTAGAGCTCCAACTCTATCTGTGAGGGAGCCCTCTCTAAAACGAACTTACCTTAAGGGAGCATTGTGGTCTGCAACTCAGTCAGGTGCAGACCATTTTACGAGCTCCCTCATGGTCGTGGCACTTCTCATTGGCTCAAAGTATTGCAGAAATCCTGCCTAAAGTGCATTCCACTAAACACCTTCCTGCTAAAAGGTAAGCAGGAGGGGGACAAATTAAAAACTTACAGCCATACACACAACTTCCTTTCCCAACAAACTTATACGTCACACACTACTCTCACACAACACTCAACCACACACACACACATCACATAATTTTGTCCAACAGGATGCACATTATCGTTCACCTTCTTTGTGCAAGTCATTTGATATTTTCAAGTACTATGTTACCACTGGCAGCGCTACCAACCAGCTGGAAAATAGTTGTTTACCTCCGCTAGAGCAAGGGTAAATAGTGTGGCAGCTGGTCAGCGCTTGCTAGCCAGCCTCCACATTAAAAAAAATGTAAAACAAATATATATATATATAAAAAAAAACCTATGGAGTTTAATAAGAATTTTTTGTTTGTTTTTTTTGGGGGGGGGGAAGGTATATCTACTAAATGTTTAAAACTAGCAAAAGGGATTGATGTAATGCGTTATATTTCATCAGAAACGGATCAAAATGCTTTCATACACAAAACGGGACTGCGAGCCCGAGACACAATTTATGTCTGTATTGATTCGTATAACTTTTACCATCTATGAAAAATAAAAACGATTTTAAAAAAAATAAAATAAAAAAAATAAAACTAGCAAAAGGGAAAATAATTGCTTCCCAATCGCTAGAAAAGCCTCTTCCCCATTGGATGGGGCCTGTAAAATAACAGGAGTGGACATATTCTTCCCTGTGAGCATCAGGTGGGATCATTTAACATAAATAATGGTGGGGGATGTGGACAGATTACTGCCCCATCTGCGGTCAGTGGGTGGGTTCTAATGTCCCCAGCCCCCACCCACTAGCGGAAGGTGGGGGCTCTAATAAGAATATCCATGTACAAGGGAAGAGTGTAGCCATTGTTTATCACCACAAATTGCTAATGTCACCACCTCGGGATTGGTGTGTGGACACTAGTTCCCCTGCCTTAATATTACATTAGACTCCAACTGCCGCCAGGCCCAGACTGGCCATCGGGCATACCGGGCAAATGCCCTGTGGGCCGCGATGGCCATGGGCCAAAGTTGGCAGGGGAGATCACAGGATCTCCCCGGCTGGCCCATGCAGGGCCGTCACTATCAGAGTGCCTGCCCTGTTGTGTGCCTTCATGGGCTGGTGGGGAGATCAAAGATCTCCCTCACCGGCCCACAGGCACTGTAATGCTGCCGCTGGCTGGGGAGGGATCCTCTCGCGAGGTCGGAGCGTTACGGATACCATGGCAATGCTCAGATCTCGCGAGAGTGAACTCTACCCCAGAACCTGCAGGTTAGAGTTCACTCACCAATAGGACCACCATGGGCTGCAGCACGGCCCTCCTCCATGGCTGCACGGCTCCCCCCTCCCAGGCTAAAGGTAAGAATATGTCCCTCCAGACATATTCACACACACAGCACACACACACTAACAGCACACACACAGCACCCTTACACAAACACACAGCACCCTTACACAAACACACAGCACCCTCAGACACACACAGCACCCTCACATATATAATATATAAAATAACCCTCAATGAGTTAACAGACAAAGAGAATTAGACACAGAATGCGATGGCAGATAAGAACACCCTCACACACACACAGCACCCCTCTTACACACACATGCTGCACCCAACACACTGCGACCCTCACACATACAATACATCCAAACACACACACACATATATATATATATATATACACACACACACACTACAGCACCCCTCACACTGCACCACTACACACATTACGCTCCAGATACACGCTAGATCCCTTACCCAACTCTGCATCATCTAATCTACACACACACACACACACACACACAATCTCCTATACACACTCTGGGTCCTTTACACACTAGATCCCCTACACACACACACACACACACACACACACACTGCACCACCTACACACACTACATTCCTGACATACAAACTCTGTATCCCCTATGCACACACTACATTCCTTGTTAGCAAACACTTGCAGCATTCTCTACAACCCCTACACACACTACAGCCTGTATGCACACACTCGCTACATCCCCAATACACACTATGTCCCCTATACACATACACTATCTACAGCCCCTAGCACGATACGCTTTCCTGGCCCTTTTGTATCCCACTTACGGAGACATCAGAGACATGTTATTAAATTTGCTTGCGCTGCGCAGAACAAACACAGGGCCTTTTTCTCATGCTAGAGCTCTTCAGCAGGGCTCTGTGCATTGAACTAACATGCTCACTTTGAGAGGGGGCCTGCTTGTCATTAGTGATGACAAAACACACCCTCTCTGGCCCCGACCCCTTCTCAGGGGGCCGCTAAGATTGAAAAAGGCCCGGGCCAAATATTTTTCCCAGTCCGGCCCTGACTGGCACTAATGGGTAAGTAGCCCTCACCTGCTGTCCACCTGTGGGGGCAAGTGGACAGCGATCTGTCTTCCCACCACCTAATAACAATGGGACTGGGTATCAATGATCCCCACCTGTTATTTTACAGGTCATACAGATGTGGCTTTTCTAACAACTGGGCAGCAATGACTGCCCAGTCACCGGTTTTAAACATTCAGTTGTTTAAAACCCTCATTGGGGTTGTTTATTTATTTATACTTTTTTTTTTTTTTTTTAATATGGCTCCTGTCTTGCAAGCTCTGCTTTAAGGCATTCGACTAATGCATCTAAAATTTTGATACCTCTTCATTGGAGGGGGAGAAAAGTCACCAACTATTACTAATGCCTAAATAGGGTTGAGGAAATTTGCTACATGGAGAGTCAGATAGCTTCAGTTCGGGATAAAGTAGACCAAGTAACTAGGTTAAGGCATGTCTAGGACAGATTCCTTGATACTTTCCAGAAATGTGGATCTAATTAAACCTATAAACGATAAATAGACATTATATAAAGCAAATACTATTTGTGGTAGGACATCTAAGATATTCCAAAGTGGTTTAATCTGTATTATATAAAATATGCATACAATAATAAAATGATGAGAATAGGTTACTGCAGAACCTCAAATAGCAGAAGAAATTCACTTCTCTGCTGCCTAAATGTACCTGCACTATTTGCTCAACATAAGGTGTGCATAAACTGAACCCAAAAAAGTAAAAAAAAAAAGGCACAAGACTCAAAAAAGGATTTGCTGGGTGCAAATCACAAGAATCTGATGTGGAGAATCAAAGACAAACGTTTTGAACAAATTGCCCTCTCATTGTACAATGCATTGAGATAGAGCAGATTGCACAGAAACGTTTGTCTTTATTCTTGTGTAGCTGTTTAACACCTAGTAAATGCTTGTACCTTTTTTGTGTATATTTTTGGTTCCTTTATCAAAATATATGGAAATTTTATATTTTTGTTGTTAATGTAATCATATTATATGCAAATCATCGGAAAGAGAAGGACTCCATATGCATGTCCTTCCCAGCCCTCCCTTGAGATGCAGGATCAGTACACAGGCTAAACAGGAATGGTTTACATATGGCCGTGCAATGGTGAAAATTGGTAAATAGCAGTTTAATTTACCGTGGGGGTGGATTAGTGGCTTTGGAGGGCCCCTGGGGAGTGACAGCTGTGCAGTGCCAGACACGGGGGCTGATGTAGAACTTAGTACATGGGATAAACTCCTCTAGAGGGTTGTTGGCAAAGTGCGGCGGGGGAGGCCAAGTCTTACGTATTTGGAGCAATCAAAACTCCAACACTTGTGTGTTTAGTGGTAAGGATTTTGCCAGCCTCAACATTCTAGGATGATGATCAATAAAGAACATGTCATGCTCATATATAAAGGGTTATTATTATATTGCCAGAATCGTGTATGTGTTTTGTGGGTGAACAGGTGTTGTGCAAGGGTTAAAATCAGGGGAAGAGGGCCTTATAGTGCTGGAGTATTTACCCTTGTGCCTTTGGCAAGAAAAACATTATGCCTACAAGTCTCTGAGTCTATGCCTATATATCTTGCCTTGACTTTCTACCCCCATAGTCTGCCTTTAAAAAAAATGTGATTGCCTTTATTGAGATGATGGCAGCAACTACACTATATGGACAAAAGTATTGGGACACACATCTTAATTATTGGATTCAGGTGTTTCAATCAGACCCATTGCCACAGGTGTATAAAATCAGCAAAAAAAAATATGAGAACTCATAATAGTTTTTGCTCACTTGTGCCATTACAGAGAGAATATATCTGAAGCATATCCTACCCGTACAGGCAGTCCAGAATGCCAGCATATTATCTCTGCAGGAGAGATACAGCAACCCCAGACGATCGTTTCGGCCTTCTTTTACAGACCTGAGCAGGGATTTACAGAAGGGCAAGCTATTGCGTTTCTCTAAGCTTTTGTACGTTCTCAGAGTTCTCATATTGTTTGTTTTTGTATGAACTCAAGCACCTAGCCATGCAGTCTGCATTTACAAACATAAAAAAAAAAAAAGAGCTTAGTGAATTTAAGCATGGTACTGTGATAGGTTGCCACCTTTGCAAATTTATGAAATTTCATCCCTGCTAGATTTGCCACTGTCAACTGTAAGTGGTATTATTGGAAAATGGAAGTGTTTAGGGATAGCACCACCTCAGCCACAAAATGGAAGACCATGTAAAGTTACAGACCAGGGTCAACAAGTGCTGAGGCACGCGGTGTCAGGGTACCTGTTGGTAATGTATCCAGGGAGGACATCCTCTCTGCTTAGGGGCTCCCTTCCCCTAGCATTTCGGCATATTTCGGCCGTTTTCGCGCCGGCCGCGCTAGCTCCTCCCCCTTTTATGACGCGACGGCTAGCGTCGACGTCATGACGTCGGCATTTGCATAAAGTGCCGGGAACCGCTATTCCGGACCTTTTGGGGGCGTGGTCTCTATTTAGGTAACAGGGTATTTAAAGGAAACCTTTACTACTGCTCATTGCCCTGTCGTGGTTCTAGCTTGCTAGTCACTCAGCGCGTTCTTTATCTAGTGTTTCCGGTTTTGACCCTTGCTTGCCTTTTGTCCTGTTGTCCTCTCCTCTCCTTTGACTCGGCTTGTATCTCGCTTACCTGTCCTCCGGCTCCCTTGACCTCGGCTTACCTTTTGACTATTCTTGCTTTGTCCTTACGTTAGTCCGGCCATTCTAAGGTCCGGTATACGTACCTCCTTCTGTGCGCACTCTGCGTATTGGATCCCTGTCAGTTTCCTGACATTACGACAGGGCCATGATGGATCCTGCAGGTGCTAGTCCTCCTGACCCCAGATTTGAGGCCATGGACCATAGAATGGACCAAATGGCTTTAGCGTTACAAACTTTGTTGACACGCTCCAGTACCCAGTCTGAAGAAATACGTTCCACTGCTAGCCACTCGCTAAGTACTGGTTTGGAAGTAGCCACTGTAGGCGCATCTTCCCATGTCACGTCACCATTACGATATGGGGGTTCGCCTGATGCTTGTCGTGGTTTTTTAAACCAGATAAGTATACATTTCGAACTACAACCCCGGGCTTACCCCACTGACAGGGCTAAGGTAGGCTTTATTATAACCCTGCTAATAGATAAAGCACTTAGATGGGCCAATCCCCTTTGGGAGAATGACAATCCTTTAGTCTACAACTACACTGCGTTTGTCACGGCTTTTAGAAGAACCTTTGACCCCCCAGGGAGGAAGATTAATGCGGCCAGATCCCTGTTACGCCTTAAACAACAAGATAGGACCCTTGTAGAATATGCTCTAGAGTTTAGATCATTGGCAGCAGAAGTGAAATGGAACGAACAAGCTTTTATGGATGTTTTCTTGAATGGGTTGTCTGATGAAATTCTAGATGAAATTGCCACTAGAGAACTTCCGGAAAATTTAGAGGATTTAGTATCCTTCATTTCCAGAATAGATGAACGCATGAGACAGAGGCAGAACACTCGGGAAAGAGTTACTAGACTTCCTGTAAGACTCGCTCCCTCATTTCAGAACCCTGACTCCTATAATCCTACTCTACCAGAACCTATGCAAATAGGTAATACTCGCTTATCTGAGGCTGAGAGACAGTACAGAAGAAGGGAGGGTCTCTGTTTATACTGCGGGCTGAGAGGTCACCTACGTCTCAGTTGCCCTAATCGTCCGGGAAACGCTCGCACCTAAGTTCCCTTAGAGGACGGGCCTTGGGTGTTTCATTACTGTCCTCTATGCATAATAAAAAAGACCATAGGCTTCTGATTCCTGTCTCTCTAGCTTGGGAAAAGGGGTTTATTACTACGATGGCATTATTAGATTCTGGAGCAGCAGAAAGCTTTATAGACCAAACTTTCGCTAATATGCATTGTATCCCATTCCAATTGAGAGATACACCCTTGGCCGTTGAGGCCATAGATGGTAGACCTTTATCTGAACCAGTAATATTCCATGAGACCGAACCCGTTAAGCTTACTGTTGGTATTTTCCACGAAGAGTTGATTTCCCTTCTGTTAATTTCCTCCCCGGCAGTCCCAGTGGTTCTAGGATATTCTTGGCTCAAGAGACACAACCCTCAGATTGACTGGGAGGGTGGAGAAATCGTTTCTTGGGGTATGGGTTGTAGGAAAGAATGTCTGCAGAGAGTTACTTCTGTTTGCCCCGTGAACTCTTATGCTAACACTTCTCAATCCACAGACGTTCAGATACCATTACAATATCTAGACCTCAAATCTGTATTTGACAAGGGTAAGGCGGATACTTTACCTCCCCACCGGTCTTATGACTGTTCTATTAAACTTTTCCCTGGTACTATGCCTCCCAGGGGTACGGTATACCCTCTATCCACCAAGGAAAACTTAGTTTTAGAGGAATATATCAAGGAGAATTTAGACAAGGGATTTATTAGAAAGTCTTCTTCTCCGGCGGGGGCGGGTTTCTTTTTTGTAGAAAAGAAAGACGGTACCTTACGTCCTTGTATAGACTATCGGGGATTGAACAAAATTACTATCAGAAATGCTTACCCTATTCCTTTGATTACTGAACTCTTTGACAGACTAAAGGGGTCGAGTATTTTTACTAAACTTGACTTAAGGGGAGCATATAACTTAGTGCGAATTAAACAAGGAGATGAATGGATGACAGCATTTAATACCCGTTACGGGCATTATGAGTATACCGTAATGCCGTTTGGGCTTTGTAACGCCCGGCCGTCTTCCAAGACTTGATCAATGAAGTTCTTAGAGAATTCCAACATGAATGTGTAATTGTATATTTGGATGATATACTAATCCATTCTAGAGACATTAATTCACATCATAGACAAGTCAGAAAGGTATTACAGAAACTTTTACAACATGGATTGTATTGTAAATTGGAAAAATGTAGCTTTGACCAGTCTCAGGTAACTTTCTTAGGTTACGTAATTTCCAAAGACGGGTTTATGATGGACCCGACCAAACTAAAATCGATTTTAGATTGGCCTTTACCTAAGGGACTCAAAGCCATACAAAGATTTCTTGGATTTTCTAATTATTACAGACGCTTTATTAAAGGGTACTCCTCTGTTATCGCTCCTATCACTAATATGACCAAACAAGGAGCCGATACCAAAACCTGGTCTACTGAGGCTTTATCTGCTTTCGAAACGCTCAAACAGTCTTTTGCCTCAGCACCTGTATTAGTTCATCCTGATACCTCTCTACCCTTTTTACTTGAAGTTGATGCGTCTGAAACAGGGATAGGCGCAGTGTTATCCCAAAGACAAAGTTTAGATAAGCCGCTGCACCCTTGCGGTTTTTTTTCCAAGAAACTGTCACACACTGAAAGGAGATATGACATTGGTGATAGAGAACTTTTAGCTATCATTATGGCATTAAAGGAATGGAGACATTTGTTAGAGGGCACCGTCCTCCCAGTTACTATCTTGACTGACCACAAAAATTTATCGTATATGGGGGAGGCCAAAAGATTATCTGCCAGGCAGGCACGTTGGTCTATGTTCCTTACACACTTTAATTATGTGCTTACTTACAGGCCTGGTTCTAAGAACACTAAAGCAGACGCTTTGTCACGTCAGCACGAACCTACCACCTCTACAGAGGATACTTTGTTCCCTATTATTCCTGAAGTCAATATTATCGCCAACACCAATGTCAAAATACACTCTCCATTGCTCGCTGATATTCAGAACGAACAATCTCTTGCTCCCGAACGTACTCCTGTGGGCCGCTTGTTCGTGTCTCCCAAATTCCAAGTGGACATTATTCGCTGTTTCCACGATAGCAAGATCGCTGGTCACCCCGGCATCCACAAAACTTACTGCCTGATCTCAAAGACTTCTGGTGGCCCGGTTTACGTAGGGATGTGGAAGACTTTGTCAAGGCTTGCAATGTTTGTGTCAGGAATAAACTTCCGCGGGATCTCCCTTGTGGTTTATTGCAGCCCTTAGTCGTTCCCAACAAACCTTGGGCTTGCTTGGCTATGGATTTTATTGTTGATCTACCAGCTTCCAATAGGCATACAGTTATACTCACGGTCCTTGACAGGTTTACTAAAATGGCTCATTTCGTTCCCTTGCCTAAACTTCCGTCCTCCCCCGAACTGGCCGTGATTTTTGCTAGAGAAATTTTCCGTTTACATGGTATTCCCAATGAGATTGTGTCAGACAGGGGTTCCCAATTTATTTCCCGTTTTTGGAGATCCTTCTGTTCACAGTTGGGCATCAAACTGAATTTTTCTTCGGCCTATCATCCTCAATCTAACGGAGCAGCCGAACGCACTAACCAAAAAATTGAGCAATATCTACGTTGTTTTGTTTCTGAACACCAGGATGACTGGGTCGGTCTGATTCCTTGGGCGGAGTTTGCTCACAACAACCTTGTTTGTGGTTCCACTCATAATAGCCCCTTTTTCTTGAACTATGGCTTTAACCCTACTGTTCTTCCGTCGGTGTCTCCTTCCCAGGGTATACCGTCGGTTGATATTCATATAGCCAACCTGAGAAAGTTGTGGGATCAGACTCGACAAATTCTTGAACGTAGTTCCGCGGTGTTTAAGTCACATGCTGATAGGCGTAGACGTCCTGCTCCTATTTTTTCTCCGGGGGATAGGGTCTGGTTGTGTACCAGACACATTCGCCTGAAAGTTCCTTCCTTGAAGTTTGCTCCTCGTTACATTGGTCCTTACAGGGTACTGAGGAGGATCAACCCGGTTTCTTATTTGCTGGATCTACCTCCTACTCTACGCATCCCTAACTCTTTTCATGTGTCTTTATTGAAACCTCTTGTTTGTAACAGATTTTCCTCCCGCTCTACTCCTCCATCCTCGGTCCGTGTGGATGGTCAGGAGGAATATATCATCAAGTCCATCCTTGATTCTCGTATTTCTAGGGGGAAGCTGCAATACCTCATAGACTGGAAAGGTTATGGTCCAGAAGAGAGGTCTTGGGTTCCTGGTATAGACGTGCATGCTCCTCGTCTTCTACGGGCCTTCCACGTTCGTTTTCCTTCTAAGCCAGGTCCCATCCGCCCGGTGGGCGTTTCTAGAAGGGGGGGTACTGTCAGGGTACCTGTTGGTAATGTATCCAGGGAGGACATCCTCTCTGCTTAGGGGCTCCCTTCCCCTAGCATTTCGGCATATTTCGGCCGTTTTCGCGCCGGCCGCGCTAGCTCCTCCCCCTTTTATGACGCGACGGCTAGCGTCGACGTCATGACGTCGGCATTTGCATAAAGTGCCGGGAACCGCTATTCCGGACCTTTTGGGGGCGTGGTCTCTATTTAGGTAACAGGGTATTTAAAGGAAACCTTTACTACTGCTCATTGCCCTGTCGTGGTTCTAGCTTGCTAGTCACTCAGCGCGTTCTTTATCTAGTGTTTCCGGTTTTGACCCTTGCTTGCCTTTTGTCCTGTTGTCCTCTCCTCTCCTTTGACTCGGCTTGTATCTCGCTTACCTGTCCTCCGGCTCCCTTGACCTCGGCTTACCTTTTGACTATTCTTGCTTTGTCCTTACGTTAGTCCGGCCATTCTAAGGTCCGGTATACGTACCTCCTTCTGTGCGCACTCTGCGTATTGGATCCCTGTCAGTTTCCTGACACGCGGTGAGCAGAAATCGGCAATGCTCTGCAAATTCCATAGTTGAAGAGTTCCAAACTTCCACTGGCATTAACATCAGCACAGAAATGTGTGGTGGGAGCTTCATGGAACAGGGTTTAAATGCAGCTGCATCCAAACCTTACATCACCAAGTACAATGCCAAGCCTTGACTTGAGTGGTTTACAGCATGCCACCACTAGACTCTGGAGCAGTGCAAACGTGTTCTTTAAAGTGATGTATCATGCTTCTCTGTTTGGCAGTCTAATGGACGAGTCAGGGTTTAGCAGATGTCAGGTGAACATTACCTGCCTGAGTGCATTGTGTCAACTGTAAAGTTTGGTAGAGAAAAGATTATGGTATGGGGCTGTTTTTCACAGGTTAAGCAAGGTCCCTTACATCCACTGAAGGGAAATCTTAATGCTTCAGCATACCAAGACATTTTGGACAATGCTATGCTTCCATCTTTGCAGTAACAGTTTGGGAAAGGGGCCTTTTCTATTCCAGCATGACAAAGCATGGTTATAAAGACATGGTTGGATGAGTTTGGTGTGGAAGAACTTGACTGGTCTGCACAGAGCTGTGACCTCAATCCAATCGAACACCTTTGGGATGAACTGGAACAGAGATTGTGAGCCAGGCCTACTCATCCAACATTAGTGCCTAACCTCACAAATGCTGTACTGGAAGAATGGGCAAAGATTCCCACAGAAACACTCCAACATCTTGTGAAAAGCCTTCCCAGAAGAGTGGAATCTCTTATAGCCTCAAAGGGGGGGACCAACTACATATTAATGTGTATGTATTTAGAATACAATGTCATAAAAGTTCCTGTTGGTGTAATGGTCAGGTGTCTCAATACTTTTGTCCACATAGTGTATATACAATGAAAATATATTTGCGACATAATATGTGGGTTGTAACTGTAAGCAAAGCAGACACAAAGGCACTGTAGCATTGTCTGACAGGTGGAGCTCATTAACTGGACTCATGGTCTTGGTAGGAGCAGATAAAAGCAGACTTAAGAATTCTGGGGAGGCAAGCTTACAATATTGTGGGCTTGGAAAGAGACAGAATTACACAATTGTGGGCTAGAGTGGGTGGAGTTCAGATGCTGTTGGACAGAGTTAAGTTACAATGATTGACTGACCAATAACATGACAATAAAATTAAACGTGAAATCCAACTAAAGGAGCGGCAAGATGGGATCTAATTATTGGTCTGAGACAGGTTTGCAGCGGATTGTAACAACATTTTAAATATTTTTTCCTTTAGACGATTTCATAGTTCTAAGATTCAGGATAAGGAATCATTTTCTGTAAAGTTAGTTTTGTTTGAGTTGTTATGGGGATTGGAGTTGTTATACTTACTGCTGGGGGACAAGCTTCCATGTCAGTAGCACCATCACCAATCATCACTATTTTTTTTAATCCAAACTCTTCCCTTAGTAAACCAATCACTTTTCCTTTCCCACCAGACTCTGCCGTTAGTTGAGACTCATCAAATCCTGCATACTCTCCTGCAAAACAAATCCATGGGTGTGCATGATTAAATATACTAATCCGCTTTCCATTACAGATTCATGCTGATATAAAGCAATAGGAATTGAGGTTATTATTTCAAGTGCCCCCAAGCTATAGGGATCTTAATGGAAGTTATGTGCCTTATGTCCAGCTGCCTTCATACTGGAATCATATCTGGCCCAAAAACCACCCTTCCAAACAAAAAGCTGAGTACACACAAATTATCTAAATTTCATGCTTGGTAGAACCGAAGGAATTGTACATCTGCTAAATTAAAACTTGAAGGGCAGCATTATTTTGATGAGATTATTATCAAGTGGCATCAATGCATGAAGAGTCTTATATCCTTTTTAGAAAATTCTAATGAGAAATTTAGCAACTCCTAGCTGCCAAAATGATGCAATCAGAGGAAGCTATGTCCCTCCTTCCCCACTCCCCCGGTACCACTTCTTTATTATATTTGTGTTCATAAACTTCTATGATACATTGTTGTTCACTAAAGTGTGTATTGTCTGGAATCCCAAATATCAGAATAAAATAGCCAAAATGTAAACTTTCTCAATTCAGCTATTTTATCAGTTTTGGTGTACTTTTGTTGTGCTCCTCAGATTTTATATCCTTGGATCACTTTAATGAATTACTGTTATATATTGACCTAAAATTTGAAAATTACTCTGAATTTACTCTGAACTCCCAACAATTCATGCTTTAGTTAATAACCTTATTAGTTTAACCTCTGCTTGCTAGGGTCGTTAATAATATAGAGTGGCATTTGGGTAAGTAACTCTGTGTACAAAAGGTGTCAGTCGGTAGGTCCTAACTGCCAACACTACCACTTTGATGAATTATTTGGAACATTTAGAATTGTTTCATAAAAAGATTTTTTTATGAAAAAATCATCATGGTGCTGCTTTTGTTTATTTTCTTTTTTTTGTTTCTATATCAAAATAGCTGCAATTTACGCCCTAAAATTCCAATGTTGTTGTAATGTAAGAGAAACTTTAGTACTGACAGAGTCATAGGTGAAGAAAAATACCTTTCTAAAAATAAAATATTTTACAAGTAGTAGGAGCATGAAAAACATACATGTAAAGGATTACTCTAACCACCATGACCACTTCAGTGATTACAAGTGGTCGAGATGGAAGGAGTACATACGTGCAGTATTTGTGCTTGCACATACAGAGATATTTTAATTGTGTGCTGGAAGCTAAACGTGACATTGGCAGCCCAGCACACGTGACATTGGCAGCCCAGAACTCTGTTCCAGGCTGCCTAATGTAAATTCTGTACATATTCAATGTCTGTCTTTAATGCATACTGCACGCTGCCGCCAGATGTTAGAATATTTTAACTATCCTCGCTCACCCTCCCGCCTTCCTCTGATGTCGGAAGTTTTTTTTATTATTTTCAAAAAACCCTCTCTACCTCTACATCCCCACTCCCTCCACCTTATTCCCTTTGCCTGCCAGGAGTACACGCATGTTCCCATGTTGCCCAGAGATCCATGGTGCCAGCTTCCCATTAGGGGTTTAACCATTGACAAAGTGGAAGTACAGGAGCAGAGCTAAACAGTGCTGTAGAGAAGACTTTGAGGTTAAACCAGCACTAGGGACCTCCTGAGACCATAAAAACTTTGTTCCAACAAAGTTGTTATGGTGCGAGAAGTGTGAAGGTGTGAACACAAAGGAGATTTTTTTTTAAGCAAACACTGGTTTCAAAGACAGCTGACCTTTAAAACAGCACTGGTTTTTATATTAACAATAAAATGTCTCAATCTGCAAAAAAAGAAGTAACACATTTGTAAATGATACATGTATGCAGGAAGAGGACAACTTATACCAAATTTGATACATCATATCAAACTTGTATTAAACAGACCATGAGAAATACGTGTTATGTCAAACAGGATAGTCAAACATTTGGTCAAAAAAAATATAGTAGTTATGCTAGATCTTTAGGACTTTTGTGAAGAAAGATTTTAGCATCTGTCTTTAACTTTAAAAGTCTTAACATACCATTAAAGTAGAACTTGAGTCGGTTTGCATAAACATTTCCCAAAGGTATATCCAATTTTGTAGCCACGTGCTCCACAATACTCCGAAATCCACCTGATATGAGGAACACCTGGACATTTCTCTGATGCAGTTTACGAACAAGTTCCCTTGAAAGATTAGAAATTGCAACAAAGTTAGGGATGACATAATTACTGTATTGCTCATCTGAAGGTGAATTTGTCTACAAGTGTTTTGAGGAGGACAGATCCACGTTAACATGTTAGAGCTCTCATATGTGGACTTGTGGGTCTTTAAAGAATGTGTTTCTTTCCCGTATCATGTGAATAGACGTTTATAATTTTAGATTCTGCATTTGCAGTCATGACTATACACTTTTCTGCAGCCTTTCATTTTAAAATTTACACACCAAACATCACCATAACCATAATTATTATGTTAAAGAATAAACTATACCCGTAATTGAACACTCAGAAAAAAACCCCACCAAAAAACAGATGAATATATATATATATATATATATATATATATATTTATATTTTAATAGGTTTCTTAGTTCTGTTTAGATTACTGACACCCTATTTCAGCACTGAATTGGTTAAAAATCAAGTCAAGTAAACTCACTTTTATCCCAGCACCAATAGAGTCTTCTCATTGCAGCTCTGATCTGTCTATGGTATAGTGATCATTACTGATAACCTGTGTCCAATCATACGATTTTTATAGAGAAACAGTGGGAGACACTGTATGAATGGCAATAGCCTACATCCACCAATAAAGCCTTCCATGGAGAAATATTGAAAACATTGCTTCTCTATGAGAAGCACAGACTTCCACTATAAACTATGGTTCAAAGAAAGTGAGGCAGTGTCCCCACTTTGCTATTTGCTAGAAAGGTGGGAGGTGTTAAAAGTGCTGAATTTATGTGATTTATGGACTGTAATGTCAATAATTAGTAGAGGTGCCTACATACTTTTGGCCATATAGTGTATACTTGCAATCTTGGGTTCTGTAGGCACTCTTCTAAATAAAACTAATAAACGTTACAAGTGGGTTATCTACTTAGAGCAGCCATTAGGTTGGTAGAATAGAATCTGCCAAATATGAGATACTATGCTAATAGTGACAGACTTGTGTAATATATGATCACAAAGAATAATTTATCTAAATTATTATTATTATTATCTGGCTGGTATTTTTAAAAACTTTATAGGCTTTAAAACCAAATATATAGCAGCTACAGTAATATCGAAATACTGCCCAGACTAGAAAGGTAAATGGAATTAACACTAAAAACATTGCTGGAATTGAGGAAGAAAGACCGGCATACTTTTTTCTTAGTAAAAAAACAAAAACAAAGTACTATTGGAGGCTTTTTAGGAGAAAAGGTTTTGAAATGGAAGGGCTTTTTTAACCCCTAAGGACACAACTTCTGAAATAAAAGAGAATCATGATGGAATATTTCCATCACGTGTCCTTAAGTTAAGGTAAAGTAATGCATTTATGTTTATTATTTGCAGTCTGTGATAAAGTGCCTTGAGTGTAAGAAAACGCAAGCAAAATACCTACCAAACTGAAAACATTGAAACCCTCCTGAAACTATAAAGCACTGCACAAAGCAGTAACTCACCGTATACCCTCTGTGAGCCTCGGAGGATGTTCTGTTATCAGAGCCTGCACCTGTTCCCTCGAGGGCCGGATTAATGACAGTCTTTCTGAAAGGGCTGCTCTAAATGTCAGAGACCCTCCCATTGCTCTGCGTGTCCTGAAACAGGATAAGTAAGCAAATTGGCAACAAACACAACATATAGGACAATCATCACATCAAAAAAGAATTAAAAAAAATAATAATCCATTTATGAAGTTTTGAATGGACATGTATTTTTATTTAAAATGAAGGATATGTAGAAATAAGTAAAAATGAGGTAAAACTCATCTCAACCTTTAGTAAATGTCAGGATCCTTCAGCTATATACACATGCCTTGTGCCAGACAATGTTTGAAAACTAATAGTTAGTCTCTCTTGTGTTCCCTGCTTTGGTGCAGCGAGTGATGTTCATGGAGACTTAGGAACTGTCTTGGTTACAGCAGCTCCTAGAAATTGAATTTTGTGTTTGTTTGGTTTTTTTTTTACTTTTTTTGCTCTCTTGTGTGTCTGATGACAAGCTCTACAATTGACATCATAACAGGATCAGACATCCATGAATTATTCCTTGTCTGTGGTATAAAAAAAAAAATGTTCCCAGGGTACCAATATGCCCGCATGATTTGCAAAGTATGGGTGAACACTGCTAGATTTCTGGCAGTCTGCCACCTTCCCCTGTGCAGCCAGCCAGAGAAAAGACAAGTTTCCACTTCTAAAGAACTAAATCAGTGACATGTGGGATATGTGGAATGGAAATACAGCAGGAGAGCTTATCACACACAGAGGAAAAATAAGCCATATGAGGCATTTTCTAAACATATTAGAGAAATATTTACTAACTTGTTAACTTAACAAACTTGCTGTTACTGAATATATGATCTTGCTGAAACTGACAGAAATTGTTGGAATACTGACGCACGTAAAAAATGTTTAATAAAATGAAAACTAATCCACAAACCAAAATTAGACTTTGGTCCATTTATTCAATGTGTGCTACTCCATATACTGATGAAACAATTTGCATTGAATACTCTTGCTGTAACAAAACAGCCTGGTATAGGATGTGACTAAAAACAGTATTAGTATTTCTGCATAAAACACAAACATGTGACAGTAGTCCCCCTTTTATGCGCTCTCCATAGAGACAGAAAAACTTACAGTGCAAGTGAGTTGCACTCATAAACACTCATTCTAAGATTGCCTGTTCATAGGTGCTGTAATAAAAATGCTTGGTTGTTTTTCTCCTCTCCCTGTTCTGCTCTCACACAGAGCTGATTTCCTCTTGCAGGAATTTCTTTCCGTTAGGCTGGATTCAAGCAGGAGATACGCATCGAGGAAGGTTTCCCTAATAACAGACATGCAGAACACAGCCTTCTTATCTCTGTGCCGATCGGCATAGGAATGGCACAGATTGAACTGACTGAGAGCAGACCTGTTTTTAAACCCTCTTTAGAGAAAACTAGACATTTGTTAGCAATTCTGTTAGAACAATTCTGTTAGATCCTATACCATTTAAGATTAAGTTGTGTTTGTCATGAAAGATTCCCTTAAATTTCTTCTACAAGCCAGTGGAATGGCAAAGGGCACCAACATGTTGTAGGCCATAGGTTTGAAACAGCCACCTTCAGGGGCTCTTTTAAACCAATTGTATCTCTTCATTACAGTGGAACCAAACCCTGTTTTCTGTTAAACTGTATGTGAGAGCTCTCATCCCTTACTGCCATCAAGGTAGGATAAAATTGATAAGTGTAAATTCTGCAATATCAAGTTATCCAACGATAAGGTAGTCTCTGGGGGGGTGGGGGGAGAGGGATCCTGCTTTTTGTCAAACTGCTTCCAAATGATTTGACAAAAATATAGTGGACAACACCCACAGACTATTGACAGCATACTCACTATACACAGCTGTACAAATTATGTTGCTTAGAGTGTTCCTTTAAATAAAAAGGTGTACACAACATTAAGCATTAATGAACATCAAGCCCCAATGGCCTAATGGATAAAGCACTGGCATTCTAAGCCAGGGATTGTGGGATCAAGTCCCGTCTGGGGTGTGTCTTTGGTGATTAAACTTGAGCAGGGGTTGAAGGAGTTTAAGTATGCCTGGGAATAAGATAAGGCCAAGGATTAATGAAAGTATTTAGAAAATTGGGCAGACTAGATGGGCCACCTGCCCTTACATTCTATGTTTCTATGAATAACAATAGTGTATGGTTTCAAAAAAGCATTGTAAACTAACTGTGGCAAAGCAACCTTTGATTTAGTAACAACTAAAAAAAAACTGTAAAAATAACAAACTAACTATACTTACTGAGCTATACTTACATTTCGGCAACAGCATCACCCACTCCACAGAACTTTGCCAGCTCATCGATGCCCTCCTCTTTGATGACCGTGCTGTCAACATCGAAGCACACTGCATCTGCACTGCGGAAGATTTCCTTTAACTCGGAGAGGGTGGTCATTCTTGGGCACTTGCTTGTTTTGACAGGAAATAAAACATGGCTTAATGATAGGTGACTAAACAAGGTATGTAATGTACAGTACAGTCAAGAAAAAGAATATTAATGGTTTATTAACTAAAAAGGAGTTGGGGTAAGCTGAAATTTACCTTTTAAACATTGTTGGGAAAAAAAGCAAACTGTGGTTGTTAAGGTAGCAAGAGTACCCTGTACACTGCCCCCCCTGCACTGCAGCTGTGGGAGAGCCAGAAGCTTAGAAGCTTCCATTTGCTCTCCTGAGCTAAACCTTGCAGTGTAGGGCTAGCTATTTGATGACAGCTTCAGACAGAGCTTCCAGTTCTCCTGTAGCTTTAGATTAGGTGGAGAGAGGAACCAGACGGAGCCCAGGGATATAATCAAGCTGTTCTAAATCTGTTAACCTCAATACAATGGAAGGGAGCGGGAGGGGGAGAGCATGGCAGTCCTGGTAACATAACTATTACAGTGTCCTGCAGTGGTTATAGTGCATGGAGTCTTCCTTTAACTAAACTGAACAGGATAAAAGTTCCAACTCACATATAGTCGCAACTACTATTTGGCCTCAATTTTGCAATCTGGATTTCAATTTGCTACAATTCTACATAGTTTAGAAAGTAACCTTGTGTATGTATGTTCAAGGTTTTTTTATTAAATGAAAAGCTGTCGAAATGTCAAATTCAGCATACTTTGACAATGCTCCTTATTTTTCCAATAGCTATTTATCGGTTTTGATATTTAGGACCTTTGCCAAGTCTGAGTGCAGGGATATATTATTCCTTTACATATAAATGATATACTAAGCTCAAATTTTGGCCTCGCTATAATATTTTGTGATACACTTTAAAATGATTTTGTATTTTTAAATTTTTTTTTTTTACATTTAATATCTTCAAAAAACAATTTTAAAGTTTATCCAAAAATATTAAAGCAAGTTGGATAATTTTGCCAATACAAGACTGTGCAAGCGCAGATGAATCAAAATCATGAAAACCAAGACATGAAACATAAAACATGCAAATGAAAAATATAAATTACAATGTAAAAATATCATATTCACAAATTAGAAAACAAAAGAAATATACACATACGTTCATGACACTTCAATACTAGGTAACACATAAAATCGTTATAAATCTAACAGCAATTAATGAATATCTGACATTAATTGGATGCACTGGACTCATCAGAGAGTTTATCTGGCATATAAAAATGTTAAACTTTCTAGGTGTGATATTAGACACAGGGATCTCTACTGCTGGGGTCACTCTCTTGGAAGATGCAGGATTTAAAGTTAGAATATATATTGTGCTTAAATGGCACATGCAGAAATTATTACTGACTGAAAAAGACAGTACAATTTACACAGACCACATATATATATATATATATATTACGCAAGGTTATACACTACAGTGATTATTATTGGGAATTCACATTAAATGTCCAAATATTCAAACTAGAAAAAAAATATCCAAGTCAGCTTTAGTGAATTACCGAGTTAGAACTGGAAATGACATTGTCATGCCCCTGGGGTTTAACATGTGGACATCCACTGATGCAAAATAATGTTATAATATATGCTACATGTTTGTCCCATGTAAGTGGGTTAATAATATAAAAAGTGGGCATTAAGTTAGAATATAGTAGAACTTGCAAAAAAATAGATTACTCTGCAAATAGTGGCACGCTTATGAAATATATGATCATATACTACAACTAAATTATTTTAAGTCAAATCGTTTTTCTTTTTTTTTAAAGACGTAACTCTCGTTTGAAATTGAGGGCATTGGAATTTGCAAACATACATATGCACACACGCAAAGTCCACATCTGCAGTTACATAATCATGATTTACCCCTATGATTAGCAGAACTAGCAAACATTCTATATTCGAATATCTTGCATAAGCTTTATGCACTCAGTGACCTGCTGAGTGAAGTATGTCCAAGTTGCTTCAGTCCATCATAATAGCAATATTTCATTGAAGGTGGAGTGCATGATTTAATCCATTGAGTAGCTGATGAATGCAGTGCTGTGTCTGACTGGGGATATAAGGACCGGTGCTGATGATTGCACTGTGTATGATTGCATCAGCACCCCTATGTTGGAGTACAGAGCAGTTCTTGGTATGTCTCCTATAGGGTACCAGGCATATATCCTGGCACAGCAGGAAGGATCTCAATAAAATAATAGATATTTTGCAATCCGTTTCATGTCAGATCTTTATACAGGCTGGATTCACCCCTCCATGTTGCTACAATGAATGACTTACTTTGTCAGCCGGCTCCTGGTGTATCTCTGTCCCCTCGCAGGCTCCCAGGCAGGTCCAATGTACAGAGACCTTTGAGCTGCTGTCAAGGTTTGCTATTTCCCAGATAAGTCTGTCAGTCAGTGTGAGAGCTCTCTGTGCATGCTGGGGTTGAGGAGAAGGCTGCTGAACAAGCTGGATGAGGAATGGAACATTAAACAGCTCGAACTCTGCCTGTCATCAAATTACAATGGACTACCTTAAAAACTGCAGTTACGTCACTGGGTTGAGAAACAAGATGTAACCACGTGACCCACTGAAGCTTGTGTCAGCCATGTTGGTTAAGGACGTGGATGAAACCTAGTAGGTTTGGGACCAGTGGATGTAATAGCAATGCCCACTAGCTGCGCAGCCTTTGGCTGCACCAACAACTCTAAGAGAGATAGGCGAGTTACCTTCCATAGGTATGTAATAACCAGAGTGCTTCCCGATGTTCTATCAGATTACTATAACTTGTCAGAATGCTATACCCGCGTCACTTCAAGGTATACACAGCCTGTGTGAATTGGGGAGTACACCATCCACAACTCTTCTACAACTACCACTCTCATCATGCTGTGCCAGCTTGTAGGCTATCATGTTTGGAATTGCAGTTCTACAATAGGTTTGGCATTTTGGGCATACCTAGCTGTATGCTTCTGGGTTTATTCACTAAAATATACCAAATTTAAAGTCAACCTATCATGACAGATATGTTAACAGTTTTCTAACCATCTGTCTGTAGTCATGTTATACAATTAAAGGGTTCCTTCAACCCAGTAGGTCAGATTCAGTTTTGAGGGCGGCAATGCCAAGAGGTGCTCCCCTTTTTAACACAAAATATATTACTTTAAATTTACCTGTAATCCAGGATCAAGTGTGCTGGATTACAGGTATTTGTAATCCAGCACTAACTACCTCCTCTGTTTAATGTTAGCAGGTAATTTGCGTTTCTCTGGTTCACAGCGCATTTGCCTACAATCTGAGCCAGCTCCAGGAGGGAGTATGGAAAAAAATAAATCAGTATAAGTATTGGAGGGAGGGCGATGCCTGCGAGGGAGAAGATTATTATGTCTCACATCACGCAGAATTGACATTTGGTAGTTTAAAACAGAGATTCGAGCTGCCAGTGTCGCGTGTGCCAGGGTTGTAAGTAGGCCGCAGCACAAAAGTGTAAATAACACTGCCCTTATAGACTCCTACCACGATGACAAATTCAAATCACTGAAGTAGTCATGGGAGTTGGAGTACCTTTATAATGTTAGGAATACAAATAAGTATTACTAACTCTATAGTGCCCTAGTAACCTTTTTTTGACCTGTCCAGTGTTGCCAGGGTTAAAAACTTTCCACCAATAGGAACAGTCCTTCTCTCATATCCTCTCCTGTATCCTCCTCCTCTTCCTCTTTCTTGATGTTGCCGAAGCTACAATGTCCTCAACAGCGACAAACTATAAACTCATCGTAAAAACGAAACAGAACAAAAGAAACTTCCGGAGCAAATCGTCTTGAACTGCGCGATCCGGCATCCTCAACGATGTGTATCTGGAGGACCAATCAGGCTGAAAAGGACACGAAAACAATGGTAAAACGTGTCCTTGCCAACTATTTTTGTTTTATCACCCATTACAAAAAATTGAGTTAGTCATGTAATCCTGTACATATCAACCTACAATCGTCACTCGTCCTTCATATTAATTGAAAACCCAACTGAGTCAATGATCACTCCTACCAATACCTTATCTATTACATACCTGGGCCGGGATACCCATTTCCAAGTGCTTCTGATCCGGGTGGGCTAATACTCGCCTCCGTGTCCTTTATAAAATCATGACTTTACGTCATGTTATTAGTAAAATCTGTTAATTTTATTAAAGGACACGGAGGCTCATATTAGGCTAGTTTAAAGCTGAGAGATAACTACTCTGGACACGTGGTCTGTGGGTCGAAAGTAATATTCCTTAAACGTCGACTGAGGCGACCAATCTGCTGTTCTCAAGAGATCCTCCAATCTACAGCCCGAACTGAAAACTTTGGACGCCATAGCATCCCTGGTAGAGTGTGCTCCATAGACAGTAGTATCTATATGCGCCATCGCCATTACCCATTTAACCCACCGGGTTAGAGTCACCGTGGATACTGGATGATGAGGTCGTTTGATAGCCAAAAACAATTCCGGGTGCATCGGATTCCTGAATCCCAAGGTTCGTTTCTCGTATTCCCGTAGGCAGTTTACTGGACAAAGTTTGATGTTATGTGGGAACGAGGGATATGAAACTGAAGTAATTGCCGACTTAGTACGCCTGGAAATGTTGAAGGAGACTCCCGTTGGGGTAAAGGAGCGCGCCGTAACATCCAGTGCTCTAACATCAGACACCCTCTTGCAGGAAATCAGGCACAAAAGCATGGTCAATTTCGCTGACAGTTGCTTAAGCGAGAGTGCATCATTGCGTGGCCAAGATTCCAACAATTGTAGGACTGAATTGACGTCCCATAATGCCGTGTACCTGGGTTGCGGGGGACGAGCAAACCGAATTCCCCGTAGGAGACGACATACCGGCAGTTGTTGCCCCATCGGGCTTCCATCTATCCCTCTATGTCCTGCGGAAATCGCCGATCTATAAACATTAATGGTTCGGTATGCTAAACCTTGGGTGTACAGATTGGTAAGGAAACGTAACAAAGGAGCTATAGGAGCACATACGGGATCCACTCGTTGTTCCATGCACCAATGACTCCATCCGTTCCAGGCATGGAGGTAGGACCGTCTAGTTCCAGGCGCCCAAGCTCCTGCCAGTAACTCGATAGTTTCTCGTGGAACATCTCGTGGCACAACCCAGGGTCCCCTGAAAGGAGCCACGCTACGAGCTTGAGCTGCCCTTGAGCCAGCAGGGGGTGTGGATTGCCCTCCGGGTCCGATAAAAGGAATAAGACATCCGGGAGTAATCGCGGGAGGTCCACTGACATCTCCATGAGTGTTGGAAACCACGGTTGAGGACCGGGGGTTACGAGGACCAGGGATGCCTGAGTCCGTCTGAGATGCACCAGTGTCCGAGCTATGAGGGAGAACGGAAAGGCGTACATTCGGCCGTCCGGCCAGTGTTGGAGGAAAGCATGCGCCGCCAGTGCGTCCGGATCTGGTCTCCAGCTGAAGAACGTTGGTAATTGGGAGTTCAACCGAGATGCGAACAAATCAATCTGCATTGGGCCCCAGAGTGTCTGAAGTCGTAAGAACACATTGCGGTTCAGCCTCCAGTCGCTGGCGTCGTGCAGATGTCTTGAATGCCAGTCCGCTACGACGTTGGACAAACCCGGGATGTATTCCGCTTGTATGGAAATATTGCGATCCAGGCAGTATTACCAGAACTCCTTGGCCAGGTCTGTCAAAATCTCTGATTTCGTGCCACCCAGGTGGTTGATGTACCGGACCGCTGAAATGTTATCCATGCGCAGGATTATTGGAGCAATTTGTTGCGCCCCCAAAAAGGCTCTTCAGGGCGAACGACCCCGCTATCATCTCCAAGCCGTTGATGTGTAGGCTTTTCTCTGCACACGACCATATTCCTCCGGTGGAGATAGGCCCGCAACGCGCTCCCCAACCGTGAGTGCTCGCATCGGACTCGAGGATGAAATCCGGGGCCGGCCCAAAAATTGCCGTTCCATGCCTCCATATGACGTAGCCACCATGTGAGTTCTTGCTTGGCTGCGTAATCGAGTGGCACCGAGTCTGAGTACGAGTGCCCTGAGCGCAGCTGTGTAGCGTTCAGTCGCTGTAGGGCCCTTTAATGGAGTGGACCCGGGAAAATTGCCTGAATGGAGGCCGATAGGAGTCCGATAATCCTGGCCAACTGTCGTAGTGTCAACACCGGTCTTGTGAGTGTCCTGCGGATCTCCTTTTTTATACGTTTGACCTTGTCCGTTGGTAGGCTGAGTGTTCCGGCGACTGCGTTGATACGGAAACCCAAGAATTCTATGGTTTGGGACGGTGTCAGTACTGATTTCTCCCAATTGATGAGAAATCCCAAGTTTTGGAGCAACGTCAGTGCCCATGTCAGGTGTTCCCGGAGTTGGGAGATCTCTTGTGCCATGATCAGCATATCGTCCAGATAGATGATCATCCGTATACCTCTGCTGTGGAGCAATGCGACCACCGGCTTCAGTAATTTTATGAAGCACCAAGGGGCCGATGAAAGACCAAAGGGGAGACATCGGAATCTCCACGTCACTCTTTCCCATTGGAATCCAATCCCCTAGTCTGAGTAGGTCTCGAAGGCAATGGATACCCTCCATCTTGAAATGGTGGTACCGTACAAATGCGTTTAGTGGGCGTAGGTTGATGACTGGGCGTACTCCGCCGCCTTTTGGGATACCAAAAACAGGTTGCTCGTGAACTCGGGGAAGGGTGACGGGACCCGATATATGGCGCCTTTTTCCTGTAAGGCGGTAATCTCCTTATCCATTAAACCTTTGTCTCGTTTTGAAAATGCTATTGGATGTGGCCTGCCTGCCTGGACAGGGGGTTGTACAAACTCTATGTGATACCCTGTGACAGTATTGAGAACTCATGCGTCCGTCGTCAGGCGCTGCCAGTTCCACAGAAAGTGGGACAGTCTGCCCCCCACAGTCGGTATACCCGGGGAGGGGGGAGTTAGCACACTCACCATAAGGACATCGGCCGTACGAATTGCCACTGGGTCCTTGCGGCTGCCATGGACTGGCTCTGACTGGGAAGAAGGGTGAGGGTGCTCTATTCTCCAGTGGCTGGGTTCGAGCCGTGGCGGGACCGCGGGAGGAGCGGCCGGGCAGACGGCCCCGCCAAAAACTCTGGGGGAGAACACTCGTTTTAAGTTCGTCTGTGCCTTGTCAAGGGCCGTAAAGGTACTCACGTATGTGCCCAATTCCTTAACAAAACTGTCTCCGAACAGGAGGCCCTTGGCTTGCAGTCCCGGTTCAGAGAGGGCCATGTTAACTAGTTTGGGCTCGATTTTCATCAGAGTAGTCTTGCGCCTCTCAGTGGCTAGCGCAGCATTCGCGTTACCGATGAGGCAGATGGATCTCTGGGCCCAGCCCCTAATGGCCAGTATGTCAAGAGGCGTCCCTTCATTTAATGCCTCCTCGACCAGTTCAAATATCTTGGCACTAGGGCCTAGTGTATCCAGCACATTATCCTGGCACTGCCACAGGGAGTAATCAAGACCCTTCTTGGCTTTCCAGCCCAATTTTCCCAGGAACTGCGCTATTTTGGGGTCTATGTCTGGCGTGACGCAGGCCCTGTCGGGCGCGGGCACTCCGCCCGCAATTTTTGTCTGGCAGTTTTAACTAGGGGTTTACGTATTCTGGCCGCTATGTACCGTGCCACATGGTCAGTCGGGTACCACTCCGCCGACCTAGGGTTCTGCAGAGTATCAGGGTCGAACAGAGGTTCACCCTGTGGGCCCAGTATGGCGGAATCATCCGCAGTATCATGCAAAGGGTTAGGCGGGTTGCGTGATGGGCTACGGTCAGGGGAGGACACCTCCCAATCATTGTATTCAACTTCATTGGACTCGCTCAAAACCTCCTCCGTATCCGAACCAGAGTCGGAAGCGTCAGTTTGGGCTTTTGCCCACTTCCATGTCCTCGCCGCTTTTGCCCGGCGGGTGGCTCGTTTTCGTGGGAGCCCCACGACCTCAGGTGTGACAGGACGTACCCTGTCCGTCAGTTCAGTTTTGGAGGTGTGCTTTCCCATTTAGTGAGTTTTTCTCACAGCCTTACGGCCCTCCTTCTGTACAGGGCCCTCGTCTGTGACCCTGCCTAGGGGTTCCTTAGGGTTGGCTGCCTTAATAGCAGTTGAAATAGAGTGGGATATGTTGTCAGACATAACCCCCATTGCGGTATAGATAGCCTGGGTAACTGATTTAGACATGGTGGCATCCAGGAGCGAGTGGAACTCCTCTGAGTCCAAATGCTCCAGGGGGGTCACCACGTCCCCTTGCAGGGTGGGGGGTGCAGACACCAAGGACCTGCTGGCGTCCCCCTTACCACTTGGGCCAGGGGCAGAGTATTCAGTAGGGGTCTGCATCTTGGGCCAAAAAGTGAGTGAGGCAACACTAGCACTAGGGCAACTATATTTACTGTGACACTGGAGTGTGCAGGCTGGGCAAGAGGCTAAGACAAGGCAACAGACAAAAAAGCACAGTAACAAAACAGCAGCTTGTACTGTCAGCTTACCGAGTGTTCCCCCAGGAATGGCCTCTGGGGACACTGGCAGGCTGACAGTACAAGCTGCTGTTTTGTTACTGTGCTTTTTTGTCTGTTGCCTACTTGGCCAATCAGCTCACGACCTGCCAGTGGGCTGTGAGCTGAGCAGGGAAAAAGAGCGGCAAAATTTCATTACCGCCCCTTTAAGACGGCCGTGTGCGGTATTGTGGCTGGGGGAAGCCCCTGAGAAGAACCGGGCTCTTCCCAGGGGGTTCCCCACACTGTGCGACCGGGAGGAGAGGGTAATAGACTACCCGGCGGTCTGCACGGAGCCGGAATCCCGCCGGGGGGGGAGAGGGGTGCGGGGCACCTGCAGGGAACGCGGGCACAACAGGTTACACACAGAGGGAAATCCCTCAAGGCTAACCAGCAGCAAGTGCAGTGGAAACAAATACCAGCAAGAATAACCAGTGAACATATAAAACATACACAAAATGGAGTCAGAGAAAAACAGTGATACTTAGCTGAGGCAGCAGCAAAGAAAGAGGAAGAGGAGGAGGATACAGGAGAGGATATGAGAGAAGGACTGTTCCTATTGGTGGAAAGTTGGTGATGTAAGGTTAACCCTGTGAGGGTAGTTATGCATGTTTGTTTTTTTCTATACAAATAAACACCTTAGCTTTTCTTTGCTGCTGAGGAAATAAAAGAAAGAGAGAAGCCTAATATGAGCCTCTGTGTCCTTTAATAAAATCAGTGTTTCTGTAGGAAAGCATTGGGAGGCAAGCTTGCATGTACAGCCAAACGCCACCCTGCACCAATCATATGGTCATACAATCTGACTAAAACCAGAAGTGCTTCTAGTAGACCTGTAGTGTTAAAAGCACCAATTAGGCAGCTTCTTCCCCACCTTAGAAGGTGTTAAAACATACTTATTACCAGCACTGCGTGGGTCCACTGGCGTTGGCTCCTCCCTCGATCCGCCTCTGAATTTACTGGGAAACATTGGATTGGCTGAAATCGGCAAGGAGGCGGGGCCAAACATGGTTCTGGCCAGTCAGCACCTCCTCATAGAGATGCAGAGCGTGGAGACTGTGCCCAGGGAGCACCTACAGTGGCGATCTGAGGAGTGGCCACAGGAGATATCAATAGGGGGCACTGTGAACACTGCATTCAGTGTTTACATGAAAATGCCTGAAGGGAATGATTATACCCACCAGAACAACTACATTAAGCTGTAGTTGTTCTTGTTACTATAATGTCTCTTTTAAGTTGTTGTTTTTTTTCTTTCCTTTTTTCTATATCTATTAAAACACTCATATTTTAATTTATTTCCATAACCCGTCTACTGCTGAGCATCAATCATGTTGTTACACTTGCTGCAAGACACACCTCTCCTGCATACCCCTGTTTAGGAAGCAAATGCTTGCTTCCCATAACAAATGGAGAGTCCCCAATTCTTAATGTTGGCTTTGTGAAAATAAAATGTTTGTGTTCTCTCTCTCCATTTTCAGATTGTCTGTTTAAAGCTGCTGCAGTAAGCCATTATGGATGTTTCTCTACTTTCTCTGTACTGCTACTTTTGTTTTCAAACCTCTGATTTTAGAGAGTTTTAGGCATTTGCTAGCAATTTTGCAAGAACAATGTACAGATGATAACCAATTCTCTATCATTCTCTATCATTAAAGATTAAGTTGTAGTTGTCATTAAGTTAAAGGGACTAAAGTGCTTTGTGTTCTCTCCTTTCTTTTGAAGAGCTCAGTATCTCCACTTAGATCTCCTAGCAGCTGGAAGAAGCTCTTTTTAGTGAATATAATTCCTCCACCCCCATTAACTAGGCGACACATAGTTTCTGGAGTACAACTGATTTTTAGTGGGAAGGCACAGTCCTTTATACACGGACCCCCAGCATGGGGTCCCTATTCATGCCAGCGTAAGCCTGCCCTAGTGCCTCTGAGTCTGGGAGATAATTGAGTTAGGCCTCACTTAAGCTAATTATCTCCCTGATACAGAGGACACAACATAAAAATACCTCAAAATCACATGAAAACAGGACACTAACACATCATATATCCCCAGATAGCTGTGATCCGAGCACCCAGGTTGGCAAAATAGCGCCCGATCCATAGAGAATAGACAGATCGCCACTGGGGTCAATTATCAGGAGCTCCTGCAGACAAACAAAGGGTGGCTCCCCCTGACTCTCAGGGAGCGATTGGTCCTCTCAGTCCATAGTACTTCCTAAGTTGGAAATAAGAGGTAGTGTGGCCGAGCTGTGGGTTCCACGTGTTTGGTACTAGATCCTGCAAGGGACCTTGTGGCTCTCTGAAACTAAATGCCTGCCGGGGCGGAGGTGCTCTCAAGTGTTCAGCATGGAGGGGAGAAGGTACAGAGCCAGGAGTAGTGAAATAGTTTGTTCACGAACAAATGAGGGGGAAATAATATACAGTTTTCCACAGCAATTATATGAATTAACCTTGTTACACCTCCTGGCTGGCAATAAGGGTCCTGTTACTTCCTGTTTGGTTAGCTAGGTGGAGCTAAACTCAACAAGTAGCAATTACACAGACCACCTGCCTTGTAAAGATTGTGCAGCATTGGGAAGTCTGTGATTGGACAGTCACATAAAGTCTGGGCGGGGTTAGGATTTTCAAAGGCTGCAGTAAAGAGACCTGAAACTTTTGCGAGCTGATTTAGAAAAATCCCCAATCAAAAATGCCTAATTGAATGCATGCATGTTTTCATTGGGTTATATTTATTAAAAAGTATTTTTGGGCAGTGTAGTGGCCCTTTTGAAAATTTTAGGAAAACAGCTTGGCTATTTTAATTTGGCTTTCAGTTCACTACAATTAGCTATTTAAGTTAGTGTAGTACATTATAATATATCTCTATATATCTCTATATATGGCATCATCTTTAGATGACTGCCAATTCTTATTAGGTACTGATGATTAGTTTTTTTTGGGGGGAGGGGTGTTTTCTATTTTAGAATGGCACTGTTTATAGCTGCAGGCGCATGTGTGTCCCAAAATCACTTCACACTAGTGTGGTAGTGCTGGGAGGTTATGCGTTCATATCACTTGTGGGAGCTCAAATGAAGCCAGCACCTTGGCCTAGCATTGTCCCACTAGAGACCAGGGAAGCTTACTGCACCTAGAAGGTAGGCAAACAGGAGTATGGATAAACAACATGGCTGCTGACTCCTTTGATCACCAAATCCCGTTACCCTTCCATTCCCAATAAGTAACGCAACACCATGTTAAATGGGTACGGGCAACAGCCACAGCTTTATTTAAACCAGCCCAACCAAATACTGTCAGCTGCTGGTTTTATCAACAGTCGACATGTACACTTTAAACTTCTTCCAGAGCTTCTTCAGCCTGTCCTTCGTCATCAACAAAATACAGGCTGCGACTCCCCAAGCCCGTCCGGGCATTATTAATTTACCAAAACAAAGAAAACACAAAACAACAATTCCAGAACAGAACAATTAGGGAGTGTGGGTGGGAAAAGACACTGCCAGGCTCCCTCAGCATTGTTCACCAGTAGTCTGGTAATTTTTCCCATAATTCCCTGCTTTCAACTGTAAAACCAAATGTATCCTTTTGGTTGCTATGCCAACCCTTCAGGGCAACAGTCATGCTCCCCCCTCCCTATTCGCTTCGGGGGTTGGCCTTGACTGCCGACTTCTTCGATCAACAGATCCCAATAAGTAAGGCAACACCATGTTAAATGTGTAAGGGTAACGGGCACAGCTTTATTTAAACCAGCACAACCAAATACTGTCAGCTGCTGGTTTTACCCAGCAGACAGGTGCACTTCAAACTTCTTCCAGAGCCTCTTCAGCCTGTCCTTCATCATCCAAATTCGGGCTGCGACTCCCCAAGCCCGTTCGGGCATTATTAATTTACCAAACTTGCTGGCGCAGGAAAAACGGTACCCTAGACCCCCACCTCTACAATGGGAGAAGGGGATGCACCTTTTCAATTATTGATTGTAAGTAGGGATCGACCGATTATCGGCCGTTATTCTGTATTTTCGGCAATATCGGTATCGGCCAATATAGATACCGATATTGCCAATAATACATACCAGGACCACAGGGCCCATTACAAGCCCGGAGGTCCTGGAGGGCCTGCAGCAAATGCTTACTTACCTTTTCAGCAGCTCCCCTCAGCTCCCCTGTCTAAATCTCGCGAGTCCCACGGGTTACCATGGCAACACTCCGCGTGGCATGCAGACCACGAGATTTACACAGGGAGCTGCTGGTAGGTAAGTAACAGCTTGCTGCGGGCCCTCCCAATGCTCAGTACATGCCACTGGACCACCAGGGAATGCCATAGCCCCCCTCCCTGGCCAGGTAACAAGCAGGGAGGGGGGACAAAAAAATAAATAAAACATGTAAATATTAAAAATAAAATTAAAATTTTACTCAAATTACATTTTACAAAAATTACATCCCTTCAGAAACACACACACTCTACACAAACACACACTCTGCATTATACACACACTGCACAAACACACACACACTGCATTATACACACACTACACAAACATTGCATTATACACACACAACACAAACACACACACACTCTGCATTCATTATATACAAACACACTGCATTCACTATACACACACTGCATTCATTATACACACACTATACGCACACTACACACACACTGCATTCACTTTACTCACACTACACACACACTGCATTCACTTTACACACACTACATTCACTATACAAACACACACACACTCTGCATTCACTATATATACACACTACACAAACACACCCTGCATTCATTACATACACACTGCATCCACCAGACAAACACATACAGCTCTCCTGTCTAAACACACTGCATCCACTACATGTGGCATGTATATTTTGTGCATTTACCTTAAGAAATAGTTTATTTTTTCAAAATGGTAAATGTGCCGAATATCGGCAAGTTATCGGCTATCGGCCCGAAAGTTCACAGATTATCGGCATCGGCTCTAAAAAAAAATCAATATATCGGTGGTCCCTAATTGTAACCCCATATTAAATTTATCCAAACCGATATGAGTAAGATGTACCAAATCAGTACACATAACATTCTGGTTATCTCCTTCTAGTTTAACATGACGAATCACCAATCCATCCAAGCATTGTACGAATCATGATATTTTCATGTAGAAGCAACATCTACCTCGCTATACCCCTTTGGTGTTGTGCGCTCTTGACCCAGGTAATTACCACCAGTGTGGATCAGCAGAATCAGCAGTATAACTGGTTCCATCACATCCCGCCGAAGTGACCAGCTGCTCAATAAATAAAAAAATGCCCAACAATCCAAACATATAGAGAATAACTAGAAATAAACCAAACATTAACAATATCCAGGCACCTATAAAAGGTGCGGACGAACATATAATCAAAACCTGCCCAATTCCCACTGACCCAAAAGCAGAGTGTGAATTAACCTTGTTACACCTCCTGGCTGGCAATAAGGGTCCTGTCTGGAAGACCTAACATGCTTGCCTGCATAGTCGGACCGATGTGGAATGAATGAGTTAAGTAACCACTATCAACCACTCCTAACAAGCGCAACACCGACATAAACACTCTAGTGAACGGATAGGAACCGGCCCATATGCATGCAACAAAAAGGAACCCGAAGCACTGGCACAAATCTCCAAATAATAGTGGCTCCAATCCTTATAACTCTACCACTACCCATTTGGTCAGTATTATATTACCAAATCAAAAATTCCACTTCATTATAACACTAAAGAACATCCTTCCTAAAAAGGGGTGACTGAGTTCTAGAACTTGGAGCCACCAATCTGCCAACTCATCGAGCTGCCTAAAAACACACTGAAAAGGCCACCTGGAACAGGATTGCCTCAAATGGGTACAAGTAAATAGCAGGCAGGATCCCACCTATGTATACCAGCAAGTGCACAAATACAGGATGCCTAACGACCGCCTACAGTTTACGTCTCCAACAGTGCAATACCCATTGATCCACAAATGCTTTAGTCACATCTTCCCATCCCATAAAGGGCAAAATTGAAAGGTCTGATATATCCTGTTCCACTGACACATATGTCCCACAATGCTGCAAGTAGGAAATAAAGGCTAAAGTGGATAAGAACCTACTTTCTAAAGAACAACCAAATACTCCTACCACACAAATCTATTGATCCCACACTTTCAGGTATGCTGCCCAAGACGTGGGAGCCAGGGACCTCCCAATCAAGCCAGTCAAGTTCTGAAGCTGAGGTTCCAGAAGCATTCAGGGCACTCCACAAGCCTGTGCCTCTGGAGTCACCTCCCAAATTTGATCCTACTGGAAGAGAGAAAGAGAGTCGGCAATTACATTAGACACATGCACCAGAACCAAATATTAAACTCCAAGCAATGCAGAATCACCCGTCGCAATAAGGCCAATACCGAAAGAGAACCCCAAAATAAGTGGTTCATGACATGAACTGCACTCAGGTTATCTGTACCCAGAGTTTGACCAGAAATAGTACCAATCGGAAATAGTACCAAAAAGGAATCTGACCACGCCAGTAGCCCGCACATCACAGCCCTCAGGAAAAGACACCAAGTTAACCTAGCCGAAGCCTCTGTTAACAGCTCAATTGGCCAGGTTAGACACTGTAACTATGCCAAAATGTCTGACCATCATAACAGGAAGGAACAAAAACTCCAAACTCCCAAAATGCGAGTAAAACTAAAAGGTAGATGAATACCAACCGTAGCCAAGAAAACATACTCCAAATCCTTCCTGTAAATTTCTTCAGAAACCAGCGACTGAATAACATACTAATCTCAAATGACATCCGAAGTTCATTGCCAAATTGCGTCTGAATGCAATTCGCAAACTTCTCCCAAATTTGATCTGGCACCATTGACTGACATAGGGGCCTGTGATGTCTGTGTAGGGGTGCATACGGACATCACATACGCGCCCTTGGGGGATATTCAAGCATCACTCTGTCTCTCCTGGCATGTGGCTGCATGCTCTGATGTGACATCCTGCCCAGCCAGAAGAAACATAGAATGTGACAGCAGATAAGAACCATTTGGCCCATTTAGTCTGCCCAATTTTCTAAATACTTTCATTAGTCCCTGGCCTTATTTTACAGCTAGGATAACCTTCTGTCTATCCCACGCATGCATAAACTCCTTCACTGTGTTAACCTCCAGCACTTCAGCCGGAAGGCTATTCCATGCATCCACTACCCTCTCAGTAAAGTAATACTTCCTGATATTATTTTTAAACCTTTGCTCTTCTAATTTAAGACTGTCCTCTTGCTGTGGTAGTTTTTCTTCTTTTAAATATAGTCTCCTCCTGTACTGTGTTGATTCCCTTTATGTATTTAAATGTTTCTATCATATCCCCCCGTCTCGTCTTTCCTCCAAGCTATACATGTTAAGATCCTTTAACCTTTCCTTGTAGCTTCTATGCTGCAATCCATGACCCAGTTTAGTAGCCCGTCTCTGAATTCTCTCTAAAGTATCAATATCCTACTGGAGATACGGTCTCCAGTACTGCGTACAATAGTCCAAGTGAGGTCTCACCAGTTTCTGTACAATGGCATGAGCACTTCCCTCTTTCTACTGCTAATACTTCTCCCTATAGAACCAAGCATTCTGCTAGCATTTCCTGCTGCTCTATTACATTGTCTACATAGAGAAATAAATGACCTACAAAATAAAATCAGAAAGGACCACAAATGGTGCAGACCAAAAAACACCAGATAATAGCTAGTGTAAAAATGCACTCACAAACATAAATTAAAGCAGGCAGAATATAAAAATATCGGCAGAACAGAAATCTGTTGTGAAGACAATCAGTAGAACACAGGAAAAGACAGTGTTCTTTCACCCTACGCATTTTGTCTATAAACAGACTTCCTCAGGGGTATTCAGCGTGTGTCTGACAATTCTACCAAGTCTTCATGTAAGTTCAAATCCACTCGAAAGTCTCTTCACAAAGTCAATTCTCCAAGTCCATATATTAGAAGATTGGCTATTATAAGAATTTAAAATATTCACATCAGATTTTATTAATACCTGTTTCATTTATGTTACATTTTCTTATTTATGGACTTTTTGAAGAGACTTTCGAGTGGATTAAACTTACATGAAGATGGAGCGCATATGCTTTCCACTGTAGAATAAAAAGAAGTCTGCCACCTTGGATGTGTGGATTTGATGGACGTTTTGAAAACAGAAGGATTCACAATGAGGCATGCCCTCCAAATGAGGATTATCGACATCAGGTGGACCAGCAATTTTGGAGAAGCAAACCAGGATGTTTAAACCCAGGACTTGGTAGAATTGTCAGACACACGCTGAAGACCCCTGAGAAAATTTGTGGTCCTTTCTGATTTTATTTTGTAGGTTGTTTCTCTATGTATATTCAGAAGAGCTGAGGAATCTTCTAAACATCTACTATTTTATAGGGTAAATATTTTCATAATTACTCCCTTTTTAACCTCTCGAGTTTTATATTGTATGAGGGTTTTTTACGTATTTTGCTATTACATTGTCTGCCTACCTCTAAGTAATCAGAAATAATTACCCCTAAATCCCTTTCCTCAGAAGTTGAGGTTAGAACTCTGTCAAATATTCTGTACTCTGCCCTTGGGTTTTTACGTCCAAGATGCATTATCTTGCACTTATCCACATTAAATGTCAGTTGCCACAACTCTGACCATTTTTCTAGTTTACCTAAATCATTTGCCATTTGGCTTATCCCTCCTGGAACATCAACCAGGTTACATATCTTAGTATCATGAGCAAAAAGACATACCTTACCATCAAGACCTTCTGCAATATCACTAATAAAAATATTAAAGAGAATGGTTCCAAGTACAGATGCCTGAGGTACCCCACTGGTGACAAGATCATGCTTCAAATATACTCCATTTACTACAACCCTCTGTTGCCTGTCACTCAGCCACTGCCTTACCCATTCAACAGTATTCAAATCCAAACATAAAGATTGCAGTTTATTGATAAGCCTTCTATGTGCAACAGTGTCAAAGGCCTTACTGAAATCTAGGTAAGCAATGTCTACTGCACCACCCTGATCTATTATTTTAGTTACCCAATCAAAAAGAACAATAAGATTAGTTTGGCATTATCTCCCTGAAGTAAACCCATATTGTCTCTGATCTTGAAATCCATGTGATTTTAGATGTTCATCAATTCTATCCTTTAACATGGTTTCCCATTACTTTCCCCACTACTGAAGTAAGACTTTGTAACATATTCATCCTCACCTCGTGGTATTTGCAGTAATTGCCATCCTGACAAATCCGCAAGTGCCGTTCTGCGGCCATGCATCAATGTGTCTGACTCCTGCAGCATGTTGGTGGATGCCGGCCTCTTCAGATCCACACCAATTTTTATAACCCCACATCAGCCCGGTAATAATGACGTCGGCGTGCATGTGACGACACACGGGGGATATACACGCACGCTCTGCGGTCATAGGCCGGGTTCGGCCAATAGGAGTTAAAGGAGACTTATTTAAACTCCTTTCTTGCCTTCCCTCATTGCCCTGTCGTGGTTTCCATTAGTGGTTGTTTGAGAGTGTGTTCCTGAGCGTTTATTTCTGGTTATTGACTTTGGCTTCGTTTTGACTTCCCTGTTTTCTGGTATCCTTGACTTTTAATTTTCCCTAATCATTGTGTCTTATTCTGTGTCCTCGACCTTGGCAAGGATTCTGACTATTCTCTAGTACGTTAAGTCCGGCCATTTTAAGGCCTGGTAATACGTTACCTTTGGTCCTAGGTGTGATACAGTTCTGCGTGCTGGATCAACTAGTAATCCTGACAGGCTTCTTACCCTTTTTTTCTATGGCTTCATTTGAGTTATATGGAACTGTGTGACTATCTATGAGGACTGGCATTTGCCCTCAAACAAGATGGCTGCTAAATGATTGTAAGCTGGGTACATGGAGATCGATGAAACTGGAAGTGATGTCACGTACTGGTCCGTTGCATCACTTCCGGTTTCGGAATCAAGCGATGAACAGCTTCAGCTGACTATAACACATCTCTTCAAACGAAGAAGAGGATTGGCGTTTGGAATACAACATTAGCCAATCAAAGGAGGACCTTTGGGTTTATATTCCAGACAGACACAGGAAATCAGCATCCCGATCGATAAAGCTGCAGAAGCGAACCGCGTCTCGGAAGTGGACTATATGGTGGACTGGTATTACTGCACATTTTATTATTAGATTGTCTGTTGTGTTAATAAAGTGCCTTTTTTGGTATACTTTTATTCACTAGTCCTCTGCTGTTTTTCCTGGAATCAAGAGGGGGTTGTGCTCTCCTTAATAGCATACCTACCTGTATACCAAGAGCCTAGTATAATTGGCTCCTCACAAGGTGAGCAATTACTTCATATCATAGGGGTATTTGCAATTTAATCTCTTGATAATACTGCACAAAGAAGTTTTCTCTTGTCTCTTTCTTTTTTTGGTGAGGATACTGACCGGACACCATAAGAAGGTTTTGATATTACCTTAATATACCTATGCTGAAGTGATTTGAGCCTATCCATATGTGGCTCTTAACCATGTGAGTGTGGTCCCTACTATCTTCTCATTTATGTTACTGGACCTTGATATACTTCACCATTGTGTATATCTTTTTATCATTTAGGAATTATATTACTGTATATTTCCCCATTGTCTGCCTTTCTTAGCGCTCCACTAAGAGACACCTATAGTGGTTTGGTCCACCTGGGTTATCTGTTTTCTTTGTATTATATTTTGTGTGTAAAATTTGGGGGTATTTACACGAGTGTGAGCTGCTTTTTCACCTGCATCCATTGTCTGGTTTATCTACTAAGCGCCTTTTATACACAGAGCACTCTTTTCTGTACTGGCCTATAGTTGCCTGACTCCTCCCTACTACATTTCTTGTGAATGGGCACAACATTCGCTAACTTCCAATCTTCTGGGAATACTCCTGTTAAAGGGATACTATAGTCACCAGAACAACTACAGCTTATTGAATTTGTTCTGTTGAGTAGAATCATTACCTTCAGGCTTTTTTCTGTAAACACTGTCTTTTCAGAGAAAATGCAGTGTTTACATTACAGCCTAGTGATAACTTCACTTCACTCCTCAGATAGCTGTTAGAGATTGTTCTTGGGTCATGGCTGCCTAAAATGCATCCAAACTTCAGTGTCTCCTCCCTCTGCATGCAGACGCTGAACTTTCCTCAAAGAGATTCATTGATTCAATTCATCGCAATGGGGAGATGCTGATTGGCCAGGGCTGTGTTTGAATCATGCTGGCTCTGCCCTTGATCTGCCTCTTTGTCAGTCTCAGCCAATCCTATGGGGAAGCATTGTGATTGGATCAGGCTACCACGTTTGCTGATGTCAGCAGACTGCCTGTTTTTGTTTGTTTGTTTTTTTAGGCAAACAGCATGCAGATCTACAGCTTCTGGCTTGATTACAGTAAGATGCTGCTATATTTATGGAGGCATGAGGGGCCCAGGGGGGCTCGATGGTGGTTTTAACACTATAGGGTCAGGAATAAATGTTTGTGTTCCTGACCCTATAGTGATCCTTTAACATTGATTAGTTAAATAAATCTGTTAATGGTTTTGCTAGTACACCACTAAGCTCTTTAAATAACTTTGGCTGTATTCCATTAGGTCCCGTTGACTTATTTGTCTTTACTTTTGACAGTTGAAATAGAACCTCTTCCTCTGTAAACTCACATGTAACAAATGACTCATTTGCCCTTTTTCCTAACTGAGGCCCCTTTCCTTCATTTTCATCTGTAAATACTGAACAAAAATATTAATTGAGGCAGTCAGCTAGACCTTTATCCTCTTCTACATACATTCCTTCTTTTGTTTTTAATCTAACTAATCCTTGTTTTACTTTTCTTTTCTCATTTATGTATCTAAAAAATGTTTTATCCCCCTTTTTTACTGACTGTGCTATTTTCTCTTCTGTGTATGATTTGGAAGCTCTTATAACTTGCTTAGCCTCTTTCTGCCTAATCTTATAGATCATTTTGTCTTCCTCACTTTTTTTTTTTTTTTATAATTCCTAAATGCTAACTTTTTGTTTTTAACTATTTTGGTCACATCTGCGGAGTACCACAGTGGTTTCTTGAATTTTTTGTTTTTACTGACAAGCCTAATGCAATTTTCTGTTGCCTTCAATAGTGCAACTTTTAAATAATCCCATTTCTCTTGGACTTCATTTAAATTGCTCTAGTCTGATAATGACTCCTCTACCCATATTCTAATTTTAGAAAAGTCTGTTTTTCTAAAGTCTAAAACTTTTGTTTTTGTGTGATGTGACTCAGTCACTGTTCTTATATTAAACCACACTGACTGCTGATCACTGGATCCTAAACTTTCACCTACAGTCTCCAAATCTCCATTTGTTAACACTAAATCTAGTATGGCCTCTTTACAAGTTGGCTCCTCAACACTTGTTTTAGAGGCAATCCCAGTAGGGAGTTTAGAATATGTGTTCTCCTGGCACAAGCAACTATTTTGGTTTTCCAGTTCAGAGAGAGAGAGAGAGAGGGCCTAGGGCTCAGGAACCTTACACGGAATCCGGCGCCATCTTGAGGCCTTGCACCGCCATCTTGGGAATGCGACCAGATCTGGAAATTTGTACTTGGCACTCTCCCTGACCTTCTCCGCACCGCAATCTCCAGAATTTAAGTCCCCAAACCAGCCTCACCCGGTTCAGGACTCCTGGGGGGTGCTGGAGCTGCTCTGGATCGCTGAATCAGACTTGGGCCAGGCCCGTCTGCTCACAGGTGAAGAAGCCACTTCTTGTTCCAATCCACCATGTTCCCCTGAGCCCTCCATGACACCTTGTATTAAGGAAGCATAGGACTCTCACCACGAGCCCTATGGAAAGCATATAGCAGAGTGAGTAATGCCTCCCTCGTCATCTCTGAAGCACTAGCCATTTTATTTAATAAATGTAATTTTTACAGGTACTGCCAGAGGAAAGAAACTGCCAGGCTCCAGTAGTCTGGTAATTTTCCCAGAATTTCCTGCTTCCAACTGTATCCATTTGGTTGCTATGCCAACCCCTCAGGGGAACAGTCATGCTCTCCCCTCCCTATTCGCTCCGGGGGTTGGCCCTTATAGTGTGTGATTCAATATGTGTATATCCCAGGCAATGTTTATCTGTGTGTGTCTGTGCATGCTTATGTGTCTTTAACCCCCTTAAGGACGGCGGGCGTGCTATGCCATCCTTGGGGACGTGGCTCTGAATGCCGGGGGGCGGCATAGCACATCCCTGCCGTCCTTTCTATTTACCCGGTCACAGACATACAGACCCACACACTGACAAACATACACTGACAGACAAACAGATACGCACACACACAGACACTGAAAGGCATACAGACTCACGCACAGACACAGAGCGACAGGCAGCCTTAGGCTGTTGGGAGTTAGGGGCTGGCTCCTGCAGCCTTCTCCTCTGTCCACCTGTCTTTTCCAGCCCTGATCCGCTCCTCACTGCCTCCCCCTACCATGCGACTCCATGTCTCTCTAGCTGTCAATTCCTCCTATACTGCCAATAAGAAAAGGGCCCAGTCTCGCTGTTAAAGGACAACAGCATGATGGGCTTCCTTAGTGTACGGGCACACGAAATCCTTTGGCAGGACATGTGTTGTGCAGGTCTGGACTGAAGCTAATGCATTTTAATTTATGCCTTATACAATGTAATTGCAATATAGACTAAAATTAATTATTGTGATACAAACTTTCATATGAAGATTATTTGAATTCCTTTTGTTGTCTCCACTTAGATTCCCATCAAATTTAAAGAGAAGAACTGAATGGCTGAAGTATGTGAACAGAGATAATTTCTTCCCTGGACTTCATACATTTATTTGCTCCAAACATTTTGAAGAATCTTGTTTTGACAGAACAGGACAAACCGTGCGCTTGAGAGAAAATGCTGTACCAACAATTTTTGTTTACCCTGACAACATGCTGGAAAAGGTATTATAGTGACCGCTTCACCTCTGGTTTCAGACTTTGGATTTTAAACAAACTATTAGCAAAGCATTATGAATAGTCATGGACAGTGGGACAATTATTATAGAGTTATGTGTTTGGACAGTTATCAGATTTTAGGAGTGGAATAAAGATAACATTTGTGATTGTTTAGGGTGCCAATTCCATACTTCTAGCATTGTCTAAGGCAGGGCTTTCCAGTTATCACCATGGAACCCTTTGACATAGTGTATCATAGTGGACAGACACACAAACACATACAAACTCCCTAACAGACACACATACAATTTTTTTATTTTTATGTTTTACTCCACCCAGCCCCCCCCCCCCACCTTTAGGAGTGCTGGCATGGAGTCCCTGTGGTCCACTGGGGCTGCTGTGAGGTCATGTTCCGGCTCCAGCATCGCTGCTATGCGCGCAAGGGAGCTGAGCAGGTAGATCACTGCTCCCTCACCGCATGCGGCCATTTTATTTTTCAAACTTTTGGCGGAACACCAATTGGGAAACGCTGGTCTAAGGGCACTAGAGATTTTAAACAAAATATATCTGTTATAGTCCATCATTCATAACTAATACGTGCTGTAAAAGTCACCTTTTTAGGAAACAAATCAGTATTGGTTCAGAGGTCATTCTTAGATCTCTGATGCTTCTAAAAGGAGGCCATAAAAACTAAAACTTTTGAATTTGTGTCTTTATCAGAGTGATTGGGTAATGTTACTTTGTTTTAATGACTTGGGACCTGATTGAGATTTTGTTTTATTTTCCAGCATTTCAAGATTTATATACACCCTGTGTATATTGACATATGTTCATTAACACTAGTTTTACTGATATACGGTAGTTAATCTTAAAATATTTGTGAACTCTTGCAATTATCATAATCATTAATAACATTACTCTTTCTCTTCAGATAGCTCATCAAAAGGCAGCCGAAGAGGATCTTTTAATAACATTAAGCACAGAAACAGACAAGCAGACAATTCCTTTTGTGGACCACAATTATTGCCTTCCAAGCCCTGAAAAAATCAAAAAGAAAATCTGCGAACTTGAAAGAAAACTAGATATTGCCCACAAAAAAATAAAAATATATCAACAGCAGGAACGTAGAATCAAAAGGAATTCTTCAGAGGAAAATAGTGTTAGCTGCACATTAAATGACCTAACTGGAATGAAAGGTTCCTGGGGACTACACTGATGCATGTAGGGCTAGATTTTGGATGAGCCTCTCCTATTTCTTGTAAAAGAAATTATTTTGCTGTGTTGCTTCCCAATGGCAACATATCTAGTGAAATTCACTCTACAAATAGTTTTGGATAATGTGGACATGGTGTCTGAAGCAGCATGTTCAAAGATCTCATCAGATTTTGTATGTTTAACCTTTATATGCTTTCCCTTCATAAAGAGCTGTTTTTCTCTTTGACTTGTATACTTACAATGGGCCGGGTTATAAATGTGTGGCCAACAGAAATATTGTGAAACGTTCTATAACCAAACAAAAAAAAGTTATAAAAATTAAAATTAGGCCCTAGTGACAAAGGAAAAACAAGATTTGTGACACCATTGCAAATATATGAAACAAAAAAAACCCTGAGATATCACATTGACACAAGTATTTAGACAAATAACTCAGTACTTAGTTGAAGCAACTTAGGCAGTGATTTCAGCTTCTAGCCTTTTTTGGGTATGATAAACTTTGTACACCTGGATTTTGGTAGTTTCTGCCATGCATCTCTGCATATCCTCTCAAGCTCTTTTAGGTTGGATGAGGATCTTCGGTGACCTGTTATTTTCAGGTCTTTCCAGATATGTTTGTTTGGGATCAACTCTGGGCCACTGAAGGACATTCACAGGTTTGTCCCTAAGACATTTTTGGGTTTTCTTGGCTGTGTGTCTATGATCATTGTCTTGTTGGAAGATGAACCTTCGTCCCAGTCTGAGGTCCTGAGTGCCTCGGACCAGGTTTTTATTAAAGATATCTATTCTACTTTGAATTGAGGACAAACAAATTTAATCTCCAATGCAGTCAATCTTGTTTTTCACAATCCTTGACTGTTTTTTTTTTTACAAATTTCAACTATGCTGTCATGTGTCTTGCATTGAGGAGAGACTTCCATCTGGCCAGTCTGCCATAAAGGCCAGATCATTGGAGTGTTGAAGTGATTTCTGGACCTCAACTAGAGTGGCCATCGGTTCTAAGTTTTCTCTCTTACCAAGGCCCATCTTCCCTGATTGCTTGGTTTGGCCAGACATCCTGCTCTTGGAAGTGTCCAGGTTGTCCCGAAATTCTTCCATTTAAGAATTTTGGAGGCCACTGTACAGTTCACTTGACCTCATTTCTTGTTTTGTTTTGTTTTTTTGCTCAGATATACATTTACAGCAGTGAGATGTTGTATATAAACATGTGTGCTGGACTTGTACGGAAATGCGTTTCCAGTGGCACAAGCAAATTCTATTTAAATTTAAAATTCACATTGAATCACTTTAATGAATAATTCTGAAAGTGTAGAAACATTTAAATGATGATCAATAGAAACCGGATGCATCTGAGCTAAAATTCAAGCATCGTAGTAAAGGATCTGAATACTTATGTCAATGTTATATTTGTTTTGTCTTTTTAAAGGACCACTCTAGGCACCAAGACCACTTCAGCTTAATGAAGTGGTCTGGGTGCCAGGTCCATCTAGGGTTAACCCATTTTTTAATAAACATAGCAGTTTCAGAGAAACTGCTATGTTTATTAATGGGTTAAGCCTTCCCCCTAATCCTCTAGTGGCTGTCTCATTGACAGCCACTAGAGGCGCTTGCGTGCTTCTCACCGTGATTTTCACAGTGAGAGCACGCCAGCGTCCATAGGAAAGCATTATGAATGCTTTCCTATGCGACCGGCTGAATGCGCGCGCAGCTCTTGCCGCGCGTGCGCATTCAGCCCAGGAGGAGGAACGGAGGAGGAGAGGAGGCAGAGAGCTCCCCGCCCAGCGCTGGAAAAGGTAAGTTTTAACCCCTTTCCCCTTTCCAGAGCCAGGCGGGAGTGGGACCCTGAGGGTGGGGGCACCCTCAGGGCACTATAGTGCCAGGAAAACGAGTATGTTTTCCTGGCACTATAGTGGTCCTTTAATACATTTGCCAAGTTGTTGTTTTTTTTCCCATCTGTTTTTTGCATTATTATTATGGCATACTGAGTGTAGATTGATGTAAAAAATGTAAACAATTGTAGCATAATACTGAAAAAAAGAAAAAAGTGAAATACTATTGTCTGAATTCTCTTTGCAAATGCATTGTACATCTTCTCCCCCAGCAACACAGTTCAGCAGACATACCACTTTTTTTTCCCCGCAGAGACCAGAGAGGTGAGTGTATCACCTTAAGGCAAATGGCACTCTGTGTCATTGCATATAAACATAGCGACATATCTTTGTGTGTGGAGAGTGAGGGAGAAGCCATCTGGACATTATTATTATTATGATATTTATATAGCGCCGTCAAATTCCACAGCGCTTTACAATAGGTGGATGAACAGACATGTAGTTGTAACCAGACAAGTTGGACACACAGGAACAGAGGGGTTGAGGGCCCTGCTCAATGAGCTTACATGCTAGAGGGAGTGGGGTAAAATGACACAAAAAGGTAAGGATAGTATTAGACTAGTGACAGTTGCAGTAGAGGAATCAGTCAGGAGCTATTAACAGTTTAATTGATACGCTTTTATGAAGATTTTTTGTAGGAGTGGAGACTGTGTGAGCATCTAATGGAGGAGGGAAGCGAGCTCCACAGGAACGGTGCAGCCCTCGAGAAATCTTGGAGGCGAGCATCAGAGGTGGGAGTATGGACAGAAGATAGATGTAAGTCTTCAGCAGATCGTAAGGGCCTAGACAGGACATACTTGTGTATAAGGGAGGATAGATAAGTGGGAGCAGCATTATGTAGAGATTTGAAAGCAAGAACCAGAATTTTAAATTGAGCTCTATATTTTATAGGAAGCCAAGGCAGGGACTGACAGAAGGGTGAGGCATGGGAAGTGCGGGTGGACAGGAAGATGAGCCTCACCGCCGCATTCATTATGGACTGTAACAGTGCTAGTTGGGAGCACGTAAGACCACTGAGAAGCGGATTACAGTAGTCAAGGCGAGCAAGGACAGTGGAATGGACCAACACCTTAGTCGCATCTGGCGTTAGGTAGGGGCGGATGCGCGCAATGTTTTTGAGATGGAAATGACAGGATTTGGCAATAGATTGAACATGAGGCTTAAAGGAGAGGTCGGAGTCAAAGAGAACACCTAGGAAGCGAGCCTGCGTGGTGGAGCTGATGGTAGCACCGTTGACTTGGAGGGAGACAGACACAGGAGTAACAACACTTGAGGGAGGAAAGACCAGAATTTCAGTTTTGGTCAAGTTTAGTTTAAGGAAGTGGGCAGCCATCCAGTTAGAAACAGCAGAGAGGCAGTCAGAGACACTAGTCAAGAGGGACGGGGAGAGATCAGGAGAGGACAGGTAGATTTGCGTGTCATCTGCATAGAAATGATATTAGAAGCCAAAGGAGCTAATGAGTTTACCAAGGGAGGCAGTATAGATGGAGAACAGTTTTGGGAGAAGAAGCAGAGCCAGAGAAATAAACACTGAAAGAGCGCTGGGAGAGGTAGGAGGAGCACCAGGAGAGAGCAGTATCTTGTAGACCGATATTGCGGAGGATGAGAAGAAGCTGTTGATCATCAACAGTGTCAAAAGCCGCAGACAGGTCAAGGAGAATTAGGATAGAGTAGTGACCACGAGATTTTGCAACGAGTAGATCATTGGATACTTTGGTCAGTGCCGTTTCCACTGAGTGCTTAGCGCGGAAACCAGACTGAAGCGGGTCAAGCAGAGAGTTGGACTCGAAGAAGTCTGTCAATCTCGCACACACAATTTTTTCAAGGATCTTTGATGCAAAAGGCAGTAGTGAGATAGGACGACAGTTGGATGGGGAGTTAGGGTCAAGATTGGGCTTCTTTATAATTGGGGTTACAGTTGCATGTTTGAAGGGCAATGGAAATATACCAGAGGAGGGAGAGAGATTGAGAATTTTAGTGAGAGGTGGAGAAAGAGAAGAAGACAGAGTACGGATGAGATGCAAGGGAATTGGATCTAGGGAGCAGGGGCGGGAGGACTGGAGCAGAGCAGAAACCTCTTCCAATGTAGCGGGTGCGAATGAACATAGAACAGCAGAGGGAGTGAAGTTAGGGGAAGTATTGTAAGGGGAAGAAGAAAGATGAGAGATCTCTTCTCTGATTGTAGAGATCTTGTTAGTGAGTTGCAAAGTCTGAGGCGGTCAAGTGAGTAGGTGGAGGAGGAACAGCAGGGCAAAGAAGAAGAAGAGTTAAATGTGTGAAATAGTCGTTTGGGTTCGCTGGAGAGTGTGGTTATGAGGGTATTAAGGTAATTAACTTTTGCAGAGGAAAGAGCCAAGCTGTATGAGCTCAGTATAAATTTATAGTGGAGAAAGTCAGATGCACAGTGAGACTTTCTCCAACAGCGTTCAGCAGTTCTGGAGCATTTTTGGAAGTACTGAGTGAGCTTCGTGTGCCAGGGTTGTTGTTGGGGGGGCCTGCTGCGTTTAAATGTACAAGGTACCATGATGTCTAGTTGAGAGGAGAGGGTGGAATTGTAGGAGGAGGTTGCAGAACTAGGACAGGTGAGGTTTGAGATAGGTAAAAGGAGAGTTTGGAGACATATACTCACTGAAGCTCTCATTCGTGGGTGCCACCATATTTCCTTTTGGGAACTTAATCTATGTACATGGCTCAGAACCACAACACCATGATCATGATCATGCTTGTACAATACTTATTTTTGGGATTTTGATTATTATTGATTGCAATTTGAGGGACATGCCTGAGAACCCAGGCGGAAAGTCCAGAGAATTTAATTTGCTAGCACTGTGTTTAACCCTGTAACTTTCTATGACATCCTAAAACCTGTACATGGGGGGTACTTGTTTTACTCGGGAGACTTCGCTGAACACAAATATTAGTCTTTCAAAACAGTAAAACATATCACAGCGATGATATGGTAAGTGAAAGTGAAGTTTTTTTGCATTTTTCACACACAAACGGCACTTTCACTGATGATATTATTGCTGTGATAGGTTTTACTGTTCTGAAACACTATTATTTGTGTTCAGCGAAGTCTCCTGAGTATAACAGTACCCCACATGTAGAGGTTTTATGGTGTTTTCAAAAGTTACAGAGTCAAATATAAGGCTTGCGTTTCAGTTTTTTCACATTAAAATTCGCCAGGTTGCCTTTGAGACCGTACGGTAGCCCAGGAATGAAAATGACCCCCATGATGGCATACCATTTGCAATAGTAGACAACCCAGGGTATTGGAAATGGGGTATGTTCAGGCTTTTTTAGTAGCCACTTAGTCACAAACATTGGCCAAAATTTGCGTTCAAATTAGTTTTTTGCATTTTCAAATATTAACACTAAATTTGGCCAGTGTTTGTGACCAAGTGGCTACTAAAAAAGACTGGTCATACTCCATTTGCAATACCTTGGGTTGTCTACTTTTGCAAATGGTATGCCATCATGGGGGTAATTCTTATTCCTGGGCTACCATATGGTCTCAAAGGCAACGTAACCAATCTGGCGAATTTCAATGTGAAAAAACTGAAATATGTAACACGCTATATTTGACACTGTAACTTCCCAAAACACCATAAAACCTGTACATAGGGGGTACTGTTTTACACATGAGACATCGCTGAATACAAACAAGTGTATGTTACTGCAGTAAAAGCAAACAGTATTTTGACATTCACAGTTAAAATGTCACGTAGAACTAAATTTTTTTTCAAAATTATTATTTTCTCCCATTTTTTAATATTTTTTTTCATATTAAATTATGTTCCATACCTAAATATTTGATGTTAAACGAAAGCCCTGTTTCCCCTGAATAAAATGATATATAATAAGTGTGGGTGCATTTAATATGAAAGAGGTGAATTTCGGTTGGACAGACATACAGCGCAAATGCCAGGTTTTGTTTACGTTTTGTTTTGATCACAACTTGTACATTTGGCTGCGGTCTAAGGGGTTAGGGGTTTAACCCCTTAAGGACGAGTGACGGACGAGGTCCGTCACTCAGGGGAAACCCTTAACGACGAGTGACGGACCTCGTCCGTCACGCGGTAAAATTAACCCTGGATCGCCGCTATTGCGGCGATCGCGGGGTTAATGGTGCTCCGGTATGCCTCTGCATTAGAGGCATACCGGGAGCACCCGGTCAGGCTGCCCAGCACATGTGCTCGCTCTGACCGCAAGTCTGAGCGAGCACATGTGCTCTGTATACTCACCTACCGGCTCCCTGCACTTCCGGGTTCTGTGTGAAGTGCAGGGAGCCGGATCAGTGCTGATCCTGCCCCCTGCTGGAAAAAAAAATAAAGTTTATTTAAAGTCCCCCCCCCCCTTACCCATTTTAATAAAAAATTAACCCCTTCCCTGCCAATTGATCACTGACTACAGTGATCAATTGGCAGGGATTACATTTTACTATGATCTGATTTTTTTTTTTTTAACCCCTGAGGGTTAATTCTTTTTTTTTAACCCTCAGGGGTTAAATTTATTTAATTAATTAATTAAAATATTTTAAAATTATATATTTAGCTAGCTGGGGTGGGTGGAAGTTAGTGGGGAATTGGGGGATTTGGCGTTAGGCTAACTAGGGGTTAACGTTAAAAAAAGTTTTAAAATAACCTTTAAAAAGTAAAAAATTAAGCTTAAAAAATGTTTTAATAACGTTTAAATAAAAAAAAAAAAAAACCCTTTACCTAGTCCAAATAAAAATTAACCCCTTCCCTGCCAGTCGATCACTGCCTACAGCGATCAAATAGAGATCACAGTATTATACTGTGATCTAATTTTTTTTAACCCCTGAGGATTAACTTTTTATTTATTTTTTAACCCTCAGGGGTTCAATTTATTTAATTAATTAATTAAAATATTTTATAACTATGTATTTTGCTAGCTGGGGTGGGTGGGAGTTATGGGAAAATGGGGAATTTACTGTTAGTGCTGCGTACTGCTAGTTAGGGGTTAACGGTAAAAAAAAAAGCTTAGAAAAATGTTAAATCTGTAAAAAAGTTTTAAGAAAGTTTAGGAAAGTTTAAAAAAAATTTATAAGCAAAACAAAAGTTTAAAAACTAGTTTTTAAAAGTAAAAAAGTTATAAAAAGTAAAAAAATACATTTTAAAAACGCTCATTACCACTACACCTGGAACAAACTAGAGAAAAAATTATCCCACGCCAAGGTTCAAAATATGCCTTTTGAATTACCCCAGGGTGTATTCTTTAATAAATAGTATGTGTTTGTGGGGAAGTTTCAATAACCAACCGTCTAAACTACTCCAAATTGGAACATGGACACAGCGTAAAACTTCAAAGTTAGAAAAAAACTGAATGGCTGCGTCTCAAATGCGCCCCTTCAACATCCACATATACCTGGCAAAGGTACATACAGGGGTATTGCTGTACTCAGCCGACATAGCTGAGCAACATATGAAGTATTATACAGTCATAGCACACATAAGGTTTGCAAAATATGTTGCACAAACTCACTTTGTATGTCAAAAAGGCAGAAAAAATGCTTATTACCACTACACTTGGTACAAGCTAGCGGAAAAATGATCCCACGCTAAGGTTCAAAATATGAATTTTGAAATACCCTGGGATGTCTTCTTTAAGAAATGGTATGGCTTTATGGGGTATTTGGATTATATAGCCTGGTAAAATACTCTAAAATGGGACATAGGCACAGCATAAAAATTCAAAGTTTGAAAAAAACTGGAATGGCTGTGTCCCAAATGTGCCCCTCCGATGTCCACACATACCTGGCAAAGGTACATACGGGGGTATTGCTGTACTCAGCCGACATAGCTGAGCAACATATGAAATATTATACAGTCGTAGCACACATAAGGTTTGCAAAATATACTGTGCAAACTCACTTGTATGTCAAAAAGGCAGAAAAAACGCTTATTACCACTACATCTGGTACAAGCTAGCGGAAAAATGATCCCACGCTAAGGTTCAAAATATACCTTTTGAAACACCCTGGGGTGTCTACTTTAAGAAATGGTAGGCCTTTGTGGGGTAGTTTGAATTTAAAACCTGCGAAGATGCTTGGAAATTGCACATAGGCCCAGCGTCAAAATTCAAAGTTTGGTAAAAACGGATATGGCTTGGTCTCCTATATGGCACTGTAGCTTCACGAAATAGTGCCAAAGACATTCATTGGGGGTGTCTTTTTACTCAGAAGACTTAGCTGAGCATAATTTGGGAGGTTTGAACTTAGTGGCACATATGAAATATACAAAACGCCCAGCAAAAATGCAATCCGTATGTAAAAAATGCACAAAATAATTTTTTTACCACATACTTTGGCATATATTGGTGAAAAAATGGGGGTATGTTAAGGCACAATATGCACCTTATGAGATACCCTGGAGTGTCTACTTTTACAAATGGTAGGCCTTTGTGGGGGTTTTTTGAACAGTCAAACTGTTATAATACCCCAAATGGAAGCTAAGGCTCATTAAATCCATCTCTCAAAATTCTACTGTGAATACTGTAAAGGACAGGTCTCCTATATGGCACTGTAGCTTCACGAAATAGTGCCAAAGACATTCATATGGGGTGTCATTTTACTCAGAAGACTTAGCTGAGCATAATTTGGGGGTTTGAACTTAGTGGCACATATGAAATATACAAAACGCCCAGCAAAAATGCAATCCGTATGTAAAAAATGCACAAAATTATTTTTTACCATATACTTTGGCATATATTGGTGAAAAAATGGGGGCATGTTAAGGCACAATATGCACCTTATGAGATACCCTGGAGTGTCACTTTTACAAATGGTAGGCCTTTGTGGGGGTTTTTTGAACAGTCAAACTGTTATAATACCCCAAATGGAAGCTAAGGCTCATTAAATCCATCTCTCAAAATTCTACTGTGAATACTGAAAAGGACAGGTATCCTGTGTGGCACTGTAACTTCACAAAATAGTGCCAAAGACATACAATGGGGGTGTCATTTTACTCAGCAGATGTAACTGAACACAAAATAAAACTTTGTACAGGAATAGCACACACCAACTTTACAAAATATACACGAGAATTTCTTTGTTATAAGTTTGTGTGCCAAAAACCAAAAAAAACAAAATTTTACTCCAATATTTAGCAGAGGTTGGCGGTGAAATGGCTACGTAGAAAGTGTCAAAACAGCCTTAGGTAAATAGCCCGTGATGTCTACTTTATATAAATATATACTTTTGTGTGGCAATTTTGTTTTCTTTTATGGCTATTAAGCTTACAAGACAAACATACCAAATTCTAAAATCGCTCCACATTAAAAGTCTATTTTACTCCTTGTGCTTTGTGACCTGTAACTACCAAAAAAAACTTAAAATCCCAGACACATTGTATATTCTGTAAATCAGAACAACTAAATTAATTTATTTTTAATTACTTTTCTTAACCTGCACTAATTATGCACACATTATTATTGCAAAAACTGTAAAAAAAAAAACACACACAAAATTTTCATTTTTTTTTATACATTTTTCTGTATTTTTTTATAATAAATAAGCATTTATATATATGTGTGTTACATCAAATTAAAGCCCTTTCTGTCCTTTAAAAAACGATGTATAATATGTGTTGGTGCAACAAATAAGTAAAATGCAAATTGCAGTTGAACGCAAACAGCAAAAAATGAAAAAAATGCCGTTGTCATTAAGTGAAAGACAAGCTTTTGAAGCTCTGTCCTTAAGGGGTTAAAACATACATTTATAAAAACATTAGCAGGTGTACAAAAGGACCTGTCTATGACATCACTTGCTGCTCCAGCATGACACAGGTCAGAGTATTTTGGCGGTTGCCATCTTCAAACGGTCGTATTTTAAAAACTATAAATCCTACAGCAAAGAGCTTTATATTGTGAGAATCAAAAGACCCAGACCTACATTTTGATGCATAGTATGTCTCTGAAATACTAAAAATGAAGGCACATTTGCAGTTTAGAAATTGCCCTTCAAATTTGAGCTGGCTAGAGTGGAGTTTCAATGAATGTCAATGGATGGCGTGAGTTGCAAACAAATGGTCATATTGTGAAAACTATCAGAACTATGGCTTAGCCGTGGACCTGTTTTGTGGCTGGAGGGATAGCTGAACGTTTTGATATAAGATTTGTGTAGGTGGGCTTGAAAATGAGGGAGTGGTGGCAGTTTAGAAATCATGTCCTGATTTTTCAGCTTTTGTCAGCTCCCACTCTAGTTTTGAACATTTCGCCATTCATTCCTATGGGACCAATTTCTTTTTTTTTGGTCATTCTTTATTTTATTTTGTAAAGTTGACAGTGAATTAACAGTAAATAAACATAACTGCGGTGAAAACAGGTCAGATAGAAAGGTAGATAGATGCTCCCAGGGACCTAGCTCCCGCTTCCCCCAGCACTGCCTATTATTGTAGTAGGGGTAGGGCACGTATCTGCTACTCTACGTCCTCGCCCGATCTGAGCCCCTAGAGCCATCTAGTGGTGACGTGGCCTGTCAACCTCCCCCGGCTCGGGAATAATGTCTACCATGTGCAGCCCAATGAAATTTGTCATAAGGTGTAGCTTCATGCCTGAGGGGTATGCGGGTGGGTGTCAGCGCTCTGGCTTAATTAGGTCGTGTGTAGGGAAGGTGGGTCCCTTGATTCCTTCTACTTATCATCGTGGTACCGTGCTGGTCCCCACTCCCCTCGACATGATCCAGGTTGATGAGTCGTCATGTAGACGATGAGCGAGTTGCATGAGCGGAGGTCTTAGCTTGCAGTGTATCCCTAGTGCCCCCGTCTCAATTTGACAGGCTGTTATATTGCACCGCCATGGAGTCAATTTGTGGTTCCGCTCCGTTCAATTCGTATGCCAGCATGTGAACACTACCAACTACAACCCTAGTTGCCCCATTCTAGGCCTGTTGCAGGCCCAGCCGTCGGAGTCAGGTAGGTTTGGTCACGTCTTGTATCCATGACATTTACGTGTGTGTCTGGGTGCTTGTTATGTGTGGGCTCTAATCTAATCGTGCTGTTCCGTCCTGTGCGTCCGGGTGGGTGTTCCCATGCCCGCAGCTCAGGGTCAGGTGGCTTAACGGTCAGGGCGTCTAATGTCGGGCAATCCTGGTGGAATGCGGGTGCGTTAGGCAGTGTACTTATGTGTCGTCTGTCGATTCCCACCCAGTGAGGGGGGGAGTGGGAAACGGGAAGTGTGGTTGCCCCAACCCATAGCTTGTTTGTGTCCCCAGCCAGTCCAGTGTGTAGGCCCGCCTGTGACCATCCACCACCCCGTCCCTAGTTGCCCTACACCGTACCAACAGTGGTTCTACTCCAACCGGGCCAAGCGTGTTCGTTCTCGCCTGGTGCCCAAGACATTCACGTGTGTGCTGTCTGTGTGTTGGCTCCGGCCTGTGTAGTTCTGTCTGTCCGTACCTGGGGGGACGGCCTATGGGACCAATTTCACCACAAAATTACGATATTTTGTGTACCATTCCGCGCAACGTTACACAAAGTAATAGCACACCAATTGGGAACAAGCCGCACGTTTCGGTACATTACTGTCTATGTAGTGTAAAAACTGTGGGAGGAGTTAGGGTGGTAAATTTGGCTATAATAAGAATAATAATATATATGTGAGATAACATTAAGTGGTCTTGCTATGCAAGAACACTTAACTACTTGGCTGACCAAGGCTGCCAAGGATGCTGCACATAAGTCAAGGGAAGTGGACAGAAGAGTGTCCGCTGAAGAAACTTCTATATACACTATGCAAACTCTACCCACAGGCTTCAAATTCCTGAGGGAGCAACAAAAAGTCGCCACCCCACAAGAGAAACAAGATGGAGAGAAAAAGCGACAACCCTTCAGAATGAAGTATATACCATCAATCTCAAATTCTGCCTATCCAAGAAGATGTACCCAGCAGTGGTCCAAGGCCCATGGAGCAGCGCATTTGTCCAAATACCTCATGAACTGATTGACAAATATTTTGAAGCACCCGGAATTACTACACTGACCAAGAATTATTGCAGTTCCAACATCATTTGTGGCAAATGTAACCCAGGGAAAATGATAAAAGCTCCTCCGAAACACCTGGCAAAGCCACATTATCCTTTCCAGAGGATCCAAATTGATAATATCCAAATGCCGAAGAGTGGCCAGTATTAATATGCACAAGTCATAGTGGACATGTTCTAAGGATGGCTAGAATCCTTCCCTGTCACCAACATAACTGCCAAGACCACAGCCAAAGGTCTACTTACCGAAATCGTCTGCAGATATGGAGTTCCTGAGGTGATAGAAAGTGACCAGGGTACAGCCTTCACTGCACTACTGACCAAAGAGATCAGGGCAGCACTGGGGGTGACCCATGCATTCCACACACCCTATCACCCACAGAGTAGTGGTAAGGTAGAACGCATCAATGGCACTCTGAAAGCCAGAATGCTTAAGATGGCCCAAGAAACTAACCTGTCCTGGCCAGATAGTCTTCCCATAGCTTTGTTTAGCGTGAGGTATACACCAAGAGGGAGGTTTAGCCTATCCCCATATGAGATTTTGTTTTTGTTCAGCTCCCAGGCTAGGCTGTTACTTTCCTTAGCAGCTCCAACTCCAGTCAGATGCAATAGTAGATTATGTAACTGCTCTCTCTCTCAAGCCTTGACCAAAATACATGCACAAGTGTTTTCTTCCATTCCAGATCCAGAGTCTGATACAGGCACCCACAAGTTACTTCCTGGTGACTGGGTTCTGGTTAAGAAATTCCTGAGCCGAGATTTGATGGTCCATTCCAAGTCCTCCTAACCACGTCTACTGCAGTAAAACTGGCCGGGAAGAATTCTTGGATGCACGCCTCTCACTGCAAGTTCCAAATTTCGTTGAGCTATGAGCTTCCTGTACCTTTTTCCCGCTGCTAGGCCTATTAGAGGCCTAACGAGTTGCAATTACCAAAAGAAAATCTTGTTTACACATTTTGGTATAATTCTTCAAACACACATGTAGCCACATTTACATTTGATTACTGTGATATTGTCTCTTGTGTATTTCCACAATCATTACAATCAACAATATACAAAGACATACCTTATAAAAAGGACCCATACATTTGTGTGACTGGTGACATCACTGTAGTTCATGGAAAGCGGCGGGTTGGAAGACAGGCCGACCATGGGGCTACAAACCACAGACTGCCTCAAATAGGGTGGACAGAAATGGGAAATCCTTATTACACAGAATGACTATACACAAACCAACAGGGTCAACTCCAATGAAGCTTACCTTAAACATAGAACACCCAAGTCCAGGAGACACTGGAGAGTATGTAATGGGAATGTACTGGAAAGGGGGTGGTTCATATAATAAATTGGGGACTTTCTATTTACAAGACATGTACAAATCACCTGAGTGGGTAAACACAAGACACATGACTGTTAACCCTCTGAAACTGCATATCAAGACTCTTAAGGACATGGTAGCTATAGCTAACCCTACATTTGAAGACACTATGGCAGTAGAGACTGGTTTTTCAGACACTAACCTATGGCTTGAATGGATGAGATATAATGCCAATTCTCATAATAAAACTGTTATGCTTGTGGTGGGGCCAGACCCCATCTGGGTACAGTGCCTCTAAACCTACCTCCTGACGTTGAAACATGTTTCATAAGTCTCTATGTATAGTCAAAAAGCAATTCATCAGCATGTGAATCATGGAAAAAGGTATACCCACTAACCAAAAAGGATATCAAGCCACCTGATGGAGTCACGGTATATCCAGGTAATTACACCATGCACAGTGACACAGGTACATTTGTGGGAAAATTCCCCTCTGCATATTGTGTTACTTATCGAGAGCCTCCGATTGCCATGTTAACAAATCAAGTTAGATCCCTGGGAGACATTTATTGGCTATGTGGAGACATGCAACTTAGATCCAGATTGACAGGCCTATGGTCAGAGTAAAAAGAGACACTCTTGTAAAGGGCAGCTTTGACCCTCACATATACATAGATGCCATAGGAGTGCCAAATGAATTTAAAGCAAGAGATGAAGTTGCGGCAGGATTCAAATCCATGATTCCGCTCATCACTGCTAATAAAAATGTAAATTGGATCAACTACATTTATTATAACCAGCAGCGCTTTGTCAACTATACCAGACATGACCTCCAGGGCCTGGCAGAGCAGTTGCAGGCTACCTCCCAAATGACCTTTCAAAATAGAATGGCCCTAGATATGATACTAGCAGAAAAAGGAGGTGTGTAAAATACTCCCGGACACCATGACATGCTGTACTTTCATCCCTAAGAACACAGGCCCCAATGGGAAGGTAACCATGGCAATTGAAAAATTAGAAAGTCTCTCAGAAGAATTAAAAAGGAATTCAGGGGTCACTAATTCATGAGATAGTTGGTTTGGATGGTTGAATGATTGGCAGAAGGTGCTCTTCCAGGTAGGAATGGCTGTTTTGACAGTAATGCTTCTCTTTGTCTGTTGTGTGCTTCCATGTGTTCAGAAATACCTACAGAAGACAGTTGACCAGACAATTGCTAGGAGTTACCCCTCCCATCGACTAACCACCCAATTAACTAGATGGGGCTGGAATGTGGAAAACTGCATGATGACAGTGACATCACACCCTGTAGGCTGTGCATTAGATGACCCACTTAACACCTAACCAATTGTTGATGTATTTTCTGTTATCTATAATTATGCAGATTATGTATTTCTGCTTTATATGGGGCATACCGGCCCCCTGGTTTAAACATTCAAGTTTTTCATTAACTTAAAACTTGTGTCTGGTGTGAATTACTTTTGGGAGCGTGCACGCATTTAATTCAATTTGGACAGGGGCAGATATACAAAATCAAACACTTGATTTGATCCTTAACAGTATGTATACCACCAATAAAAGCATTGCAGTTCTACATTTTGGGTGTTAAAGATATATGTGCTGGGAATGCTCAAGTCAGAGGTTTCTCATTAATAATCAGCACATTTATAACCTGTCAGAAAGAAGACAGGCTCCAGTCACAAATACACACTGTGTGTTCCTTTAAAGTCCATTGTGATAGAGCACTAAAATTTGATTGAGTAGGATATTTTGGACTGGCCCTAGACTGACATAGCATAAACTCTCCCCACCAGACAAACAAAAGGACCCATATTTGAATATATCTATCATATGCCAAAACTTCAATTGGCCCCCAAAAGCAGAGCTCCAGACAAGAAGGTAATAGACTTAAGATCAGCAGTTCCCAACCTGTGGTACACGTACAAACAGTGGAATGCGAAAAGATTTCTGTAATGGCAGAACTGACTTTGGCATCCATTTGGAAACTTCAGCTGCCAGTCAATAATTAGCACCGAATCATGTCATCCCCTTTCAGAGATTTTGCCTGCTTGAGATAATTTAATCCTTTTTACATGATGTGCTGAAAAAAAAAAAAAAAATATCTAGGTCTGTCTTCTAGTTCTTAGTGTGAGTGTGTGAATATATATATATATATATATATATATATATATATATATATATATATATATATATATATATATATATATATATATACATACACACACACACACACACACACACACACACACACATATACATACACACAATATATAAAAAATTTTTATAGTTTTTCCACACACAATAAGGGTGACAGTGATCAGCAATATCTGGAGCAATAGGGAGTCGCTTAAGCTCAGTCCACAAAGAAACCGACAGATTCACAGTGGATATGACAATTTGTTAAATTTTATTTTGCTCCTCATGTATACATACTCTTTGATGTACCCATACCATTAACTGGGGATTGGTTTACATCAATATTTTTTGGCTGTATTTTTTATATTTGTGAGGGTGTTGATGCACACATCCATGGATCAAGGGGAATTTCCCCGGAAGCCATGGGTCTGGTATCCCACACTCTCCTTTGTTGTTATCTTCCTTTTATTCTTATTTATTTTTATGTGTTATATATGGGGCCTCATATGTTCACTATTTAATATGTGTATTATTCATATATGATTACATGCTAATATTGTTTATTCCACTATTTCCTGTAATGGTGTGTTATTGAAGAGTGTGTAAAATATGTAATTTGCTGAAATTATGTTATGCATCATATTGTCCAACACTGTGTACTATTAATTTATTATAATGTGGGGTATTGGGTATAATAGTGTTGGCCTAAATTCTGAGGTAATCTGGTTTAGACTGCAATATATATATATATAATCTATATATATCTGACATTCTGCATATACACAATGCCCATATGGTGTGCTACAGTTTATATAGAATGTACCATTCGTTTGATCTTTAAATAGCTGTTATGCATTAGAAGGATTTTCCCCTTTGATTTACAATAATTTTGGCCACTTCATTCTCCGGTAGTTACTCTGCACCACTGGAACATGTGGTCACGCCCATACGCAATGACGGCATAGAAACCCGGAGGTAACTCCCAGTATTGGGCAGAGGATTTCACACATATGAATATTAGTCTCAATCTATAGGATATATAAGTGGGAATATAGATCAATCGGTGAGAGGTCCCCAAGAGGAAGGTTTCTTTCTGTCAAGATATTTTGATGTACTCTTTATGCATGAATAAACACTTTCTATTCTATGTATATATCCGGTGTGGGAACGGATCTTTTATCTTAAAGAGCACCCTGTACTTTTTATACCACATACATGCTACCCATTTTCAGTTGAGCTCTTCCTATAGCTACATGTTTGCATATTTAAGTCTGAGCCTGAAACTAAACGACATTCTATTTAGGTTTATAAATGTAGGTTTATTAAAATTGATCAGATAATATAATATGGCTCGGTGTGGGAAAATAAAATATTTGTGTATAGTCAGGGTAGTGAATGGTAATTTCCTGTGAGAATAAATCTCAACAGTAAAATTACTTTCTACCACACTAATAATGCATGTAAAACCTGTGGGTATACATAAATTACATTTTTGAAATATTTATATTACTTATCTAAAAATATCTCAAAATACTGCCCCAGCAACAAAGGAAATTAGGAAAAAAAAAGGAGGAGTTTTTTGTTTTTATTGAGTACAAAGACTGCTGGGTCAATTTGTACATCAGTGCCATAAAAAAGAAAAAAAAAAGAAAATAAATAAACTTTGAACATTAGAGATCAAATGGGATTCAATAGGTGCTATTGTTTTACAGTTTTAAGTGACAAGTGACAGTTTTGTTGGAACCATATATTCAGTAAATCAAAAGAAGCAGCAATTGAATGCATGTATGGTAGGTCCTAGGTTTATCCTTTCAAAGAAGACATCCCTGCTCTCATGATCTCATCCACCAGGAGAATATTGCTTGCGATCACAGTGCTGAAACATAATATAGAAGATGGTTTCAGAAAGACCAAACAAAACAGAAAGCATATGTAAAACCATACAAATGTGATTGTTCCTGACTTTTGAAGACTATGGTTGTTACTTTTTTTTCCCCATTATGAATTTTAATATTTTACCCCAAACTGTTTAAAATCTAGCAAGTGGTTTAATTTGTATTTCCATATTTCCAAATGTGTCCTGTTTCAAAAGTTATTGTATGATTTTTTTCTTCATAATTTGTATGGATATCTGTTGGCTGCTGAGACTGATTGTAATTTTAATTTTCTGGGACCTTCAGACAAAATTGCCACTTCTTCACCTTTACTGGCACCATAACCTCTACAGCCCTTTTCTCTCCCCAGTTCTATACCCAGCAACGCAGAGCCACTTCATTGGCTGAGTGTCAGCATGGCATAGCACAGAGCAGAGTTTCTGGCTTATTCCAAATCAGTGAAGTGGTCATGGTGCTCTGAGTAACACTAACTTATTGTACTAGATGGCAGCCAGCGCACTGCACCACCATTCTTCTTTAATAGCTGTAGAGGTTAGTGGTTGAGCTTCAACTTGTATCAGACGAGTGTAAAATGATCACTATTACTGTACCTTTTTTTTTTTTTAAATGGTAGGGTTTATTTAAAGGAAAGACTGACATTAATCTGCTCTAAAGTTTTCTACAGCTCTCAGCAATATTCCTGGTCAATAGAACCAAAATATAACTAAACAGAATATGAACAGTTGGCTTCTGTAATCAAATGTTGAGATTTATTTACAAATCTGGTCTTTATTTAGTAATCTTTTAACTAGAACATTATAGTCATTAAAGAAACCATCTGTACAAAAAATAAAATAAAAAACCACATCCAAAACAGACATATGGGAAAATATTCCTAGTGGATTTACACTTACCAGGAATGGAGAAGCTGCTTCTTAACATTATAGTTGTCCCAGACACCTGCTTCTGCAGAAACCATTGGTTCACCTTTAAAAGACAAAAAGGTAGGCTTTACCATATGTCAATAGCAATGTTCACTGAAAATTGCTTTTTACATTGCAAAATGGATGCAGAGTCTGTGTCCCAAACAGAACATTAACTAGCTCCCAGGACAAGCTACAGCCTTATGCAGAGGTAGCTCTTTTGAATGGTCTACCTAAGAATACCTGCACCACTTATTTTATTCTTATATTTCTTAGTTTCTCTTTTTACTTCTCTCCCCTATAATATTACTGCTTCATTGTTAACGTTCTACCTTCCATGCTCAACCCTTGTTTTGATAATTGTTTATTTTATTAGTATTGTGTCAATAGTCTTGTTAATTTATGTCCACCATTTGTGACCTGCCCCTATTTTTGTTAGTTTAGAGTTACTGTGCTGATTGTCATTTTAATTTATATTCACCATTTATGACCTACCCTCATACATACACACATATAAATACAATTACTTCAATGTACTGTACTTCTGAATACGTGCAGAAGAATAAAAACTCATCTGGACGCAGAGGTAAAAGGACAGATATCAATTTAGCACAGAATAAAAACCAAGGGAGCTACAGAGCATGCTTGGGGTGTTCTCTGTGCACATATCCCAACCAGAACCTGTTCTCTCTCTTTACGGACTTCATTTAGCACCACAATGGCAATGTGTTTCCAAATGAGAACTGCGCAGTACAGTTGAAAATTCTATTACACACTGTGAGCAAAGCACAACCTCGACAATGCGTGCGTTCACACAAAATATCTTAAATTGCTTTAGCAAAAAAAATTAAACATTTTTATTTATTTATTAAATTTTTGAAATATTTATATTACTTATCTAAAAATATCTCAAAATACTGCACCAACAACAAAGGAAATTAGGAAAAAAAGGAGGAGTTTTTTGTTTTTATTGAGTTTAAATAAACTTTGAACATTAGAGATCAAATGGGATTCAATAGGTGCTATTGTTTTACAGTTTTATGTGACAAGTGACACATTTATTTACTAAAGTGAGAAATGTTGGGAATTCAAAGTGAATTTCAAATTTAAAGCTATGTAAGTTGCAATCACCTCGCTTGCTATGACAGTTCTTATATATTGATTTAGAGGTTTTTATATCTTTAAATCTCATACTTTCTCCTCTGTTCTTTATTTTCTTTTCCTCATTAACTGCCATTTCTCCCCTCAATATCTGTGTCTTCCCCACCCTTAATATGCTGTTTGATCTAACCCAGATCCTTTCTTGCAGCCTGGGTCTCAAACGGAACATTAACTAGCTTCCAGAACTCACAGCTACCAAGATAAATCACAGCCTTATGCAGAAGTAGCTCTTTTGGGTGGATTCCCACCACCACAAGGAACTCACTACATTTATAGATAGCACAAATTACCTGACTTTCCAAACATACCAATTATATCTCTCAAACTCTAATCATCTGCTAAACTATCACACTCCCTACCTGCAACCCCTGACCCCTCTCATGTGACTTTAAGATCTCACCTCATCTAATTTTGCAAAACTAAAAATCCTAGTTTCCTTCTTTATAATATAAACTCCTTTATTCTCCTCCGAGAAAGCACTCTCTTATAATTCTTTACTTTTACTTTCACTCTCACCTGTCTAATTAGCAAAATCTCTATCCCTCTGCTCACCTGTCCCTGCTGGCACCATTTTCATTGCTCCCACTTTACTTCCCCTCCCCTCTCTATTCATCCCATGTACTCTACTTATACCTTTCCAAAACCTCTAAATACACACACACACACAAAACTTTTAAATCCTACTCCCACCTCTTCCTTTCTATCCTTCGGCTCTTAGCAGCTGGTGATGTCTCTCCAAATCCCGGTCCCACCTGCGCAAACCCACCGTGTGTTAACTCATGGAATCACAATAATCTCTTGTCACTCTTCCTTTCATTGGCTTCCTGTATCCTATAGGAGTTAATTCAAGGTACTAATCTACACCTATTAAGCACTGACTGATTCTAGCCCCTCCTATATCTCTTCACTGATCCGCAGGTATGCCCCTTCTCGGTCTCTCCGCTCATGACCTTCTCCTGTCCGCTGCTCGCACCCAATACGGCCAACTCACGCTTGCAGGACTTCTCGCAGGTGGCTCCTGTCCTTTGGAATAGCCTGCCTACGACCACCAAGCTCTCCCCTAATCTTCAGTCATCTAAAAAGTGCCTCAAAACCCATCTCTTTAGGAAAGCTTTTGACCTCCCAGAGTAACCTCTACCTCACATACTGGTCCCTTGCTCTCTCCTAAAGGGCAGCACTCTATTCTCTCCTCCAGCTCTGCTTCACTTCAACTTTGATTGCTACCTCCTGGCCTGTTGGGTTTTACATCACACCTCCTATAGAATGTAAGCTCGTTTGAGGAGGGTCTCTTCAACCTATTGTTCCTGTATGTTTTTGTAACAGTCATTTGTTAAAAATCTCCCTTTGATAATATTGTAAAGCGCTATATATAAATACCAGTAATAATAATAGTCATGAGCACTTCCCTTGAGTGGCTTACTTATTATACTTTATACCCCAATGTAGATGGCAGATATAGAATCTGAAATACTACTCTAAAAATAAACAGTACATACATTATCTCACAATTTGTCTAATACAATATGAAGTATATTGAAATGTAACAGCTGCACTTTAAATGCATTAGTTGGGGGGTGTGGGGGGGAGTTATACTTCAAATCAACCCTTTTCAAACTAGACTCAGTAATCTAGTTAAAATCTTAATATCCTTACTTTGCTTTCTGAACACAGTATACGGTCTACACATAAAAATATATATAAAAAAAACCTCAGTCGGTTTAAAAATACTTATGAATTTTACCTGTGTTGAGATCCACACCAACAAGTTGTCCTGATTCTGTATATTCAGTCTGCAGTTTTACTAATGTCTCTTGAGGGTCATAGCCAGAATTTTGGGCAAGAACCTTAAACAATGGAAGCAGGCAAGGCATACATTAGGCACCCTAAGATACCCTTAAAAAAAAAAAATCTGCAGGTCTTCACAGTGGGCATGATTCTATAAACTTACAGGTGTCACAAGGCCCATATCCGTTAACTTGAAAAACTAAGGTTCTCCCCATAATCAAGAGTAAATCCATCCATCCTGGACAGCAGCGTTAGGCTTATTAAGTTTAGAGGGAAATGATACATCTGGTAAAGTCGATTACTCCCTCATACATACACACATATAAATACAATTACTTCAATGTACTGTACTTCTGAATACGTGCAGAAGAATAAAAACTCATCTGGACGCAGAGGTAAAAGGACAGATATCAATTTAGCACAGAATAAAAACCAAGGGAGCTACAGAGCATGCTTGGGGTGTTCTCTGTGCACATATCCCAACCAGAACCTGTTCTCTCTCTTTACGGACTTCATTTAGAACCACAATAGCAAAGTGTTTCCAAATCAGAACTGCACAGTACAATTGAACATTCTATTAGACACTGTGAGCAAAGCACAACCTCGACAATGTGTGCGTTCACACAAAATATCTTGAATTGCTTTAGCAAAAAAATTAAACAAAACACTTTGATCACCACATATTTATTTACTAAAGTGAGAAATGTTGGGAATTCAAAGTGAATTTCAAATTTAAAGCTATGTGAGTTGCAATCACCTTGCTTGCTACGACAGTTCTTATATCTTATATATTGATTTAGAGGTTTTGTGGAGTGTCCCATTTAGAGCACATAGAACACAGCTAAATATGATATAATTAGGGTTATTTCCTAAAGTGAAAATTTAAAGTGCATTTCAAATTTAAGGCCAGGGTAGCCAAACGGAAAACTTAGCTGGCTTGCTCTGGATGTACAACATTTGAGGCAGAAATGCTGCACATACAAACTCCAACCACCATGACCACTTCTAAATGCAGAAGTGGTCATGGTGGTTGGAGTAACCTTTTAAATCCTGAAATACCCTCTGAATTCTCACTTAAATTTGGAATGGACATTAAATTTGCATTAAAGACTAAAAGTTGCCAAACTGGAAGTATAGCTAAATTAGAGATTTCCCTCCCCCAACCCGTTTGGAAATTTTGTCTTTAAATATGAAATTCACTTTTGAATTCTCAGTTAATACTTCAACATTTTAAATTTTATTCCAAAAACAAACAAGTCCATCTTAAAATAAAAATGAAGAAAAAAAAAAAAAAATACCTTAGGAATGATAAGGAGAGCATCAGCAAAAGCCTGCACACCAAGCTGGGCTCGCCCCTTTACACTGGTCTTGTGCTTGACAAGAGCATCAGCTATTGCCACTTCTAGTGCTCCTGCACCTGCTACGACTGAACCTATCCATAGGAAGGAAGAAAAAAAAAGAAAAAAAAATGAATGGCAGATTTTCATCCAAAAGGTAGTGAGTGACATTTTCTCTACAATATGTTACAAGTACAATCACAATTTTCTGGCAAAATATTTCCTCACTGCACACATTAGTGCCACCAAGTCTTACCATCTTCAATGGCATTTTTGACAGCCCGGAGCCCATCTCTTATAGCATCTTTAATTTGTGTTAGTGTGTGCTTATTTGGCCCCTTCACAAGCAGTGTCACAGAGCGTGGGTTGTCACACTGCTCAATAAATGTGAACTTTTCTTCACCCTAGAAAGTCAAGACATCAGAAAATTAGAACATCAATATATAGTAAGTAGCATTGGAACAGCAGCTATTTAAAATGATCATATCCATAGGTGACATATGTTATGTGCATGGCATGTTAGTGATATCTACCTATTGAAGAAACTAGTAAAATCTGTATAGACTGTACTCAAATTAAATAGACTGCATAAAAGCAATCTACGGTTACAGGATGGCTACACTACTACAGACATCACTTACCATTGTGAATTCATAGACAAGACCTGCGTGTCCTAAGCATTCAGGAGTGAGGTCGTCCACAGAGTTCATAGCACTGCCACCACAAGCCAATGTTAACCTGGAGGAACACAGAATCAAAGTACATTTTTTTTTTTTTTTTAAATTAGAACACTTCATAGACCCCCAAAAAAAAAACACGAAAGAAAGAAAGAAAAAAATAATAATTAAGAATTCCCATTTACCAACCTTTCCATATTTCTTCTCTTAGCTCTACGAAGTGCTACAATTCCTTCCTTGGCAAGGGCATCCAAGGAATATGGGTCTATTCCCTATAATAAAATAAAACCTTTCATGAATAAGTGGATACTAAAAGTTTCATGGCACTCAGAAAGGGTTAAGGAAGAAGTATACTTTATATATTTCCACATTTTAACCCCTTAAGGACTGGACTGTTTTTGCGATGTTGTACATTTGCGACCAGGCATATTTTTACACTTTTGTGGTGTTTGTGTTTGGCTGGAATTTTCCGCTCTCTCATTTACTGTTCCCATACAAATTATATATTGTTTTTCAGGACAAAAGGGGCTTTCTTTACATACCATTATTTATATAATCTCATGTATTTTAATTTTAAAAAAAATAAAAAAATATGATGAAAAATTGAAAAAAATACATGTTTTTTGACTTTTACTTGAAAAATCTTTTACTCATCTACAAAAGCGAATTAAAAAAAACTGCTAAATAGATTCAAAATTTTGTCCTGAGTTTAAAAATACCCCGTGTTTACATGCTTTTTTTTGCATGTTATAGGGCTATAGGTACAAGTAGAATATTGCGGTTTCAAAACATAAATTTTTACAATTTATCAATAGTGACATTGTAACACTATTATCTGTCATAAATCTCTGAATAACACCCCACATGTACATATTTTTTTTAAAGTAGACAACCCAGGGTATTCAATATGGGGTATGTCCAGTCTTTTTTAGTAGCCACTTAGTGGAAAACACTGGCCAAAGTAAGAATTCATATTTGTTTGTGTGTGAAAAAAGTAAAAAAAACTAAATTGAACGCTAATTTTGGCCAGTGTTTGTGACCAAGTGGTTACTAAAAAAGACTGGACATACCCCATTTGCAATACCTTGGGTTGTCTTCTTTTGCAAATGGTATGCCATCATGGGGGTAATTCTCATTCCTGGGCTACCATACGCTCTCAAAGGCAACGTAACCAACCTGGCCATTTTCAATGTAAAAATATTTGACCCATATATTTGACCTTGTAACTTTCAAAAATACTATAAAACCTGTACATGGGGGGTACTGTTTTACTCGGGAGACATCGCTGAACACAAATATTAGTGTTTAAAAACTGGAAAACGTATCACAACAATTATATCAGTAAAAGTGCTGTTTGTGTGTGAAAAATGCAAAAAAAGTAACTTTCACTGACAATATCATCGCTGTGATATGTTTTACTGTTCTGAATCACTAATATTTGTATTCAGCGAAGTCTCCCGAGTAAAACAGTACCCCCCATGTACAGGTTTTAGGGTGTCGTAGAACGTTACAGGGTAAAATACAGTGCTAGCAAATTAAATTCTCTGGAATTTCGGCCTGGGTTGGCAGGCAGGTCCCTCAAATTGCAATAAAATTACTGAATTATGTAAAAATATTACATAAATACGCACGTAGAATTTAAATATATATGCATATTTATATAGTTTAAGTCTACGTGTATATTTATATAATTATTTATGTAATTTTGTATATGGACATATGTATATTTCGTATTTTTATTTATTTATATATACATAGATATATATACAAATTCATTCTAAGTGTATTTTGATATAAATATATATTAATTTTAAAATACAGTTAGAATAAAATTTCATATAGATATATAATTTTTTTTTTAATTTTTATTATTTTAAAAAAAATATTTAATTTAAATTACTTATTATTTATATTTTATAATAATATATATATACAATATATATAGTTATTATATATATTATATATACACGTGTGTAATTTAATTATAAGTGTATTTTTATATTAATATAAGTACATATTAATATAAAAATACACTTAGTATGACATTATATATATGATATATAGACCTATATTATATAAATATAATATAGGTCTATATATCATATATACACCTATATAATTATTATTTTTTTTTATTAACATTAACTTTAATTTATTTTTTGATTTTACACTAGCAGGGAGACTGCCTGTCAGCACAGGCAGTCCCCCTGCAGGCAGCACTATGGACACCTATTGTGACCATGTGATCGCTGTGTTAAGCGATCACATGGCCACAGGGGTCCTAATCTGCCGTGGGGAGACTGTCTGGGCTGCAGGCAGTTTCCCCACAACCGGAGCCACGCTGATCGCCGCCGGGGGAACGACGGCGATCAGGTAAGTACCCCCAGACCGTTAGGACGGTTCAGGACCGTCATCGGTCCTCAAGGCAAAAATGCCGATGACGGTCCTGAACCGTCCTCGGTCGCTAAGGGGTTAAATCCCCATAAACTAGGGACCAAATTTTTTTAGACTGCAACAGTCTGTTTTAAACATGGAGTCATTCACAGAAACAGCAAGTGTGTGAAATGTGAAATGAACAGGAAAAAAAAAAAAATCTGTTTCTCAGAACTATATCAAGATCTGACATACAAGAAATCAATAAAAAGATTAAAAGCTAATCCACAATTTGGAGAACTCAAGAATAATACAAAAAAGGATCCACATTTAACCGTACAATGTATTTCTAGGAGATCATCCGAGATCAATATGACTTAACGTATTAATTTTTTTAAACACAAAGTTTTAAGCTCCAAGAAATAAAGAGCTCTAGAATCAGACCATGGCACAGTGTACTGTACTTCTGAATACGTGCAGGAGAACAAAATCTCACCCAAACGCAGAGGAAAAAGGACAGACATTAATCTAGCACAGGATAAAAACCAAGGGAGCTACATAGCACACTTGGGTGTTCCCTGTGCAGAAAGGGCAGTGTATCTGTATCAGACAAATTGTTAGAGATCCACACACATTTAATTGAATGTATAGAATTCAGACATAACCTTACCTTTTGATTAATCACAACAAAGCTTTTGCCTGTATCTCCACACACATTTTGTTTTAGGGCTACAATTTTTTTTACCCTCTCTTCAATAAATGTCCTTTCTGCTTTAACCAGTTTTTCACGCTCTTGTGCACTTTTGTAGAAGAATCCAGAGTTTACCTCTCTAATAAAATCAAAACATAAAACCTTAGTGAAGTTCATAGGTTAAACAATGCACCTAAATATATACACGTGAGAGCGAGTGGGAAGGAAGGATCAGAGGCAAACAATAGTTCATACCTCACAAACCTAACCTTTCCATAATAGACAGCAACCCATAAGACCATTAATACATAACCTTTATTAATTTAAGTATAAAACCAAATATGTCTAGGTATATCTGATAATGTGGCTTTGTAATCCAACAAATCATCTATAAGTAGAGGAAAAAAAATGAAAACAAAACAAATGATAATAGTTAAATATCTAAATGTAACAACTTTGGCAACCAGAGCCAAAATTCTAAGTCAGCTGCCAAAGTTTGATAGTATCTTAGAAAACAAAGGGAGTGAGATAAAACAAAACAAAAAATTAAAGTCTAATGTAGCTGTTAGAATAACAGTGTAATGGGAGAGGGAAGGTGTACTGCTTACAATAAGACAAAAAAAATCTAATCACTACGTACTAGAAGGAGGGTAGAGAAATATACAGCGATAAAGATAGGAAAACCATATAAAGAGAATATCACCTAATGTGCCTTCATGGGCACCCCTTAAAAAAAATCTAAACCCTCCCGTTCTTCTTCTAAGTCAGATCACCCGTAGGAAATAAACAGAAAGAGACACACACCAACAGCTATCCGGTACTTAAAGTCAAACTAAAATCATTGCGTGGTGGCCATCTAATGATTCAAATTATGATATCAAATTATAGCATCATCCCTGATCTCACTGCCAACCACTGCACTGAACTGTCATGGCGTGCGTTTTGCCAAATAATGGCTCCAGGTTTTCTTTGGAAGAGATATAGATAGATACACACACAAAATATATATATATAAAAAAAAATTTAAAACTTTTTTTTTAAAGAGGCAGTTCAAAGATGTACAAGAACACAGACATGAGACCACCACATATTCTTGCAATATAACTTCTTAAGAAGTGCTGCAAAATGAAATTACATTGATTCAACCCTGCCAACAAATGATCACAGTTCATTAACAGTCTACCTACGTTTTTTCATACTCCAACGAAACGTTACATGTGAGAATAAATGCATCTTCAACTCTTTTCTTCATATCCGGGTGACGAGCTCCATGATCAAGGACAAGGCCTCTAATCAACCTATTGGGCGGCAAATAAAACCTGTTGTCATGACCATAATAGTAAGCGGATTTACTAAAATAGATCGAATATCTTTATTAGAAACATCATAAAAGTCAAAACCCAAAAGCCTGTGATTTTTTATTTTTCATATGTCTTAACCTTCTGAGCCAGGCCTAAAAGTTATGCATTACAAAAATGTATGCAATTTTTTTTTTTTTACATCTACAACATCAAGTGTCGATGTGTGTGAGAATACAGGGACAAATGGGTTGTGTGTTAATGTGTTTGTGTGAATGTGTTTAGGTTTCTACAAAAATGCAGGTGTGTGAAGCATGTTTCCCCTCCCATTCAGCAAGTGACACTTGAAGGACTATAGTCAGAATAATGTCAGTATCCTTTCCTCCCATATCACTATTTTGAGGTATATAGTTATACTGCTATTAATTTGTACTCTGCTGTGCTATCCGTGTGCATACAATTGATTTGTATGTCATATGAAAACGCTCAGCTGAGATTTATTTTAGCATGGTGTCTGACTGCAGAAACTACAGCAAGAAAATGCAGAATTCATCCATGCAAACATTAAACAATCAAAAAAATCCCAGTCAAAGGTAGCTTTTCCTACAGCTGGCAAATTGATAGAAGTTGACTGTGGAAGCTTTGCGCATTTTGACAACATTTGCCAATGTTGGCATTGCTAAACACACAACACAAACTTTACAGTAGTACTAATTGGAGGGAAAAAAAAAAAACTTGGATGACATTTATGATTACAGTATAGGTTTTTACTGTAAAAGGGACAATATAGCCACCAAATCAATTTTAGCTTAATGAAGCTGTTTTGGTGTAAAGTTTTATTTTACCACATACTGCATTCTGAACTCTTTCCTAGTTAAAACATTCATTTTGTGTTTAACCCCTTAAGGACAAAGCCAATTATTCAATTTCTAATCAAAACAAAAACTGGAATTTGCGCTATATGTCAGTTCAATTATAATTTACATATTAAGTGCACCCACACATTTATATATCATTTTGTTTAAGAGACATAGGAGTTTCATTTTACATCAAATATTTAGAAATAAAATTTAATTTTTTAATATGAATAAAATAAAAATTAAGACAAAGTAAGAAATTTTGATATTTTCTTAGTTCTGCATGGAACATTAACCATGAAGGTCATAATACTGGTGGCTTTTACTGCAATAAAATACACATTTGTGTTCAATGTTTAACGAATATAACAATACCCACCATCTACAGGTTTTAGGGGGTATTTAAAAGCTAGAGTCAAATATAGGGCTTTTGGTTTTGCACAATATGTTTTTATTTCCCTATTTAACCATTAGGGGGACTGCCTGACAGCCGAGGCAGTCCCCATGCTGGCAGATCCTAAGCCAGCTATAATGACCATGTGCACTCGCTCTTTCAAACACTGATCGCGGCAGAGGTGAGAAGAGGGAAACAGCTGGGGCTCAAAGAAGTCACGGTGTTCCATGCGGCCGCAACGGTTTTTAAGCCCATTAAAAGCGGGGAACAGCATGGAACGTCGTAAAAAATTAAATATGAACTTGTTTCGAGGTCTGAAAACAATTAGTATTTTTTTTTTGCAATTTTGACCAGTTGTCAGTTTGAACATTTATACAATATATTTTTATTTGGAATTTGGAAGCAATGTCACAACATGTAATCAAACACTCTTCTCGTGGGTGGCAGCAATGGATATTAAGTGGTTACAATTAACTGCTGCTTTTAAACACTGAGGATTCTCACATGCAGCTGGGCGTCCATGACACAGAAAATAACTGAATTTCCTACAAAAATTTAAGCCAAAACAGCTGAAATAGCCATGTTGGCCTTAATTTAAATTAAGCTTGGAAAGAGTTGGAAAAAAAAAAAAATACCCCAAAACTATTTCATTACCCACTCGCGAGCGCATTAGTCCCGCCTTATAAGAAAACATTGCTGCAATGCTTTCCTATAGGGATTTTACAGACACTGGATGTGCTCATGCAGAGTGTGAGGATATCCAGCATCAGTTAGGCGACCAAAAGTAATCTAGTATGCAGGAACGGCCTCGAATGGCTGTCTGACTGAAAGCCACTATAACTAGTCTTAGTCCTGCAAAGGGCTAGGGGTGGCGAGACTTTGAGACACTAGAGTTACTCACGTTGTGTCACTTTCGGTTTTGTGCTTCATCTCCATAATTTCAACCATGTTCAGGTCAATGGGTTCATTAGGTTGTCTTATTGCCAAAACAGAGTCCACAACAGCCTGGAATAAAATATTAAACAAATTGGAGAAAATTCAAGTAGTATTTTTCGGGGTTCTAGACTAGATGTTCCAAACTCGTGGATTACAATTTTTCATTAAATGTCCATATTTTATAGATTCCCCTCCCCCCCCTTACATAGGATTTTCACAAAATCAACGCAATATAATAAAAGACAAAGAAAAGGTGTTTTTTTTTTTTTAAGATTACTTGAAAGATACTCTCACTTTAGCTCATAAATTATATTGCTCTATAACAGCACCTTAAAAGGACACTGTAGAACTACTACAAATTAATCTAGTTCTGGTGTGTACTCTGTCCATGCAGGTATTTTCATGTAAACAATGGCTTTTCAGAAGTGTTTCTATTGCTCTATATGGACACCTCGAGTGGCACGTTTGTATTCCTGACCCTATAGTGTTCCTAAACAATATGGCAAACATTTATTGTAGTACTTACTATATTTCATATTTTAATAAAACAATTGTTAACTGAGCATTGTGTGCTCTGGGACATAAGGTGTTTAACAAAGAGTAAAGGCTCCTTAAACAAAATAAGAAATAAAATCAACTCATGAGTAAATGGAAAGTTGTTCACTCCTGCAGATTAATAGCGATATATGATAAACTCTTCTGCACAAAAGTGGCAAGCAGTGACACATATGGAATATTTTTTCATAAACAGGAAAGCAAAAATAATTGGTTTATAAAAGAAAACAGATATGATTGAACTAACCTACCTCTGTCAAAACATCAGCAAGCTCAGCATGAACTTTTGTTCTCAATGAAGTTCGTGCCACATGAATGAGGGTTTCTCTGTCCATTTCCTTGGACACTTTAACTTGTTCCAACACTTGAAGTGCTTTTCCCTTTGCTGCCTCAAATCCTTCAGTCACAATTCTCGGATGAAGACCCTAAGAAGAAGAAGAAGAAAAAAGATAAATTTGAAAGGTTACACCAAGCCCCATGCCCACTTCAATAATAATATGTGCAATTTTTCATTATGAAACTATATATTAAAAATATATAAAAAAGTTTTATGTACTTTTTAAACCAAAAAAAATAAAAAAAAGCACATGCCCTATCTCCAAGCTTTTTTTTATATTGGTGTTTTGCTCTTGTTACGTACCCATGTTACGTGGAGTCCACACATACATGCTTTGATGGAGGCAGTTCACCTCTTGCATTCCACCCTCTGGATGCACATATTTGTGTTACAAAAAAAAATTATTTTGTGTTCTGCTACCATGCCTTATTGCCTGTCACTAATCCTCCAATAATTGGAATGATCGTTAACATTAATTCATTATACACTGTGTGTGTAAGCTTTTATGTGGTGTTCACTTGAAAACTTCAGTTGTTAAGGTCGAAACGTTGCTCTTTGAGATATAATGCAATAAAACTGCATGTGAACCCAGTGAGTGCCTGAAGCTTCTTTTTGGTTAGATATCATCACAATCTTCTACCAATGAGCCTCTATTCCTCTGTAGCGACTTTGATTTGTGGTTATAATCCATCCAGATTTCCAATTACTGGTTTGCAGTACACAATTACGTCCCAGAGGGCACCAATTTGGCTAATCTACTCTGAACTGACTATTTTGTTTACTTGCATTTGTAGTTTTTACTGTAACGGAGTTTTTAGTACATATTTACTATGGTATTCAGGATACCTCTGAAATGTACAGATCCGCTTGCTTCAGAAGCTCTCCAATGATCAGGACATTGGACGTTGTTCCATCACCAGTAATATCATCCTGGGCGGTGGCAACTTTAGCAATCAGAGAGGCTGTCGGATGTTGAATTTGCTTTAAAATATATAAAAAAACGACACTGTTAAATATACACACATTTTTATTATAGTGCCCATACTACCAAGTAAATCAAGATATTATGTGCCCTTCAGTGTTTTATTATGTTATTCTTAAATGAAGAACAATTACAAATACTAACACAAATCAATTGCAAAAAAGCTTACCAATGCTTTAGGTTATAAGATTTCAAACGTTTCAACCTACTGCTTTGTGGACTAACGGTTTAGCTACTTTTACATCTAACATATGAGAGATATATGAGAGACAGGTAAAGTAGATATAAACACTCCTTAGCAATGCAATGCTTATTTTCAATCTACAGGTAGCTTGGTCTGCCACTAGCCGGCATGCGGATGAGTTTAAAACACAAATCTATGGAAGATTCCGCAAGTAGCTCCACATCTCAGCCAAGGGCAACGGGATACCTATGGTATTATGCTTCACAGGGTGCCTGTTCCCATCAGCTATCACCAAAGCTAGCCAAAAAAATAAATATACTTGTGGAAGCTACTTAAAGGACCACAGGGCCGTTCACAAACTGTTAAACCCCAATTAATCAATGCATCTCTATGAGGAACGTTCAGCAGCTCCATGTGAAGTTGTGCAGCACAAACCTAGGAAGTACCTCTAGAGGCCATCTCAGTGACTGCCACTAGAGGTGTCTATAGGCAGCAATGTAGACAATGTTAGTTTCTCTGAAAAGGCCGCATTTACATTAAAATGCCTGCAGGGAGAGGCAGTAGACACCAGTACAACTACATTAAGCTGTAGTTCTGTTGACTAGAGTGGCCCTTTAAAGTTTCAATCAGTTTAGCATTTCCATAATGATTTCATCTGCATAAAAACCTCACAGCACTTTGAATTCACTTTGGATTCAAACTGAGGTTTTCAACTGAGGACATCAGCCAAAGTTATCAAAATATGGATGAAATTCATGTTGCTGAAGGAGCAGTGAAACTTTTGCATTTGCAATTCCAACATGTGTCTATGGGCATCCCAATTTCAGTGAAGCTGTTTAAAAATTGTTTGACTAAGAAGCAGGACACTACTCGCATCCTAACCGTACCATAACCAGTCTTTGGCATGTACTACTTATGGAGCTTAGATTAAACACACACACATATATATATATACACATATATATATATATATATATATATATATATATATATATATATATATATATATATATATATATATATATATATACACACACACACACACACACACACACATATATATACATACACACTATAGGTTAAAAATAGATAAATAGTTGAAATTAAAAAACTTTAGGCAATGGTTTTAAGGGTTATTCCAAGCATCATAACCTCTACAGCCTGCTGTAATGGTTATAATGCCGAAGGTACCCTAGCCTGGTTCCCCCATGATGGGTAAAAACGTCTAATAATGGCCTGCCCTCTTGCCTTGGTCCCCAACGGGTTTAAAAGGTCATTCCAGCGCCGGTGAAGCATTTCCAGTTTCTGCAGAGCTACAGAAGCAAATAGTCACCATTCATTGGTTGAGAGTGTCAGCTGCCTGCTCTCATCCAGTGAATGCAATTCTATGGTTGACAAGTTGCACAGTATTAACATAAGCCAACACGGAACTCTTATACTGGGCTGCTTAATAACTGGAGTTACACATACGGCAGCAGAGGAGGTTAAACTCTCTATATAAAGTGTTTCATACTGAAGCGGTCATGGTGCGTAGAACAAACATTTAAAGCTGTACACAAACTTATTTCAACTGGCATTCAAAAACATGAAGACAGTTAAAGCACAAGTGAACATTAATTTAGCATGGTGTCTGACTGCAAAAACTACAGCAAGATAATGCAGAATTCATCCATGCAGTCACATAAGGACCCGCAACCCGCAATAATCTGGTAAGGGATAATTTTCAGCAGGAGCAACAAAATAACACCTGACTACCATCCTTCATAGCGAATACAGGGTTGTACACAGTCAAATGTATTAGGTAAAACCATTGCAGGACAAATTACTTCACCTGGCTGCCTAGGACACACTCACCATTTCATGAAGTAATACATTGCCATCTTTGGTAAGCTTGATGTCTCCAGCACCAGAAACCAACCTGAAAAACACAGAAAAAACCCCCCCCACAAGTTAAGCACTTTTAATATGACTAAGAGGTTTAATATGTTCACATTACGTTGAGAGCACATATAAATATATATATTTTTTCTTTATAAGGTACACAAGAAACACAGAACAACCAATCAAATAAGCATACAAAGTTCTTGCAGTCAGGGCGCTTATTTTACAGCTTCCTTTCCATTAAACATGCGCTATTCATTTTTGTCCCCCTAACAAATGGTATAGTTTAGTAACTTACTGTTTGTGATTCCATTACATGTGCAAGCTGTTCTTGACTCCTGTTACAAGAGTGACCAAATTTCTGATAAAGAGCTTGGACTGTATGTTTTTTGAAGTTTTGTAAAAACTGTCCAACTAGGCGCTCAAAGTGATTTACTACTAAATAAATCTGATTGCATGAAATATCAAGTACATCTATCATAAGCAGATCAGAGTAATCAGTGTTGTGAATTAAATTCAACAGCATGGGTTTATTTTGTTAGCAATTGCTCAATTTTACCATATCCCAGTAAAAGCTATAAAGGTAGTTATGGGATTTCATTACCAGAGATTCACTACAAGGCTTTAAAGCAGCGGTCACATAAAAATCTAATCTATATGAATTACTAATGCGGTGTTGGAACTTAAATGAAATTCCAAAACAATGCAAATGAAAACAATTCAATAAAATTCCAAAACTCTGGAGTCAACTTTTGTCCAACCGCATAATAAATTGTGGGATTAAGGCATCATCTCACTTATCGCAAAAAGTAATCTTTGGAGTCTCCACAGTATCCTCTATAGACTTCAGTGTTGAAATCTCACTCATGCGCAAGTACAGCACTAACGTGCCAGAAGCTGAAGATCTTGCCCTGAATAAAGGTGGGGCAGCCATGAGGGACAGCCTCATGTAAAACCTACATTTGATAGCACCACAACCACCTGACCCTTTCCGAAGATGTCATCTTCAGGCACCTCTGCAAAATCTGCAAAGACTCCATAAAGAGACATCTGCTTTAAACGCATGGCATTTTTATTTTCTTGCAAGGAGAAATGTCCCCCAACGTAGGGTTCCTCTTCAAAATGGGGATCAGGCAGTCCATGCTAAGCACCGTCTGGTCTCAAGTTCTAACAAGTCAACATAAATCAAGCAAGACACAAGGCCACCAATACCCTGTTACCATTTAAGGCTGTCCAGGGTCCAGTATATTACAAGGATGGTTCAACTAGTATTTACAGTTACATAGAAAAGCTGGAGGAGCTGTGCCTGGTTAATGATAGTCTTCAGTCAGTTTAGATCAGGTGTATTGTAATCCCCACTCCTTTGTTCCCAATGTCCCATTGTATGTAAAGGGCACCAACATACTCCACAGACCAGTGACCTAGAACCAGGAGCTGACAATCAATGAGCAGCTACATGGACTGGACCAAGAAGCTGACAATCAATGAGCAGCTACATGGACTGGACCAAGATGCTGACAATCAATGAGCAGCTACATGGACTGGACCCAGGAGCTGACAATCAATGAGCAGCTACATGGACTAGACCCAGGAGCTGACAATCAATGAGCAGCTACATGGACTATACCCAGGAGCTGACAATCAATGAGCAGCTACATGGACTAGACCCAGTATCTTACACTCAATGAGCAGCTCCAATAAGACAGCATTGGGATTATTCGAGTGTTTGTAATATTTTTCACCCCAGGCTCTCCCCTCCCATATCACCCAGTTATATCTCCCGGGCCGGACACACGGCGGCCTTCCCGTTGCTCACATTTTCATGGTGCCTTTAGGCCCCAGGTTGGTACGCAGCACGTCCTGCAGCCCCCGAGCGGCGCTGATGTTGACAGACAGGGCGGCCTGTGCTCGGGCTACCTCGGCCTTGGGATTAAGTGCTTTAACGGCGGACATGGCGGCGGCGGATCGCTCACAAGACGGTGGTTTCCAGCTCACAATGAATCAGCTCGTGGTTCCCTAGCACGCCGCGCCGTGCAAGAAAGGAGGGCCGGCTTTCCAGAACAATCTAACGTGCTCGATGGGGAACGCCCCCCGGAATCTGATTGGCTGTGCGCTCAACTCTCGCAGCTTGCCTGACTAGATCGCCTCTAACCGTCACTTTCTTGCGAGAGGTGAGCGCGAGCCTGCTCCAACTGCCAGAAAGGAGCGGCCCTCAGGCGGCGGGAGGGGCTGCGCAGTGTCTGCATTATTAGTGTAGGAAATGACAGCGATCAGTATTCTTTACTACAGGCTGTGAACATTTATCAACCATTTAGAAATGTACCATTCATTAGTGACTGAAGATATTCCCAAACTCCATGCATTTGTGACTGAGGCCTTTTGCTGTGTGTAAATTACTACTTTTTTTTATTAGGGGCAGCTAGAAATTAAAAAAAAATTGAGTTCTGCCTCATTGAGTTCTGCCCGTATTGTTCTTTTAAAAAAATAATATATTATTATTTTTGAAGGAACACTGCTTTTAATGTAGTTGTCCTGGTGTCTATAGCTTGTCCCTGAATGCTTTTCAATATAAACATTGCCAGAGGGTTGTTGAGATAGAGATTAGAGTTGAGCGAACCCGAACTGTAAAGTTTGGGTTCATACCGAATATTACGATTTTTGGACCCCGGACCTGAACACAGACATTTCAGTGAATGTTCGAGTTCGTGTGTTCGGCGATTTAATGGCGCATTTTGAAAAGTTGCAGGGCAGCCAATCAACAAGCATTTGACTTGTGTGCCCTTAGAAGCCATACTGCTGTGAGCTCAGTGGGCAACATCTAGGCATTTTTAAATACTGCTGTGACAACGCAGTTTTAAAAAATAAAATTTTTTGTGTGCTAAATAGTACATTTGGGGTGTGCACTTCATATCTGAGAGTCAAATAGAACCGTCAAATACTGTGGTTACATCGCAGTTTTAAAAAATAAAAAATGTTTTTGGTGCTAAATAGTACATTTGGGGTGTGCACTTCATATCTGGTGTATGTGTGCAACACTGGCTAGTTACCGCTTCTCAAGAAAGTCTAAAGATAAATAAATGTTACCTATGGTGCAGATAGTATAGAAGGCAAGACTGAGACAAATCATTTGGGTTACGTTTGCCTGTTGACATGTTAATTATCTTAGACCATTAAAATTCAATAATCAATTAAAAACACACTGTCATACAAAAATATGTATTATGGACAAGTTAAAAACAAGACTACAAGTCATGTTATAACAAAATTAAACAAGTTTTGAAATATGTGTGGGCCAACCAGTGGCTGTAAAAACAAAGTTTTAATGGTTACATTCATCACTACACACTCTAGTGAACAGGACCTTCATGTAGTGTGATTTTTTTTTTTTTTTAAATCATACTGCATCCTTTCATTTGCTTTTCAGATGTCATATTGTTAATTACCAATTTTTGTTTAGCCTGATTTCTTTTTCAAAAAAAAGTGAAAAATAAGTGTTATTGTGATCGCTTCATATACAGAAGCATTAATATACATTTCTATATTGTGTAAAGACACAACTACAAAGTTAAAAACCAAACACCAAAACAATGTGCCAGACAATCTACCTGTGCATAGCTAGTGTGATACAATAAGTCTACATCTTAAAAATGCAATAACCCACAGAAGATGGGCGAGAATTTTTTTTTTTGCAAATGGAACTTTGATTCGAATTTACTACATCAGTCACTTGTAATATTGTTTCACACCTACAACACTTGTTAAACAGATCTAAGTGATAGAAAACAGATTGATATTTTGTACACTAGAAACTACCAGATAACAAGCTGCTATATTTAAACCAGTTATCAATAGCTAAGAGGTACTTAAACAATATTGTAATTCTGGGGCAATACCCTCACAAGTCAAACTGAGAGGTCAGTTTATAGGGCAAACTTGCCTGGATACAATTCTAAAACAATTTCCATATGTCCTTTGCAGACTTTACAATTTAAATTTTTCAATGATTTTAAACGTGAATAAAAAAATATTTTAAAAAGTGTATAAATATCAAAAAACAAGCTTAAAAAATGAAAAACCCAACTCTGAAGCATGTTTGTCATTCTGGATGTTCAGTTGGCCTGCAAAAGAATAATGAGTTATTAAAGTATACCACACAAGTTTTACATAGGTTGCAATTTAGATTACTTGCACTTTGAATCTTTAACACTCCACGCAGCATTACCACTCCAGCTTGACAACTTTCCATGGGAGGAAGTTACCAGCAGGTCCCCAGGTGCCTGAGGCTCCTGTTCAGGATCTGCCAGCACAGGAAGGTGCTACCTACACCCAGTGGAACCCAGGTAAATTGTCAAATCGCAAGCTGACTACTTACACTGGGAGGGCTCCAGGACACACCTGGGACCATAATCTTTATCACTAATCAACATACTGTACCAATTATAGTGTTTGCCATTTCAGTAAGTTATTCTTAGTGAACTTTACATGCTGGAAAAAACACAGGTGCCAACTGCTGTGGCTTTCTGCAGTGTGCAGACCGGCAAGGAGGGCAGGGTTGAGGAGTGGGTGGAAGATAATGTGGAGGATGATGAGGTCCTAGACCCCACATGGAATGAAGGTCATGCGAGTGACGTGTGCAGTTTGGAGGAAGAAGCGGTGGTCGCACAGAACAACCAGCACAGTATAAGAGGGAGCAGGGTGCAAAAGCGGAGCGGCCGTCCCCTAGACAGTACGCCTGCTACTGCCCACCGCACCCAGGGACCGAGCACACCAAAGCCTGGCATGGCAGTTCTTCACACAATGTGCTGACGACAAGACACAAGTGGTTTGCACGCTGTGCAATCAGAGCCTGAAGCAAGGCATAAACATTCTAAACCTGAGCACAACCTGCATGACCAGGCATCTACATGCAAAGCACGAGCTGCAGTGGAGTAAGCACCTCAAAAACCAAGAAAGACTGAAAAAATAGTAAATAAAAGTAAATGGTGCTATCTATAGATTAGCAGATAGACTATGACATAGAATAGGTGCCCTCGAAGGCACAGATTAGCTGTTTAGAACTTTGCAAGATGATCTTTCATTCAGTGATTTGATTTTGTTCTTCTGCTGGTACTTATGACAATTAGGTTGCGCGTTTTCCAACTCAAGTCAGAACCTCTGTAATCCTAGTAATCCTAGTATTTTCCTTCAAGGATCACTGTTACAATTGTATTTCACTACTTTAAAAATACATTGTGTTACACAGGCTCAACTTGATACAAAATGTCTCCTGAGATTGCAGGTTTTACTGGCATCTATTTGGAAACACTATATGAATCATGCTCAGGCTATATATTCCCAGCACTATACCATATAATGAATTGTCTACTAATCTATTTTTATAGGTTGCTAAAGATTCCTAGCTTCCTATTATATACTTTATGTTTTATTTTTTCATAAAGTCTTTGATAATTTGGTATAGTGTTCTGTTTACACATACTTTTATTTATAATTTTTTCAGTCTATTCCTTTTTCAATTAACAGCAACATTTTAACTAATCAAAAATTAAAAGTTATGTTTTAAATCAATTTACACTATAAGGCAATTGCCTCTCTCAGATATCTGCTACTTAGGGTTATCCCATTTTCTAAAGACCTCTTAAGTACCAATTCTCCCCTTTCGAATATTCTTGAGGAATGAATTTTAGGGAAGGTGTCAACAAGGCAAGTATTTACCAATATTTGGCACAAAACATAGCGAATCACATCACCGAAAAAGGGAGCTGCTACCCTACCAGTGTACCAAAATTCAAGCACACAGGTGTAAATCATATAATATATGCCATATGAGATAACCTGGAGTGTCTACTTTCACAAATGGTATGCCTTTGTGGGGTTATTTAAACAGTCAAACAGCTATAATGCCCCAAATTGAAACATAGGCCCATCAAATCCATCTCTCAAAATTCTAATGTAAAAACTGAAATGGCCATGTTTTTCTGTAAGGCAAAGTAGCTTCATGAAATAGTGCCAAACATAGGCGTGCGCAGCCTATTGCATTAGGGTGTGC